TCTCTTTAGTCATTTTACTTCATACATAAAATGTTTTTTTTTTTGGTAAGATTCTAAAAATTTTTTGCACATGAAATTGGGTCGCCGGCCAAAACTGGTGGAGCTTTTTTTTTTTTTTAATAAAAACAATTTTTCAAAGAGGACAGCCAATATTCTTCACTTCCAAGGTTAACGATGTTTTTTTTATAATACCATAAAAAATATATTGATGAGAATAGTAAAGAATATAATAGTAATCTTAGCATCTTCTCTAAGTTTTCACATTTTCACCAAAAAATTATAAAAGGACGCAAAGCACATTGGTTTTTTTTTAATCATAATATCGTTTGCATGGGGTTTGGTTTCAGGGGTGGGTGGGGGGGGCGATGAAATAATTCATCGCTTTTCCCTTCCAGTGGAGGGCTGAAGGAGAGGGAGGGAGGGGTCGCGACAAGTCTTGCTGGATCGCGTTGGGAATATTGGTAGTTGATCGCTGGGCTGGCGCCAAAAGCTACTAAGCTGCTCTGCTCCGATCTTGCTGCAGTCCCGGCAGCGACGATGCCCGTCGTCATGGAAAGTCGATCCAACTGGGTAATTATCACACCTCCTTAAACAACTAATTTTGCCTTAGTCTTTTTTAATGTGATGTCAAGAAAAATATGTGCATGCACATGTATTAAATTAGGGACAAAAAAAGTTAGATTTTTTTTAAGAACAGAGGATCAATAATACACAAATTTTCTTCAAAATGAAATGCACATTCTTCGACCTGCAATGTTATCCTTATTTTATTGTGTGTCCTTTTCATAGGAGTAAAATTAAATGGAACAATAAAACATAGATTTCTTATAATTGTATGAACATGAACACATTGAAAAGAAAATGCTATAAAAATTAATTTATCAGGAAAATACTTAATCCAAGCTAAAAAATTTCTGCGTTTTTCTATTCTTCTTTAACTCCAATTCAATTCGTTTATTCTCTCACAGCAGGTCATTATTTTGGGGGAAAAATTACATTGAAGAGAGAATTGGCAGCCAGCCCTAGTAAACAACTTACTAAAACTCATAAACTTAATTTGAAAGCATTCCAAACGAGTGGTACAATTGTGTAATACATACGTCGTAAAAGCATTAAAGATTGAATTAGAAATTATCTTCTGTCGAGTCGGTGAACTCCACGCCCGACCAACCATTTGGGCAAAATAGAATTATTTTTCTCCATCACTCATCCGCATGTTTTGTGCCGGAAGATCCAGCCGTGCGGACATTTGCCTGTTTGCACTTAAAGATTATCTTCTGATCACAGTGTTCATATGTACTGCCGGCGAATTCCTGTTCGAAAATATATATTTGACTAGAAAAAAATTAAATACTTTGATGCACTAAAACTGGCCGGAATTCGGCTCAATTTGATTTTGCATTTGATCATATAATTTATAATGTAATTATTACTCTATCCCATAACTTATTAATGCTGTTTATTTGTCCAAATTGTTACATCACATTCAATTGTTGAAAACCATTGAAAACGGAATTGTCGGCTAAAATTCCTATAGTACAGCTTTCTAAATTTAAAACACAATTCAAAAAATTTTACACAAAAAATATTCATGCACGTGTCATAATTGCACCTCACAATTATACAATTTTGAAAAAAGACATAAATTTTGAAATTAAGTCGTAAAATTATTTAAAAAAAAGATCATTTTAATTTAAATCAAGAAGACTTATCAGACTTATTGCTTTTTCTGTGACTCTGATGTTTTTTTATTTAGTTTTTTGGGTCTCTGAGTGGATGAGAAGAGAATAAAAAGTGCCGCGTGCATTTGTCAGGTCGTGATTTACCTGCGCTGCGATGAGGCGGAGGTGTTTATTTGGAATCAAATGCACACTGTCGGTGCTGTTATTTGGAATTGTGGCGATCGCTGGGGGATATTTTGGAGAAGGTCGGCCTATGGGATAGAGCGAGAGAGATGAACAGACAGGCAGGCAGGCGGAAGAAAGCTATATCCATATTGAGGGGAAGAGGTCTTGGGCCACCGTGGGAACCTACAAAGACGCACAATCATGAGAAGAAGAAATGCATGCCGCGCGGCGCACCACCGCTCTGGGCAACTCTGGGTCCCTTCTCGACGTGCAACCCCAAATAAAACTCAAAATAAATTTTATCTGACCAGAGGAAAAATGAGCCGGGTTTATGTATATTTTTACTTCATTGAGGGAATAAACCGCTAACCACGAAGAAAACTTTGGTTAATAACCTCATTTTTCGCAATGGCAGTTCCATTTAAAACGTTCTTTGACGAAACTTCAAATTTGGATTTTTTATTGAGAATTATAGAAAATAGGCTTGATTTGTCCCAGCTAATTTGTTTAAAAAAAATTTAATATTAATAATATGATATGTGCACAACAATAGTAGTAATAATTACTGCTTCTAGATTCATTCAAATCTCCCACGTGAGTCCCACGTTAATTTATTTAGCAGAAGAATTTGACAATAGAGGGTTGATTCAAAGTTTTTTTAAATTAAATTCGGCTTTTCCTTGATGGGATTTTTGCGTCATGAATTGTTTCGGAAAAAAATATCCCGCTCTACATTTGTCAGCTGCGGGCTGCAGTCATAATTCATGAACTGTGAATTTTAGACAAAAATAATACGTAAATTAATTCTCATTTTTTGTTCAACATAAACATTGAAGAAAATTATTTTGAAGAAAATCTTCTTTCCAAGTTTCCATTTTCACTAAAGCAATTTTAATTTATCTTCTCTTGACCTCCACGAAGAAAGATACGCTCAATACACTACTCAGACTAAATCTTTGTAAAATTTTAAATTTTATAAAACTATTAAAATTATTTAGTGAAAATTGTAGGTTGAAAAAACAACTTTCTTCAAAATAATTTTAGATTGTGTTTGCAAAATCCTAATAATGTATGTAGCCGTTGAAAAACATTTTGGGTCTATATTGCTTCTGAAAAGAGCTCTCGACGATCGTTTAGGCCCAGCTAGTTTGGCAGCGCCTCGTGATACTTACATATACAAATTATTGTAATTCGGTTCCTCTCAATTGCGTGAGAACAATCATCTGCTCCTCACAAGGAAAGCCCTCGTGGCGATATACAAAGTTCACACACGGCCTTTTTCTCATTCCATGGGCTATGAGCGTGATATAAAATTGAATAGATGATGCGCGCGTTTCGCCTTTCAAAAAATTAAAAAAAGTCACTAATTAACACATACTATTAACTATTAAGTTACAATATGGAACAAACGCTTTTTAAAATAGGTCAAAATACATCATTCAAACGATAAGTCGTAGAAATGATGCTGTATTACAAAAGATTTCACTTCGTTTAAAAGAAACTCGTGATTTTTTTTATTTAATATTTCAACAAGGCAATGAAAATTCTTAGGATCATAAGCTCTGGATTTTCAACAGAGTTTTGCAGCTTAATAACCTTCACTATTTCAATTTCAAATATTCTTTATTTTGTTAAGCATTAATATGCAGTAGCAATAACACTTTTTAAAATAAGTCAAAATACACAGCATTATTCAAACGATAAAATTCGTTTAAGTCATAGAATTGGTGTTGAAGTACAAAAGTTTTCACTTCCTTCACAAGTTCCTCGTCATTTTCGAGGGTTTTCAGGTTTTTTGGCAGCGCATTAAATTTTTGGGATCATATAATCAGGGTTTTCTTTTTGAGGGCAATATCCCTTACCACTAGGTCGTTTATACACAGATTGGTTTGATTATGTCGTGTCACCCGCCTCGTATCAACACTGTCACTATATTTTTGAAAGAGGTGACGATTCCGCACTAGAAATTTAATACATTCGAGTATGCATAGAGAAGGCACAGTCATAATATTATATTTAATAAATAATGGTTTACATGTATCCAGGGCCTCGTTTGATCATCTCGGCTTTTAGTGCGGCAATTTCAAAAAACTTGACGACATTTGAAAGCCACTTAATTTGGCTTAATTTGGTCAGTCCACTTCAAATTATGCGCGACATATTAGAAATTTAATGCGCTCAAAGATGTACAAAGAAGATAGAATATTATAATTGCATATTTTTTAGGAGCTTAATTTCCCTTAAAACCAGGTTAACTAAAAATAAATTGGTTTTTAATATGAGCGTTACTTCAATGACATCCATGAATATCTATTTGTAAGCAGTTTTGACAATTACAATTTTTCGTGCTAATCATATCGTTTTTATACTTTGCCAAGGGTTGTTTCTCTAAATTTTAATTTTAGACCTGACATGGTTTAAAGGCTTATAGAGTTAATATTCTTGTCAATTCTGGTCTTACAGAACAATAATAAAATTTAATTGAAGGGCACAAACCGACAAGACTTTGTTTTGGTTTGACGCAAAAAAATTAATATCCTCCTCCCTTCCCGTGTGGTTTTTGGAATAGTCAGAAAATAAAACAACTATTTAATCCAACAAATGTATCATACTTTGGTTGCATGGGGCACAAAATCTGTCTAATTCAAGAGATATTCCGGACGAAAGGGCAAAATACGTGGTTTTCCAAGCATTTGTTTGAAGAAATTGACACTCGAAAGATGATCGTGGATATCTTCATTTCAATATTCCAAGCATTTTTAAGTGAAAAATTTGCTTTCATCGCTTATAACATTTATTCTGTTAGAGTTAGAACTAAATGTATACAGACTATACAGTGACAAATATTGGCTTGTTCTTTCAGATCATGTATCTCAAACTGTGAGCAGGTCACAAAAGTGGCCTGTGAAGTTATAGAATTTTTTGTGTGGCACACAGATGGAAAAAGGTCATCAACATGAATATTTTTTCAGCCAAATTTTCCAATGGAATCAATGGAAGTTGAGAAGCTATTTTTTTAATTTATTTTTTATTTTATTTTGGTAGGATTCTCACTTTTGCCATGCAACATCAATAAAATAATTGATAAACAAATTGATAATAAAAAATCTCTCGTGAATAAAATTTTAAAAGTTTGTGCTTTACATGTTTCAGGGACACTACAGTTACGCCAATTATTCCGAGCAGAGAGGCGACGACTCGTGGTCGGGGGTTACTTCAAGCGCTTCAGAATCGTTGCCACCATTCAACGCCGCCGCCGCACCCTCACCTTCAGCCCCCTCGCACCATGCCTCTGCCTACTATGCGCAGGTAAATAAATTAATTTGCTTGCTTGAAATTTTGGTTACAAAATCATTGTGCAAATTTTTTCTATATAGTCACTTTTATTATGATTTGATCATTTTTCTTTTTCGTGGCCTTGATTGACCGAGAAGAACAAATAATAATTTGAAGCAAATAAGTTTTTTCACGTCAGACATAAAAATGCGGTACAAGCCTTATACTCACCATTAGTTTTAATAAATGGTTAATCTGTCTGTGTAGTTAAAACAAAATTAAAATAAAAAATTAATTGGGTGCTGCCCTCTGTACCACCAATAAAGGGCACAGGCCGACAAGACTTTGTCTTGGCCTGACCCTAAAATTTAAAAAAATTTAAATTTTGTATTAAAAAAAATTTTGGTTTCATTTTTGTTGTTTATGGTTATATTTTGATTGGACTATGCAGAATAATAATATGTTGTTCAAAAATTGCATAGAACCGCAATTTTGGTAGGTATATTGAAAATGAAAATAGTGGATGAAAAATGTATGTAGCATATTATGTATTATGCTTGTGCAGTGAGCAGCAAACTTAAGGCACAGTTCGAAAGACTAGACTTATTAATAGTAATTTAGTTAACCATAGTGTCAATTCTTATTGTCAAATTTTTTTACTTTTCTTTGAATTCTCAAGTAATTTAATTCTTTTTAACAATAGATTCGCCAGTAAGTTCTTTGAATAAAACAAAAGTCTTTTGCCCTAGAAGATTGAGTTACACTTTAATTACTTTTAATTTTAAGTGAAATTGGCAACACAAATAAAGTGGCCACTATTACAAAAATAGTTAACACCACGTAACTGACTGAGAGGATAACAGAAGTGAGGCCCCGATTCCTTGCGCTCGGGATATTTATTGGCAAAATATTTCCTGTTGTTGCGTCCTCTTGCCACGCGGTCGGTCATCCTGTGCCCTTGCATTGCAAAGTCCAACATCCCTGTGGTTGTTTACTTCATTTCAGCACCATTTCCTTTGTACTTGAAACAACTCACAATGTCATTATTACTGAACATTATTAATTTATTTAATTCAATTCAATTCATTTATTCTCTCGCAACAAGTCTCGCCACTGGTACATTTCTTGAAAAACATCGTCATTAAATTTAAGCTGCTGCTGCACCGACAGCAACCCCTGTTCGGCCGCGTCTGGGATGTGCCGCCCATGCACAAACCTGAGGGCTCTTTTTTGCACTCGCTTAAGTGTTTTTTCCCCTTGAATTTTTTTTCTTGCTCATGAAACAGGGTCGCAAGCCGTGAAACTATTAAAGACATTTAGTTTTTTTTTTTTCAAATAAAAAAGAATGACAATTTTTCAACAAGGACAAAAATAAGCCTGGTGTCTTGATACAGGGTAAGTGTGAGGCAATAAAAGAGGTGCAAAAACAGATATTTATAAATTCAATATTTCATCAAGATTTTTAAATAAACAATGTAATGAATTTGCACTATCGCAGTCAATAATAAAATAATCGTACTGGGTCCCGTGTACCATAAATAATCAGCCAACAAACGTGAAATTAAGCTCATCTTGTAATTTAAATAGGAGGATTCGGGCCCTCAAAATGGAGCTGAGTCCATGACAGAGCTAAGTGTGGTCGGGTCTGACCAGCAACAAGAAGCGGCGGCCTCCTCGCAGCAGGATCAGCCCCCAAGCTACCCTGAGGCCCACCCGGTGGACCTGTCTAGTCCGAGGCAGTTAGATTCACTTGACTCGTACAGCCGAGACCGCCGTAGCGCCGACCAGTACAAACACAACGGATCGCTCGACACTGCTGGTGAGTTTTTTCAATTCAATTCGTTTATTCTCTCACAACAGGTCAAATATTATTTTGGGGGAAAAATTACATTGAAGAGAGAATTGGCAGCCAGCCCTAGGAAACAACTTACTAAAACTCATAAACTTAATTTGAAAGCAAAAGTGTTTCCGAATTAAACCTACTTGCCGAGCTGGAGCCGAAAAGGGGAAATTTTAAACAACAGTCAGATATTCTTTACATGCAATTTTAAACTGAGAAACCGTACAATTTTTAACGCAGAAGGAAGGGAATACCAATGATCCGCGATTTGGAAAGAAAAACTTTGTCGACCGAGCTCTGTGCGCACTTTTGGGAGAATTAAACGGTTCTCGCCGCCACTATTTCTCATCACTCGGCCGGTGGTGATTCTCGCCTTTGCGTCCATATCAGTCTCGCCACTGGTACATTTCTTGAAAAACATCAAGTCATTGAACTTCAGCTGCTGTTGCACCGACAGCAACCCATGTTCGGCCGTATCAGGGATGTGCCGCCCATACACAAACCTGAGGGCTCTTTTTTGCACTCGCTCGAATTTGTTGATGTTGGTATTGTAGGAGGGGTGCCACGCGGGGGTGCCGTAGAACAGGAGCGGTTTCACCATCGTCTGGTAGGTCAACTTTTTCACGCGCGGCGAACAGTCGTGCAGATTGCGCGCCGCGAACGAGAGCCCCTTTGCTGCTTTGCCGCGCGCGATGTCCGTGTCTTTGCTCCACCGCAGGTCTTTGGACACTTGAACGCCGAGGAGGCGCTCGTCGGGCTTACTAGTGAACAACTCACTGAAACTCATACATCATTGAACTGAAACAAACAAGAAATTTGCCTCTGCCCTCAATACTCGCCTTACTGCAGCCGAGGATGGCTTGCCAATTAATTAAATAATATAAAGCATGAAGAAGTTATTTTAATAAATTTTCGTGCAAAAGATTATGGCAATATTACAAAGTTTAAAAATAAAGTAAGTAAAAAATATTGATATTGGGGGCTTCATGCATTAGACAAACAATTTCATGCTAATATCTTATATTCTCCAAAACTATTCTTGTTGATTGAGTAGCACACATTTGTTTCTTATTTGAATTTAATAGAGCAGCCGCCGATAATATATTATGGGAGGGGTACAAATGAAGTGCAAGTGTTTGCTTTGGACGCACTGCACGCTTTCATGCTAATACCTCGGGGCTGACAGGTGTCAGCTGTTGTGCCTCCCCCTGGTTTTGTTTTCAGTGATAAGGGGTGATTTTCAATATGGAAAAAAAGCTTAACGTCCTCACCCTCACTGCAAGCAATTCCTTTTCTAATACAGATTGTTTAGAAAGGCAATGTTTTTTTTTTCAATTCTAATGTGAAAATTTAATTTATTATCATTTATTCTTCTCAGTCAGTACAATTTCAAAAATTCGTAATTTTGTCAAGCATTAATTTGCAGTAGCAATAACACCTTTTAAAGTAGGTCAAGATACAGAGCATTATTCAAACGGTGAAACTCGTTAAAGTCATAAAATTGGTGTTGAAGTACAGAAGTTTTCACTTCCTTCACAAGTTCCTCGTCATTTCCGAGGGTTTTCAGATTTTTTGGCAGCGCATTAAAAATTCTTGGGATCATAGAATCAGGGGTTTCTACAGACTTTTTGAGAGCAATATCCTTAACCACTAGGTCATTTATACACAGACAAAACTTTTAAATTGGAAAAAAAGAGTTTACAACTAGCATATGTCTGCTAAAACGCCCGACATCAAAAGAAACTCAAAGTGAACTCACGCTAAAATAGTAATAAAAATTGCCTAGTTGAATTTACAAGGGCATATAAGTTTAATTCAAGATTAACATATTTGCTCGGCCCACTCTATTTATTATGTAAAAAAAATGAGGAAATATGAAAATGAGTATAAACAGTGTCACAACAAGCCGGGGGGCTGCTAAAATTCCGAGCATATAAAAATACACGGTCGCCATTAACCCACGTTAAAAAAATCACAAAATTATTGTTATTAAAATTTCTGCCAGAAATACTACTTGCACTGTGTGGGGGAATTGATTGTCGAGTGATGGCAGATTATTCCAGGGCTTTTATATTTTCATTTTGAGAATATTATTTCAAATTTGGTCTTTGAATTTATCGGCAAAAAAGTTTTATGTGCACAACATCAGAGAAAAGTGAAACATTTTATTTCAACACGAATAAATTGTAATTGCTCATGAAGAAATTTTCGTGCTGCGCAGTACTATTGGGTTTATTCGTACACACAGACAGCTGAAGATGATTTATCGCGCACCAACGTGGTGTAGCATTGTGTGAACCAAACCACATGTTCGTCATTCAGCACGCAGGCGGTCTAGCAGGCGAGCAGGCCAAGCGAACGGCAAGGGGGGAGCGTGTTTCATCCCCAAACACACAAGAAGGGATGATTTGTTTTGAGTTCATCCAGAGCAGTTATTTAATGAAATTTTTGGCGGATATTATTTGAGCGTTTTTGATGTTGCTGTTTTTTTTTTTTTTTTAGTTTTTTTTTTAATTGTGTTGTGTGTAAGTTCATTGCGGCAGTCGCGTCTCTTTTGATATTGAGGTTTTCAGCAAACCTCTCCTATGTATGATATCTCTCTGCCGATTTTTTTTTGCATTTTTACCGTGACATGAGTGATGAGTGGAATAAAAAATAACTAACAAATAAACAGTATTTAAATAATAATAACATTTCAATTGTTTGCAAAAAGTTCTTTAAAATTTCTGCACACTGAAATAATAATTATTATTAATTGTTACTATATTATGATGTGATTTTAGAGATTTAGTTAATATTTTCAATTTTAAAGCCTCCTAACAATTAGTAAATAAATTTTCTATTACATGAAAATCATATATTTTTATTCAAATGAGGCAACGGCAAGAATAATAATAATAATAGTTTGGAAGAAAATGCTCAACTCCCTGAAACTAGTAGCCAAAAGTAAATAATCGGAAAAGGCGGTAATTTCCTGACTGTTCGCCCCACAGCAGCATGTAAAGTAAAGGAGTAAAAGGCGTTTCAGTCTAGTCGCCCCGTTGCGAAGCAAGAATCAAGCCGGCATAACATGGTCCGACTTTGGCCTTACATTACATTTCTCATTTAAACTCGATGTTTTCAAGTTTTGCCATTTTTTTTTGCAATTAATTTAACAAGGAGAAATTGGTATACACCATCAGTATTTTGCAAAGACGCGATGACATGAGATGCGAAGACGCGTGAGAAATTTGATCGAGTTTTCATGTACAGGTTCAAAAGTGTGCAATTTCGAGGCAACAATCCAAAAGCCTTAATTTGGCCCTATCTACTTAGAATGGAGGGCTACATTAGCCTGGCGCAGGTAAGGCTTGTGGATCGCCCTCATATAATAATAAAAATTTTTTGGACAAGATTAAATAATCAAAATTTTTCTGGAAGTGCAAAAACAAAACGAGCTTTGTATCGGTTGAAACCGCTATTTTTTTATGAAAAACAATTTTCAACCAGTACAAAGCCCTTTTTATTCGATTCCACGATCGTCTCTTAAAGTGCCAAATTTCTTTAATAAATTTTTAATCGCTTCTAACCCACAAAATGAATAAAAATTTCTGAAATTTAAATAACAGTTTAATTGGTCGGCTTCAATTTTTGTGTGGCTAAACACAAATTAATTTCATATATGTGAAGTTCGGCGCAGGCCCAGAATAGTACAACCTGCCCTTGCAGCGGCAGCCACTAGGGGTGCTAGCAGGGGTGCCTCGTCCCACCCCCTTGGTACGCGAGGTGCGGCGGGAAGCGGTGCAGGTGTTGCGGATGCTTTATTCGAGTCTTGCGGACGCCTTGTTATGGTTTGAATCGCGCCAGAGCAGTGCATGGCCGCCAACCAGCAGTCCAGATCACCGTCGCTGTCCCAGCACATCGCCATGCCGTACATCGAGTCTGCCGCCCTCCACCCGTCCAGCCACTACATCCCTCAGGGCTCGGGCCCCCCCGCTCCTGGTATTTTGCACGCAAAATTTTCTGCACAGTGTTTTTCAACGTTGCAAATTTATTTCATTTCATTTATTGCTGCTGCCCTAAATTTTTCTTTCTTTTTATGAACATGGTTAGTTTAAATCATTTATTCTCTCGCATCAAGTCACACAGGAAATTAAACCTTCTTGCTGAGCTGGAGACAAAAGAATATCAAAAAGTCGCGTTTATATGCAGTTTTATTTATTGTTATTATTTTTAAACTGAGGAACTAAACAAATTTCTGGCATAAGTGGTACAGGGAATTCCACGGATAAACGGTTCTACAAGATAAACTTTGTCTATCAAGTTCAGTGCGTACTTTCTCTATGGAATAAGTCGGTGCTTTCTATGCTGTCACACGATTGGTACTGATGATTCATAGAAAACAAATCTTGTTTGCAGTACTATGTCGGCATATCAGACAAATTTTTTTTTCCTGAAGTTTTAATAAATATTTATAAAATTAGAATTTATTATAGTTTACACTCTATTCATCTAAAAAATAAGCAACAATAACTTGCTCAGATTTAAATATTTATATAAAAAAAAAACTGAATCTATACTTATTGATAATTCGGAATCATAAACTTGTTTGTTTACAAATGAAGCCAAAAAACGCGAAAGAAATAAAAATTGTGATGAAACGGCAGCACCTCTGGAAAAAAGTCCAGAGAGATAATGATTGCACGAGTATATCATAGTTTGCATAAGGTATTTAAGGCCTCCTTATTGACATAATCAAATCAAGTCTTTATCAATTATTCAAAAACATTGAAAAATTTTAACCGTACTATTGATGTATAAAGACGTGATTTCACTATATCAATAAGGAGTCCTTATGGGATTATGGGACATAACAGACATTGGAAACTTAGTTATTGTTATAAGTGTTGAAGATGTACATTGTTGATAAATCAATTTTATGTGACATGAATGAATATTTGCGTTGTACAGAATGTTGAAGTTTTAACAGAGTAAGACTGCCACAGGGTTTTCGGGGATGATGGTCCCCTGTAGTACATGGGGAGGTTTATTCAAATGCTTTCCCACCCCCGCTGAATTATTTTAGGCCTGCGAACACCCTCAGACACTTTACATTTATATATTTTTTTATATTTTTTCTCTTGATATTCTATTGTTAATTTTTCGCAAAAGCGAATCGGAGATTTATGTAATTATACATACGTAAATTTCGATCTAATATCTATCTTATCTTAGTTTAGAATTTTATTAACTGTTTGGCACAGCAGTGCGGTTAGTGCTTGCGGCTGATAATCTAAAAAAGGTCTTCGGTTCTAACCTGGCTTAGGTAGGGAGAAAAAGCTATATTTCTGGCTGGAGGTAACCATGTAGACTTCATGGGAAGTGCATTTTGAACACTGCGACAGGCAGATTTGGGAGAAATTGCATTACACTTAATTGCAAATTATCATGGCTATTGCTGTTCTTTACGACGGTTTTAGATTTTTCCAGACAAATGCCGGTATAGTTCTGATTTAACTAGGCCGCAGCCGATCACCTTCCGCATCCTTGAAATTCCCGACAACCGCGACAACCCAAACCCACCATATTCCTGGCCTATTCGGGTACAAGATCAACATAGTTAACATCCAAAAAGAGATATTTGTGTTTTTGTCCCTTGATCTTTGGCTGCTAGAAGGGTAGAAAATTTGGAAAAAAAAATCAAGCATTCATTGTTTTGTTATTATTGATGCGAGAGAGTAAATGAAATAATTATCCATTTTTTAGAGGGTTTTACGTGGTTTTACTGAAACTGTGCGAGAAAAAATTGGGCTTTAAAGAATGGAACATGCAATCCAAAATTTGGACTTTTAATTGAGAAATTAATTTTTAAAAACGACTCAAAAATATAAATTTTTGAGTCACAAAAAATCTAAATTGCAATTAAAACCCGGAAAATCAGGGTAAACAGAGCAAACATAGCCCTGAAACTTTAACACTTCACAAAACAAACAAAGACACTAATTAGACAGAAAAACACACGCACAACTATCTGGGAATAAATTTCAAACATTCCTTATTTTGTTAAGCATTTATTTGCAGTAGCAATAACACTTTTTAAAATAAGTCAAGATAGAATGCATTATTCAAACGGTAAAATTCGTTTAATTGGTGTTGAAGTACAAAAGTTTTCACTTCCTTCACAAATTCCTCGTCATTTTTGAGGGTTTTCAGGTTTTCCGGCAGCGCATTAAAAATTCTTATTTGATCCCCCAAGAATTTTTAATGCGCTGCCGAAAAACCTGAAAACCCTCGAAAATGACGAGGAACTTGTGAAAGTGTAGGAAGTGAACAATTTTGTATATACATCAACACCAATTCTATGACTTAAACGAAATTTACCGTTTGAATAATGCATTCTATCTTGACTATTTTAAAAAGTGTTATTGCTACTGCAAGTTAATGCTTAACAAAATAAAGAATATTGAAACATTAGAATTTCTAGGACGAGAATAAACAACAATATAATAATGAAATTGAAATTTAAGATAACATAGAGAAAAATCATAATGTAGAGACGAGATACGCGGAAGCAGCTATGTATCGTGGTGACGTCTCGTCTCATCATAGATCAATAATAATAAAATAATAATTTCAAATTTTAATTCGGTGGAATAAAAAGTGATGGGCACACGTGCGCACGTCTTGTCAAACGGTGAGAAAACAAAATGGCGTTGGGTAACAGTTGGACTTTTACCCACGGTGGTCTGTGAGATCGATAGAGATGCACAGCACGCGAGCAACCATAGCGAGAAAGAAAAGATTGAACCGCAAAATATCTAAAGCTGTTTCTTCCAGTAAAAGTAGATGATATGAGAACATTTTTATCCATTATTACATAGAACGCATGCTCTTTTTTCTGTAGCCACAAAAAAATACACAGAGGATAATAAAGGAAGAAAAATCAGTGCACTTAATGTCGGCATAACGCAATACTAATCTTGAACCTATAATAATATAACATATATCGCGCGGCCACAGCAGTAAAGGCAATTTTTTATATCATTAAAAAAGCGTGCACTGGGCCGGGAGATGCATTTTATTTTATTTATTGTAATTTATGAAATACGCTGATGATACACATTGACTTTGTATAGAAAGGGTGGAGGGTCACATGGTCTTCAGCGACCAAGTGAGAAGTAATTTGAAGCTGCGTTTTAAAAAATTTTCACTAAAACTTCTCTGAGCGCTGCGGTGATTTTCTCATGAGGCTCGGACGCTTTTATTCAATGAAACTTTTTGTCTTTTTCAATTTAATCCTTAGAAAATTTTAATCGGCAAACCCAACAAAACTTAACATTTTCATCAATTTCTTGTAGAATGGCAGTCTCCAGAGGTGAAACCCTACGGATATCCTCGATGTAAGGAATTCCTCCGCATTTATCATTATTTTTTTTCGTCCGCACTACGGCACCAATTTTTATTTTTGCAAATTTTTCTTCACAGATTGTCACACTGCACAGGTGGATTGTATTGCTCATTAATGAGAAATTATTATTTTATACAGGTTGGTTATTTTTAAGGTTGACGAGCGAGCCCAGATTCACTTGGGGCTTGTGCGAGCCCAGAAAAATTTACATTGTGAGGCCGAGCGAATTTTGCATCCCGAGAGAAGGGAGATGGGAGAGTATAGCAAACTTAAGCTGATAGCAGTTATCAGTCACCTTCCTGACTTCATTCCCTATCCCAACCCCTATCCCTTCATAGATTTATAGATTTAAGGCGAATTTATTGGAGGGAAAATTCGCGGGCTCGTGAGCAACTCAGGACCGCGAGCTCCAAAATTTAAAAAAATGCAGAGCTCGAGCCCACTATGTGACCAAAAAGCGCTACTGTAAATAAAAAGATGGCTCGCTCGTCAACCCTGGTTTTTTTGCAGCACGCTTGTTGCTTTTATGCACGCTTTTAGATTTTGTGATGTCTCATCAAGTCATCAGAACACAAAGAAAGCACTTATAGAAGCATAACATTATACAATAAATAATTCGGAGATGTAAATGCGCGGTGAATATCTTCAGTGCTATTGCTATAACGATTAATCTTGGTTGCAGGGGCTGTACCTTGGCCTCCACACTCTCCCCACAACCACCGCAGCTCTTATTGGACTGACTCGGTTGAAAATCCGACAGGTACGTTTTATGCTATCAATTGAGTGTTTATTTATTTTAATTTTATTTTATTTATTTCTTTGTACAATTTTTGCTTCACAAACTTTTTATTAATCTGAAATAGATAAATTATAGTGGATATTTATAAAGATTTGATATTTATGTATTTTAAAAGAGAATGAACATAAATATTAAAAATCCAAAAAAATCTTAAATAATATCATTCAATTCAATTTATTTATAAAAAATATATATATATGTCTTCTAGTTCAATAGGAAATCAAAATATTTAAAAGAATAAAGAATATTTTCATGAATAGGAATGTGGAAAGAAAATCACTTTTGCACTGGTGGAGAATGTTTTTGTTAAATTTCGCAACTTTTAATTTTAGTCATAAGTGAGCTTGATTATTACAAAGAGATCTGATAATAAAGATTTCGTACAATTTCATTATATTGTCCAAGAGTTGTGATTTACATATAAATAAATTGGAAAACAATTCTAATTTATAGACTCTGGCTCATCGATGATACTTGGGTCTTTGACCCCGCCGGACAAGATGAATGGAGAGCACCCACACGCGGCGGGGGTCGCCAGTGCCTCAGGCATCTCGCACCACTTCAACCTGTCATCTATAGCTGGTCACGGCATGCAGACGCCGCCGTCACCCATCCCAACCCCCTCTCCGCCTGTTCCCATTGAGAGATTCAGGTGTGAATTGCAAAATTTCATCAACATTTTTTATTAGTAGCTAGGCAAAGTGATAATAATTTCAGTTCCTTGTTCTGCAGACCAAAGGACCAGCGGCTAACCCGCGATGCCATGAAAAGGTACCTGCGCGAGCGGAGTGACATGATCATTGTCATTCTCCATGCCAAGGTTGCGCAGAAGTCATATGGCAATGAGAAAAGGTTCTTCTGCCCACCCCCCTGCATCTACCTCTTTGGTGAAGGATGGCGGATAAAACAGGTATAGGGCTGGAACATTTTCTTTTTCATTTTTTTCTAGCAATAATTATTTGTAATATTAAATTATTTCTTTTATTCATTATGGGTCCGGGGCAGCTAGAGGCGGGGGTGCCAGTTTTTGTCGCCTCTCAGCTCTTGCCCGCCCTGGATATATGTGTGCGCGCGCGTCAAAATCAAATGTCGCACTTGAAACTATTTAATATATAAATGAATCCAGAATGAAATTATTTTAATTTTGACTCTGCTACTTATAAATGTTTGTTACACATTTTTCAATTTTTCTGCAGGAGCAAATGTTAAAGTCTGGCGAGTCCGAGCAGAGTTCGCAGTTGTGCGCTTTCATCGGAATTGGCAACTCAGACCAGGACATGCAGCAGCTAGACCTGAATGGAAAGCAGTACTGTGCGGCAAAGACGCTCTTCATCTCCGACTCCGACAAGCGCAAGCACTTCATGCTTTCGGTCAAGATGTTTTATGGCAATGGTCACGACATTGGCGTTTTTCATAGCAAACGCATTAAGGTTATCTCAAAGCCGTCAAAGAAGAAGCAGTCTCTCAAAAATGCAGATCGTGAGTTTTAAAAAAGGACTCGACTAAATTTTTCACTGAAGGAAATTTATCCACAGTGTGTATAGCCAGCGGAACCAAAGTTGCTCTGTTCAATCGACTGAGATCTCAGACTGTCAGCACTAGGTATCTACACGTCGAAAACGGAAACTTCCACGCCAGCTCAACCCAATGGGGCGCCTTCACGATACACTTGTGTAAGTACATAATTATCCCATATATAGTTCAAAGGTTATGAAATATTTATATTATATTTCTATTTCCTCCAGCCCCTGCAGGTTTTTTGCAATTTTTTTTTAGAATCCAATTAAATAGCAAGTGTTTTTGGTATCAGTAAATCTGGACTCTTTTGACATCCGGCGTCTTAGCAGATTTCTGCTAGCATTGTGATACTATTTCTCCCCATTTTTCCAGATACCAATTTTTTATGATTTCATTATATGCTAAGAATTGGCTCAATCGAGCTTATTTTATGTATAGAAAATTTATTAAACACCATAATTATAGTATTCAAAAACATATTTTCACGTTGTTTGAGTTAATTGAGTTTATTTTGACTACTTATAAGTATGAACTGTTAAATTATGATTTTAGTGGATGACAATGAGTCAGAGTCGGAAGAATTCACAGTTAGAGATGGCTACATCCATTACGGCTCAACTGTGAAGTTGGTGTGCAGCGTCACAGGCATGGCACTGCCTCGCCTCATCATTCGTAAAGTGGACAAGCAGATGGCCCTTCTGGACGCTGACGACCCTGTCTCGCAACTGCACAAATGTGCCTTCTACATGAAAGACACCGAACGAATGTACCTGTGTTTGTCTCAAGAAAGAATAATCCAATTCCAGGTACATTCTCAAATTTCTTGTAAAATGAATTGTTCTAAATTAGCAAAATTTATTTATTATAGGCAACACCATGCCCTAAGGAGCCAAATAAAGAAATGATAAATGATGGTGCTTCATGGACAATAATCAGCACGGACAAAGCTGAATACCAGTTCTATGAAGGGATGGGTCCTGTTAGGGCGCCCGTCACACCAGTCCCTCTTGTATCAACACTTCATGTGAGTCAAAATTTGACATTTTTCCTCCTGATTTTCTGAATGACTTTAAACAGTTGAACGGAGGTGGAGATGTGGCTATGCTTGAGCTGACTGGCGAAAACTTCACACCCAGTCTGAAGGTGTGGTTCGGTGATGTGGAGGCTGAGACTATGTACAGGTGTCAGGAGAGCATGTTGTGTGTAGTACCTGAGATTTCCGCCTTCCGTGGTGAATGGCTCTGGGTTCGACAGCCAACTCAGGTAACTTAAAATATCATATCATTGACACAAAAATTAAATTAATCATTGTCACGGAAAATTGTCCGATCTCTGGGTGGGGCCCCAACCGTCTATCACATGTTTATAGTGGAAGGGGAAGATCAGACTATTTTCCACGACATTGGCTAATTATGCTCTGAAGTTTTTAGAGTATCCATGGATTATATTAATAAATATTTAATGTGCATATTTTTGGTGCATTTAGTCTCCTAACTTTCCTTTTCAAAGAAATTGTTTTTCAATAAGTGATATGTTTAGGTTCCAGTAACCTTAGTTAGAAATGATGGGATCATTTATGCAACTGGTCTGACATTCACATACACACCAGAGCCTGGCCCTCGGCCACACTGCACAGCCGCTGAAGATATTTTGCGCACCAATACTCATCTAGGGCGTCCGCCCCCGCTCAGCCTGTCGGCCTTCGACTCTCAAGCTACCATCCAAGGAGGATTGTGAACAGAACAGACCAGTCAGTGGTTATATAAATTTGTACTTAAAAAGTGCTGGAACGATGAAATCTCTAAAATATCACACTGCTACTTTAGTGAATTTCCAATGGTGTAATACATTCATATAGGGTATGTTTGATACACACATGTGCACGCGCACGCAATGTTCTTTTTTTAATTATTTTTTATCAAGAAGGAAAAACTGTATAGTGTTCTGTGATTTTCTGATACTGCAATATTTTTTCTTCCTCTATTGTTGCTTCATTGGCCAAAAATTTATTAAAGGAAAAATAAGTTTTTGTATGTTAAATTATTTATGTACGAGTTTGAAAAAAATATGCAACTACTTGTGAATGAGTGAAACAATATTCTGAGAAAAATGAAATGCATTCTATTTTCCTTGATTTTTGTACCGAGCACCTTACCTTGATAAAAAAAAAAAATATTAAATTGCTGTTGTTAAGTGAAATAGGTTCATCAGGGGAATAAGGAATAAGAGAGGTCACACACTTACTTCATTTAATTTTAGAGAATTATATAAAGATTTTATTATTGCTAGCCTTTACAAGAAGAAATTAAAATGTTTTATTTTGGTTTGAATTATTAGATCGCCAGTTATCAGAGGTGGGGAAATTTTATCACGAGAGTAATATGTTTAAACAATAAAGTGAGAGATGCAAGAAGGAGCTTCCTCTAATTTCATGTCTAACCCAGAACTATTGACAAAATACAATAATTAAAGACCTACAATAAATTTCTTGTATTATTTTAATTTTACAATAATATAATACCCAATGACTAAATCAACAACCCTTGTACTACCCCTGCATATGTATGATTATTTAACAATATACGGTATTATCGTGCAAGCTGTGTGATGAGTGCAGCACACATTTCGAAAAACTCCATTGTGTGGTGGCCAGTAGCCTGTTGTTGTGGCGACAGCAGGTCTGCATTTGAAAAAGATTAGATCCAGCATCTGTTTGTTCCATATGGATATTTTCCATTGAATGCTCAAATATTACATACCAGTGGAAGCGTTCAAATCTTGCTCCTCTCCGCTGAGACTCTTAAAGTCCAGCAGGTAGCTCTTAGGGTCAACCTGATAAAGCTGCAAGGACATTAACACATAGTCATCCATGGTCCTGTTCTTCTGGCGGACTCTGACGTAGTACGGATTTATCACTTTCCACTCCTGAGAGTTTTAAGTTTAGATGGAGAAGAATAAGAGTGGTTCAAAATCAAAACTTACAAAATCGAGAGCCTTCATTGCCCTGTAGACTTCGCCCATTATATCATGAGGTTTGCTTTGCGAGCGGATTCCTAAAAATACAGAAATTTATTGTGATTGAATTTGGTTCCATATGCTTCAAAAGTTGTCTTATTTTTACCCAAATGCCACTTGGCCCTCTTGACAGGGGCGCGGTGTCGATCTGTCAGGTGAGAGGTGGCCCCAAGAGATGCTCCACCGCTTGAAGCCAAAACACGCTCTCTCAACGCTAAATTATTATTATTTTTAATGCAATTTTCACAGAAAATGAATAAAAAAAACTTACGAGCAATTCGCTCTGGGTGAGGCCTAGACGGACTTTGAGCAAATTCACTGGGGCTAAAAGAAACAGGTGGTGGACTGCTGGCAACATAGAAATCTTTGAGTTCTGCTTTAGCAGCCTCATCAGCAATTCGTTTGTTGTCAATGATCAGATGGTAAGCGATTGCCAATTGGTCATGTGGATCTCCATTCAGCAAAGCATTGTGCACTTCCTGCTCCTTCACTTGAAATTTCTAAAAAATCAAACAAAATATTAGAGTAAATAACTTGACAATAATTAGTACATTGAGGAGATTCATTTGAAAGGCAAAGCTCAATGTATAATGTCCAGAGATAATGATCACACAAGTATATAATAAATTACCTGGGGTAATAAAAAACACAACAGACCATGACTACTTTGTTAAAATTGTGAAGTATCAATTCTATGAAAAGAATGGAAACTGAGGACAAAAATTTCAATGCCTGAATTGAACAGAGTGAGACTCAGCTACAGGGTTTTTGGGGGAGTTACGCAAGGAGGGATATAGTCAAATGTTTGTCCAGCCCTGCTGCAGAGTTAAAACAAATGAGCGGGCACCACTCAATCACATCAATTATTATACTAAATTTGATATTATTTTAATCATTACTACAAAGGTAACATACTTTTCAAATAAGTCGGAGTATTAATTTTTTCATTATATTTGCAATTTTTGTCTTTTGATTTTATTTTTAAATGTAAAGGTTTAGCCACGGAGCTGATTGAGATTGGAGCTTGTATATTATGTATTATATGCCTGTTCTAATTGTCATGAGTCGCTGCCTGATGATTTTCTTCTTGAGAGACATCTAATTATTTTTACTTTGAAGCAGGTCTCTGATATTTCTTGCCATGTGATTCCACGTACATGGACTGTTTGTCTGTGGCCATTCATTCTTTGTCGCAGGGAGTTCACGGTTTTTTCAACGTAATGGGCCACGCAAAATTAATTTAAAAATTTAAAAAGCAATATAATTTTTTCAATGTATTTTCAGCATTATACTAAATTATTTACTACATGCATTTTTGTCTTGTATGTTTATATTTTGTATACCCATGCATGATTTTTTTTTGTACCGTGTATTTTTTTTTTTGCGATGTGATGTTACCAATTAATGGAGAATAAATTCAATTAGAATAATTGAATTTAATGTGTTCTTTTTTTCTTTTTTAAACTTTTGACTGTCAATAACTGTAAACTACTTTAAATGACTTGTTGCAAAGTCAAATTGGAGAGCTCTGTCCGCAGAAGTTTGACAACACAACAATAAAAAAAAACATTGCGGCAAACAGTCAAAATTCCACGGACAAAGCAACATGTTTAATGCAATTAATTATGATCTTAATTATTTAATTTCATAATAAGAGATTTCTCACCTCACAAACTTCATTGATGGCTTCAAGGTCAATGACTGACGAGTCCTGGTCAACTGACGAAGGGAACAAGTAGGCTGGCAGGTCTTTTTGGAACCACTCGTGTTTTCTAAACTTTCAGTGTTAAAATTTATTTAATAATTTTAAAATTTTATTCCGAACTTGATGTCCTCTATAGTTGCTCTTTTCATGGGGTCAACTTGCATCATGTGACAAAGTAGGCCAACAACCGACTTATTTAAATAGTCTGGTATGGGAAACACACCAGCTAGAATAGAATTTTTCAGGATAAACAATTTAATATATTTTTATAATCTTACATTTTATTTTTCGGAAGAGATTTTGGACATGCTCATCGTCAAAGGGCAGTGTTCCACAGAGCAGGGCATATAAGATGACCCCGCAGGACCAAATGTCCACCTCAGGACCTGCATACAACTTCCCCGATATGACCTCTGGGGCGGCGTAGTTGGGAGAGCCACAGCTCGTCCTCAGGAACTCGCCATCCATCATCATGTTGCTTAACCCAAAGTCTGCAATTTTTACGTGGTGGTTGTGATCAAGAAGTAGGTTCTCTGGCTTCAGGTCACGGTGCACTATCATATGCCGGTGGCAGTAATCTACACCTGAGATGATCTGCTGGAAGAATCTGCGTGCCTCGTGTTCTTTCAACTGGATATAATAATATTAAAACAAATTTTATAAACTTCCTAATCAATATTTAACCCACCTTTCCTTTCTTAACTATGTAATCAAACAGTTCACCTCCAGCTACGTATTCCATAATCATAAAAATATCAGTGGGAGTGCTGATCACTTGATACCTGTAAATTTTCCCAAATTTAAATTTTTTTACTTATAAACTTAAGGATTTGATATAAGATTGATGGTGAATTTCAAATAATACGCTTACAATTTTATTATGTGCGGGTGTCTGAAAAGTTTCAAGTTCTGGATCTCTCTCCGTATTTTCCCCACCACTGAGAGACTCTTAATTTTTTGCCTGTTCAAGATTTTCACTGCCACCTTGTGCTTTGTCACTTGGTGCTCGCCGACTGCAAGCAATAATACATATATGAAATATGAAGATTTTACAGCAATAATAATTAATTGTAGGATGGCCTCATTGGCCTTGATATCTTAACTATACATAAACTACTTAGAGCAATATTAGCAATTTTTATTTACTTTTGACTTTTCCAAATGTCCCAATGCCCAATGTGGCTCCAAGAGTGTAGTGACCAATTTTGACGATAGGCTGCTGGCCGCTCCCCACTTCAGTTTTGTCTGCCGAGGATGTTGAAGAATTTAGGGACTGGTCTGCAAGTGGTTTCGGCATGGTGACTTCCTCAAGAAGATAACAACCTTACAACTTCTGAAAGCAAATGCAGGAAGGTATTGTATATTTATAAAAATGTGAAATATATGCATGCATTATTGTATTGTAGGTAAATTGCATAGGTGCACAAATTATATGTATGTATGTATCATATATGGTAGCAAAAAATCAAGTTGATACATTCGTCAATCACGTCTGCCAAGAAGGTGGTCACCAAGCAAGGATCAAGGATTTTTATGTACACTTGTAAAGTACATATCAAAATGAAAATGAAAGATCCTTTTCACCAAGAATTAAAAATTAATTAGCCTCTTAAAGTGTTTCCTGGCAGTCACCAGTAAAAAAACAACTAGTATAGATACTTTAAATCTCGTCCAACGTCTCGACTGAATCGTCTTCACAGAAAATAAATAGTGATCTCCGTGCTCCGTGTCTCCGTGACCTCTCTCAAAACCAACCTCATAACTCTCAAAAATAAACAAGAGTGTGCAGGAAGGAGATCTAATAAGCAGACAAAGAACTAGCACAAGAAGTTTAGTTTACTAACTTTCCTCCAATAAGCTTTCCTCCAACCAAGCAACCAAGTTTCCTCCTTCGTCAAAACCAAGGATAACCAAGGAGGTCAAAACTAATAGAGCAAGAAATTTGATTGGCCGGGTGTCTCTTTCCAGCGCTTTCCAAAAACTGCTGAACCCACCAATGAGCAGCAATTTTACTTATCCACTTTCCTCCTTGCACCTTCTCCTTGCAAGGAGTCTTCAAGGGAGTCAATTGACATTCGTCATCTCATCAACCAAAACAGTAAAAAAAAAAACAAGCAGCACAGACACAGAGTACAGGAGCTTTAAGTTTAGAGCTAAAGTAACAAGAGACGACGAGTTCGGTTTCGAGTAAGCGGAAGGACGCATCCGACGCATATTGTATGTATTTTGTCGTGGAGTATTTTTGTCTTTCTCTCGCCAGCCTCTAATTTCTAATTAGCAGACTCTTCTCTATTCACACGCACACACACCCGTCCCTCCTCATATCACTTTTCTTTCAGCTAAGTCTGTTCTCATCGACTCCATCCCAGCTTTAAATCCGCGCCCAAATCAACCGTTCAAAATGAGCTGCACCTACTCATGCAACAAACTGATCCTCTTCACCGTCAATTTAGTGGTCGCTGTAAGGAAAACAAATCAATTCATTTATATTTTAATCATTTAAATTACTCAGATCTGCAGCTTGGCCGTGCTGATTGTGTGTTCCCTGGCGCTAATCAACGTACAGCCTCTATATGATCTGCATAATATAACGCTAAAGGTGCCTGTACCCTTGGCTTTGTGGATCATCATTGCTGTGGCAGGAGTAGCTTTCCTGCTGTCCTTCATAGGTTGTTGTGGTGCCCTCAACGAAAGCAGCTGTCTTCTCTACTTGGTCTGTTTTACCTTTGCCTCTATTCAAATTTCTACATATGTTTTTTCTTGAAAATTGCAATTGTCTTAAAAAAAAAGAATCTCTTGCACCCAGTAACGATTGGGCAAGGTTTAAAAACCTGCTATATTTATAATTTATCTTGGAATTATATAATAATAACATATAATTTTTTTTACTAGTTTGCTACGATTCTGAGTATCGTACTGGTGGTGCAGCTAGCTGTCGTTGGATTCTCTTACTACAAGCAAGACGACTTCAAGGCTGAGATTAACAATGTCCTCAACTTAACTCTTTATGACTACCCCAAGAGCAAGGACGGCATTGTCCGCAAAACCTGGGATGTCATCCAAACTGATGTGAGTATTACAAATATGGCATATTTCAAAATCATTCCCAACAACCTGCAAAAAAAATCAAATTTTCTAATAATAATGTTTAAGCCATCATATTCTGTGTCTAAGTAGTATTTTAGTGCTCCTTTAGTGAAGGAAGGTATCGATAAAAAAAGGCTTATGGCACTTGTCTAAACTTGCTTATGCAATTTAGAGCTCAATCCATATTTCCTTTTTTCGCGCTATTATGAATAATTTCTGTTTGCAATTTTTTTTTGGATAAGATTAGATAAAATTGTATTGCATTAGACAATTGTAATACGTCTCCTAAAATTGTCTTTACAACAAGACATTATTTATTTCTAGGTACAAAATATCAAATACTATTATCTTGATCATTAAAGTCAGTGATTGAGGTTACTCGCGCGCCATTAATAATTTGGTGGGGGTGGGCAAGCATTTGGCTATCTCTCCTCAAATACTGCGGGGGAAAACCACTCCCGAAAACCCTGCAGCTGAGTCTCAATCTGCCAATTTTAAGCATTCAGAATTACATATCATAGAATTGGCACTTCAGCATATTTAACACTTTTAACAAAGTTGCCATAGTCAGCTATTTCTTTCAATAAATTGGGTAATTTATTATATACTCATGCTATCATTATCTCAGGAGTTTCATTCACAAAATTAATTTGGTTTCATAAATGTTTTGTTTCAATTTCAGTTAAAATGTTGCGGAATCAATGGACCTGAGGACTGGCAGCACATCTTCAACAATGATACTCTGCCCAATGCTTGCTGTGAGGCTGTCCCTGCTGATGGTTCTTGCAATGTCAGGGACGAAGAATCTTCAGCCTTCAAAACTGGCTGTTTAGAGGTCATAGTTAGCAAATTAGACCCCGTCTTCATGAGCGTCTTGATTGTTGGCATCCTCGAGGTAATTAAATTGAACACTTTTAAGTCCATTTATAAATATATCAATTATATTTCAAGGGAATTAAACTGGCTGATTAATATTATTATCATTGCAGCTTCTAGGTATCATTATTGCTTGCTGCCTGTCATCTTCAATCACTGCCCAGTACCGAACCGTGTAGAGCTCTCAGTTTGTATTGTTTTCTTCAATTTCAAAATTTCTTTATTTTGTTAAGCATTAGATTGAAATACCCTATTTTAATATTGTGTTAACATGTCATGTTAAGGATCATAATCTGAATTTAAACTGTTGTAGTTTCTAATTAAACTTTTTTTACAATATTCTCTACAACATAATGGCATAATATGCCATAAAGATGAGAATCTGAATTTTAACTGTTGCAGTTTCTAATTTAACATTTTTTTTTTTACAATATGTTACGACATAATGGCATAATATGACCTTGTTTTGGTTGCCCTCGTGGCTGTTACTCAAAATTGGATTGCAGTTGCGTGTAATAATTAGCACATATTTATATTTTTCATCACTAGACTTGAAATTGTAGCAATGTTATAAAAAAATGCCAGAAATCAAGACTCGAGACTATCTGCTGAGGTCAATTTGGAAAAAGATCTGACAGTTAATTCAACCTGCAAACCCTAATACTCTGCAATTCCGAACTCATTCAATTTTAAGTTGGCAATTGATGTTTCTTTTTTGTATTTATCTGTCCATAAATTTACAATAATTATGTATATTTTATGGGGTAGAATGTGAACCGTCAAATAAAATAATTTGATTGCACATTATGTCAAGTAATAATCATGTCAATTTCTTAAAGCATTTTATACTGAGATTTGTTGAGCACATATATTAACTAGCTTTCAATTAAATTAATGTATTTGATTTTTATTGTGCCCCAAAATTTTGTAATGTACTCTTATTTTGGCACAATTTGACATAATATATGATTTCATATCATCAATTGAAGTACTTGTTCAATACTTTCCTTGGATGCCATAGGATAATGCATCTCTCAATTTGATTTTAAGGAAAATTTCTGATTATAAAAGGGATGACGGCAGCTGGAGTTTAAACATGCTTAAGCAACCTCCTATCATAAATATAATCTCTAATAGCCTGTAACTAATAATTTTCAATTTATGTACTAGCAGGTGAAAAAACTTATTGCTAACCAGCTAAAAAGTAAAAAAAGTATGTTGTAATGTAAATGTTTGTCTTCTTTATTTCTTTCATACATTAAATCTATTTATAAATGTCATTATTTAATAAAAAAAAAATCCAGTTGATAGAAAGAAAAATCCCAAACTTTGCTTAAGTGCTTAAAAAAAATGAATGTATTACTTTTACAAGCATATATATTTTTAGATAGCGGTGAAGAAGTCGCTATATATTTTGGAGCTGTAAAGAATCAAGTAATCGCGCTTTTTTTGACAATTTCATAATTAAATCAAGCAGTACGATGGGAAAAGTGGGAAGGCAATGAATTTTCTGTAATTTTCAGCGCCGCCGAGCCTAACTAATGTCTGCGAACGTGGAAAAGTGGCAAAAATAATTGTGAAAGAACAGGGAAGGTGAAAATTAATAATTATTTTTGTAATTTACAAAAAATAATTTAGCAGCAGCATAAATTAATAGAAAATGGGACTAGATTTGTAAATTAATCAAAATTAAAATTCTCCGCTGGAGGAGCGGGGAAATAATTTTTGATATTTTAGCACAATTATTAACTAAAAAAGTTGAAACTTATTAATTGAAGTTTGGAGGATTACATTTTTAAGTTGGCAACAGGCAAAAAATAAACATTGATTTTCAATTCGACTGAGAGGAGATTGAAACATTCAAAAGATTTGTGCGAATGTAAATAGCTGTTTATATCACAAAGAAAAACAATGAGGTAAAATTCGTAAAATTTGAAGGAACAATCCGATCTCACGGCTCCCTCACGGCTCGGTTTTGATTTGGGTTAAGATTATTTAATAAAATATTGTGATTGAAAATTTTTATTAGAATTTAAAGAGGATGGTACCACCTAAGGGCAGCAATATCCTCCACAGAAACTGATAGTTTAGGCCATAAGGATCATTTTGATAACCAGAAAATTGGGGGTCACCCCATAAATTTTTGAGAAAAACGCGTTTGAATTTAACATGGTTTGCTAATGGACAATTTTTATGAAAATCATTCAATCCCATTTTAAGTAAATGAAACTAACTTTGGCAAAGGTGTGTGACCCACCAACATGTTCCTTGATATCCCTGCTACAGATTTGGCACCAGAAAATTGGGGGTCACCCCATAAAATTTTGAGAAAAGTTTAATTGAATATTAAAAAACGTGGTTTTTTGCATTTTTCTCGTTTCGGAGAAAATCAATCCAATTTTAGAGCGCTTGGAATTTATTGATTTCTATAATCAAATAAAAAGATAGTTCATACTTTGGTTCCTACAATTCTGAAGTAATGAAAATTTTTCACATTTTTCAAAATCCAATATGGCCACCGGAGAAACATAAGGGTTTATTAAAACTGCTGCCAAATTAATTTGGGTGAAGATTTTTTAATTTCCTTGAAAGGAAGTTGAAGTTAATGAACCAAGGTATCTTTTCTCAATGGTCAGTAAGTTTCTAGGTCAAAGGTCATTGACCCTGACCAAAGGTCAAAATATAAAGTTTTATGCCCCTTGAAAATAGGCAACCGGACAAAAAATCCGAGATAGCCATTAGATGCGCCTTGTCATTTTGCATCCGAATACAAATTTTCAAAATGTTTGAACAAGCCGTTTAGAAAATTTTATTGAGTTATGAATAGGGTCCGAACGACTGAAACTGTTCCGTTCGGATGAGTTAAAAATTAGAAAATGATGCTTTTTTTAATCATATTTGAAAAAAATTGAGTATGTTTTATTGTATTCCATTAATATTTGAAGGATTTGAAAAACATTTTGTAGGAGGTTCCATCTACTTTAACAATCGAATATTGGAATATTTGGAATTGAACTGGACTTGATGGCCTCGCTAGGTTGAAATTTGGAATACGATGGACCTCATAGCTGTCGACGCATCTGGAGGCTCTGGGACCTGTGGAAAATGTTAAGTCCCCTCAACTATGTGTCGTCCATGAGCACATACCAGCCTATGAATTTTTGGCTAGAGCCGTGTCCAACACAACTGTCAACTGCTCCAGGAGCTCCGCATCATAGAAAAAGGGCGCTAAGTACACCATGATCGATCGCGAGAACGCTGGAGTCGTGATCTAGATAACTGTCCGCGACCAGGGTGGGAATTTTCTGCCCCAATACAATTTGCTCACTTCATTAAATAGTATACAGTAGTGACTCTCGTTATTATAATTTTTTATTCTAAGCAAAAATTTCCTATCATTGATGAATGATTTTATTTTTCCATTTATTATTATTTTAAATACACCCCCATAGGTGTACACAACCATTGATTGGAAGGGTTTAGTATTCAATTCAGAACGCTATTTTCTTTTTAAATACTTCAACAGTTTTATTTTTGTATTATGTAAATGCAACATATCCTTGCATAATTTAAAAAATAGTATTGTGTGACTCTGAATCATTCTTATTCTTGTACAGTCGAGTGATGAGATTATTTATTTACTCTTACTTAGACATATTTAATAATCTACAGCAGCTTGACCAAAACATTGTAATTTACCTTCATCAAGCAACTATTACCCTTTGGAGTGGCTGCGAGGGCTGAGAGGGCTTGAAGGTCACATATGTGTAAAGGAGGCTTCCAAACACACTGGAACAAGTTTGTACATCATTATTGAAAGGCAGAATTTGCGTTGGGTGTCAAACAACAGATTCATATAATATTTATTCCGTATAATATATGCACGATGCATATTAGCAAAAATTAAATTTTTATCAAAGGCATTGTCGAGAGCTGTTTGTGAGCTAATATCCTCACGGGTCACCCAGCCCATTGCAGAAAGAGCAATAAAGGCACCAGATTCACCCGCGTTTTAGCAACTTGTTTGCACTAGCTGATGCCATTATTTCTTTACATTTTGTTTTTCCTCGCTCATTTTGTATACTAGATTTTGGTGAATAATATTTGAGATTTTTATTTACCTGACGTTGAGCCCCATGAAGTTGACAATTGAGAAAATATAGTCACCACCAATGACCATGCCCAGATAAGTGATGCAAATATTCTTGAGGCAGCCGATGATGGTGGTAGTAAGGGCAGAGTTGTGCTGGGTGCAGAGGATCACAGTGTAGGACAGAATGAATCCCATGACGCAGGAGAGCAGGAACTGAGCAAGGAAGAGGCTATCCGACCAGTGAGGGTATGTCAGGGCTTCATGCAGCTCACCACTCTTGATCGAGAAGAGGAATGTTGGCACCAGCATGAAGAGGGCGTTGTAGTACAGAAGCCCATATTTGCCCAGTTCTTTAGAGTCCAGTTTCTTCTTCATTATTACACCGTTTGTGGCTGTGAAGAAGTCGTTGAGCAGCACAAAAATGTAGCCTTGCATGTTGAATGCCAGGTCATTGCTGAAAATATTATACATAATATACTTTTTATACTGTAATGATCATTTTTTTACAAAAATAATTATCCAGACGATTTTACCACAGTGAACTTTTAGGCCAACATTTACCCTAAAAACATAAAATTTACTTTATGAATCATACAGCATTGGCCCAAAATAGACACAATTAATTTTATATTTATTAAAAATTATTTAATTCATGAGCTCAAATGTAAAAAGTCTGTGACTGCATAAATTTTAATATTGCTTTTATATATATCAAGGATGGACGCGATCTCAAATTTTGCGATTGCGATCTTGAAATTGAAAAGTCGTGCGATTGCGATGAAAATCCTTGCGATTATTTGCGATCAAATATATTTTTGAAAAAACACATTTCCGAACGGTTTTTTAATCAAATTTGGTGTCAGATCAGAACAAGGAGTCCAAACAAAATTTCGTAAATGATAAGTCTATTGTCTATTTAAAAATTTTTTCTATCAATTACCTGAAATTGACAGTTTTTCTTCAAGATTTAGCTTCAATTCTCCCGGATTAAGCATTAAAATTGCTTTAAGCGATTGCAATAAGATCGCAAATGAACGCCTGCAATCGACCACCTTTTGGGATTGCGATCATCTTTTCAAAAAAATGGTGCGATTCCGATTGCCATCAGATCGCAATTGCAATCGCAGATTACTTATGCGATTTTGTCCATCCTTGGCACAAATTAAATTGTATTTTAAAAATAAGATTTTTTATTTAAAAACTGGATTTTCAAATTTAAAGAAATAAGAAGCAAAAGGATAATTTCAGAAGCATTGAAGATCGGAAATGTAAGTATTTACTTATAAAAAAAGTACTGACCTAGCGGCTACAATGGCACCAATGATCATGGTGTACACAGAAACTTGAATGGCAAGACTAGGCTTGATGCCAAGGATATAAAACTCGGCAATCATGGTCATTAAAATTGAAAATCGACGCAACACAGTGAACATGGGAAGGCTGAAAGACAATAATTATTGATCAAAAGGTTGATAATCTATAAAATCTGGTAATACCTCAGCTGCTGGGTCCCGGCAAGCCCAAATATCATGTTTCCAATGTAAATTAGAGGTAGAGGCCATATCTTAAAATATTTCATTATAAATTTTTGTATATTCATTTTCTTTGCCTAGTGCACCCACCTTCCTGAAGGTGTCCCTGGCAAAATCAGGGAATTGAATAATTCGAAGTCGTTTTCCGACAAAAAGAACAACCACTGTTGCAATCATCTGCCCCAGCCCCAAAAATTGTACAGACGGAAATCTATAGAGTAAAAAATTTGTGAACAAGATTATTTTAAGCAACCTAAACAAAAATTACTTATAAGTAGTGAGGACTGTTTTGTTGATAACAGTTATCATGAAGGAAGCTACCCCGTAGAACACCGCTGAGATGATCTTTTTCCAAAATAAAGCATTCTTCTTTATGTTGATGTTAGATCGCTCGATGTTGGACGAGGCGCCGCCAACCAAAGGAGCGGAGTCTTCGTCTGACCCTGTCATCTTGGTTATTCAAAAGTCATCTTTTTGGCACAACGAGACGATTTAAAAGCTGCAAAAATTTTTTTATTATGTCATATTATTCTGTTGTTTCTGTGATAAAATGCAAACACACAACAAACCTTTTTCGTAGTAATTTTTCTCTGACAAGGGAAATGACACACGTAAGCAGATGCACTACCATTGTTTGAGAGGTATAAATATTAAATTTCCTCAAAGACAAATAGCCTTGGGATAAGATGCTGCACTGAAGTGTGTACTACATAATATATCTACATATCTTACGTGTCACAATTTAAAAATAAAATGATATTTCGTTGTTCCATTAAATGAAGAGACTAAACACAAAGGTTACCAGTCTAAATGAATTTTTCACAACCTAAAGTTTCAATAAGTATAATGAATAATTGCAAAAGGACAACCGGATTGTTCAATGCAAATCGATCATGGGTCAATAATCATTTAATTTCCGATGAAAAACTTGTAAGAAGGTGGAGCAAAAAGTGGAGGCTGTGTTGCCTGTGTTTATATTCTCTTATCTCTGCGCTGCGCAGTCGCAGTTCTCACTTGTTTTGACGCATCGCATTCTCCAAGGATCTTTTATCTTAAATGAAAGATCCTTGGCATTCTCTCAGTTGTGGTCCGTAGTCCGCTTTTTTAATTTTTTTTAAGGGTCAGGCCAAGACAAGGTCTTGTCGGCCTGTGCCCTTTTTAATTTTCCATTACTATTCCATAGTCGGTCTTTATCTATGTGTTGTGTTTGCCAATAATTGTCTGCTTCCCTCGTTTTCAGTTCCCCATCCCACTTCCAACTGAGAGAGTATGAGGCTGATCGCCGCACTCGATTTTACCATGCTGCTGCTTATCGAGAAAGCTGTCGCGGCGATCAGCCCCTATTAGTCTTGATGGTATAATAGAATAATGCATTTGGGAAAACTAATTATGGATTTCTTTAAAAATTACATGCACACCTAGTTAATGATTTGATATAAATACAAAGAATGTTTTTACAAATGGTGAGATTTTATTTAATTTTTACCAAACTAATACAGATTTAATTATCTTCACCAGACGAGTCGCTGTGGATGGTGACAAATATCTTTTTGGCAGGAGGAACAGCGTCTTCCAAAGAAGCATCATGTCTCTTGCTGCCCTCCCTAGTTTCTCGCTTGTAAGATTTGCTCTCATGGGCAGCAGCATATACCTTTTCAAGTCTCAAAATGATTGTGATACGCTAAGAAGATATTTATTTTTTTACTTGAAACTCTTCCTGGCAATCTTTTTGCATTTCAAATGCCATTTTAGAGATGTCGTGGTTGCTTGGATTGTACATAATTGCGTTAAGGAAGACAAGTCCGACATCCCTTTGAAGCCCATCAGCAGATGTAATGTTGCCAGTCTCAATGTTTTTCTTAATAGTTGACAAGTCCATAGGCCTGATCACATTTAAAGTAACCAAAAATAAATATATGGTATAAAAATTTTCCATTTAGAAAATATGAATTTTAAACTAAAAGATGACAAATGAAATTCATAAAAAAAGCAAATGAGAATAGCTGATTCTCATGCGTCAATCTTTTCTTTAATATAAAAGTAAGCTATCCAGTTTCTTTACTTTCTCCTTACCTTAAAACGACGTTTCTGTATCCTGCCACATTCTCATTTGTAATGGGCTTGAGGAAGATGGATGCATTTTTATGGGCAGCAATACGGTCCCATATCAATAACATGGCTTTTTTAAATGTCTTCAGTTTTTCATCGTCACTGCTTCATAATATTGATCCAAATCAAAAACATTTCTTATAATAAAAAATGAACTTACACAGATACTGGACTGTTTGGCATAGATTCGTCAGTCACACTTTGGGCAGACTGGGACACTGGCTGTTTCCTGAAAAGATTTCTCTTTGTCCTGGCAGGATATGTGAGAATATTGACAGGACGAGGTTTGTAGTCATCATCAGACGACTCATCTATTTCCGACTCTTTCTCTCGCTCTAATTCCTTAGATACGGATTTCCTTGTAGTTTTTTCAGGTGGCATAGAAATCTAGAAAAATGTACATAAATAAATACAAAAGAATTGCAAAATTTTAGTTATTGCCTCCTCTTTTACTTCAACATGTTTTTCCTGCTGGTCTTCCTTTGTCACAACAATTGGAACCTCTGGCTCAATTACAGCAACAGTTTCTGTCTCAAATGCAACAGGAACTGCCAATTCTGTTTCTGTGCTTGGCCCTTCACTTGCAGGCTCACTTGGAGTGTTATCTTGAGGCTCTAACTCCAGTTCTTCTTGCTTGATCTTAAATATTTTTTTGGGAGTTTTAATTGAAGAAAAGAAGGCAAACTTGATGACTCAATAAAAACATACCATTTGTTGAGGTACTTCCTCCTCCTTTTTGCTTTCTGGCTCCACGTCCTTGGGAGCAATTTTATCCTCCTGCACTGCTACACTCGGCAGAACTTCGAGACTTGTCTGAGTAGCGATTTGGCCTTTGAAGAACTGACCCAACTCGCTTTGCTGCTTCTTAGCTTCGGCCGCCTCCTCAACCTCCTCTATCAACTCGACAACATCTTGAGGCAACTCCTCCAGTACATTTGTTTGGCTGTTGCCCACCTGAAAATATTAAATTAGATCAATAAAGAAACATTTTTATTCCTATCGACAAATTTCTTTTGATATCTGCCATTTTAGCAGATGTTAGTTGCAAATATTTCCTTCTCTTTTTTTGTATGAATGAGAAGAATAAATAATAATAATGGGTTCGGGAAAGAATTATAGGCCAGCTTAATTTTTCTGCATGCATCAAAGATACATGTTCCTTAGACCCCGGCCCTGCGGTGCTTCTTCGGACATGTAAATATTATCCATTTCTACTTTTTTTTTATTGAAAGATATTTATTAATTATTACTTGATTTTTGCTTTTTCTATCACTTGCACAGAATATTGTCGAGCATCAAAAAAATCAGAGCCTAAAAGCTCTGTTAATAACAATTTAAAATAAAATTTAAAGAAAGACCATTTTTAGGTATTAAGACAAACAATAACATATTATATTACTTGAACGTTTGAGCAACCACAGCAAGATTTCAAAATCAAATTTTTTCTTTACGATTGTTGTATCTGAGTCAGTCTTATATTTGTGCAAGAGATAGAAAAAATACTACAAAAGCCACTTTTCAAATAAACGTTCTGATCTATACGGAATAAATATTATCAGAGGCACTAGTGGTTAAGCTTGGAAACTCTCAAGTCAATGAATATACCTTGAATTATCATTCTTCATGTTATATGAATCAATTATTATCTAAAACCAAATGTATCATGGATCTAAAGGGCAAGCCTATAAAGCACCATTAACAAAAAACTTACAGCATTCCGATCAAACTTCTGCAACTGCTCTTCAAATTCTTTGCTGCTCTCCGCAGTGGCTACAGAAGAGAATAAATTGAAGAAAATTGTTTTTTACTTTTATTTTACATTGAAGGACTGGAATAGGAGTTCTGCTTTCAGTTTCAGCCATAGGCTTCAGCTCGTCCACACTGGATTGACCAATTGAATCTCCAGAGGCTGCAATTTCAGGCAGAGGCGTGCCAGGAACACTTGGTGGAAGTTCCAGTAGCATGGACAATGTTGGAGCACCTGAATAAATTAGGAGATTTCTATAATTATTGTTTTCTCACATTGTTATGCAACTTAGAAAATAATAACAACAGTAGGAATCATTTAATATAATTGTATCACAACCTGATGAAGGTGAATTTGTGCTTGCTGAGTGTTCTCCAGGTGCAAGGACACCGGATACAAATGTTGAGAGTCCTGGCATGAAGGGAGGCACCTCTCTCCTGGCAGGGGTCGAAGAGGCCAGCAAGCTTCCAATAGTTGGAGGTCTTTGGGCCATAATAGCAGAGTGCAAAATAGAAGACTATAAATAATATTTTTTCCAGTTATATATTTAAATTCTGCAAAAAAATTAAACCTGAGAAACAGAAGCAGGACTTTTGAGGAGATGGGTGAGCAGGGGAGATGTGGGAGTTGATATTGTTGGTTTCTGGTCTGCCAAAGAGGCGTTTTCTGCTTGCTGCTCAATGGAAATGCCTTCGCTAAGAACACTGTCCTGAGACAATTCAGCATCACTGCTAATGCTAGTCTCCAAAGGCTTCTTTCTTATGACTAAAAAATTTTTAAATTATTTTCTAACTTCAAGCAGATTTTTTTGTTAAATTACAAGACATTGGTCTCCATGCTCGTTGTATTTCATTGATTTTTTCCTCTCGCTCTTTCAACCAAATTTTGTGCTGCTTCTTCTTTTCCTCTTCTTGCCTCCCTTCCCTTTTTTTATTTATTTTTATTTTTTCATAACACTGCTGATTTTAAATTATTATCATACTCATCAATTTCAGCTATCATCTGGTCCAACTGCTCCTCACTGCAGTTTACACTTAACTTCATCAAGTCCTGTTTTGTTTTTGCATACTGCTGCTTCATAGTGTCCATCGTTGCTTGCAGTTCCTCTAATCTTTCTGTTTGATCAAGATGTATATTATTTCATGGCAAAAATAATTTAAAAATAAAACAAACGTGATCTTAGTTTCTCTACAATGAGCTCCCCAGGGGTAAAGGGCTTTGATTCCTCGCCCTTGTCCCCTCGACGTCTCTTTGGTGTCTCTACATTTTCCAACAACTTCTCATATTGCAGGGCACAATTTTTCTGAGAGAACCAATCATTCGGCCTGTCTTTTTCTCCAAATGGTTTTATTGCCCTGCTTACAGAGGCCCTGTAGATTTAAATTTAAGGTTGGTAATTAATTATTCTTAAAGAATGTGCAAATGTACGCACACAAATAATTGTTTTACATACCAATTTTGGTCACCACTCCTGAGGACAGACGAGGCCAGCGCAAGTTGCTCACGAATGGACCATTGATCCACATGTAATCGTTTGAGTTTTAAAGCTGAAAAATATACATAAATATAATCAATAAAATAAAGATTAATAATATAATGTTGTGTTGTATTGTATGTACATAGAGGTGTTCAAGAAAAACCGCGATTCTTACTTTCTTCCACAGAAGCTTTGTGCATTGTGATGGATATGTAAAAATTGATTTCAAATAGAACCACTTAAATTCGACGTCGGCACCGTCACCACACAACCCTGAGCTCCATCAACCATAGACTAACTAAAATCACTAAAAAAAAGCCGGAGTCCTTGTTGTGGTCTTATTGCATGGAGTTCTTGATGCCATTTTGTTTTGACTGATTCGACTCTGGTTTTGAATTAAATGATCAATGATTCGCCGCGCCTCTTTTAAAATTCTTGAATGTCTGTTTCTGATTGGTACACCGTTTGGCGCTAAATTTAAATTTTGGTTCAATTTCTCTGTTTCCCTCTCATTTGATAACACACCAAACGAGCTTAACAATGGTGGGGATAGGGAGACTCCGCCCTCTTTCATATCCAATTCACAATTCATGTATGTAATTCTATACCATTCTACAACAATCCTTATGCCAAACCGATGCAAACAACACAACTGAACTGGCCCGCACGCTACATCTAGTACATCTACATCTCTACATCAGGGCATCAGGGGTGGAGCCAAACGAGTCTGAACATGTTTTGAGGTGTTTGGTTTGGTGCAATACATAAGTCTGGTTTGGTGTTTGTTAAAAAGTTACATGCAAGGATCTTTCTTAAAAGATCCTTGGTTACATGAGTGAGCGGAGCGGACGCAGAGCCAGAGAGCAGCTTAAGAACTGCTTTTAGAAGCGGCTTCGGCTTACGTAGAATTCGCAAAGCAGAGCCTGAGCAGAGCCTCGGCAGCCGTCGGCTTGGCGTCCCACAGAACTCGCCGCGTGGTCTGTGATAATTTGTGGATTAATATCCGCTTTCCAGAGGTAATTTGTCGACGAGGAGGACTTAAGAGATTAATCTGAACTGCCAACCCATGAGAATCCATCGGCAAATCCGCATAGCAACGTGAAATCGGCCAGAGGTACGACAAAATAGGGAAGCGGTTGAAGGCGCAGGCTTATGCTACCTCTCTACATTAAGTAAATTCAAAATTGCAGTCCTGCATATTTATGTATTTCTTCATTCTAAATTATATTATAATTTATGTGTTAATGTTTCTTAACTGAAAAGTTTTTGTAATAATTGAGCTTGACCATTTTTTAAAAATTATCGTCTTTTTATAAAACGATTTGTTTGTATTACTCGGTGGCGATTTTTTTAAGTCCCTATCTAGCTCATTGGCCGATATCACGGATATCCCTTTTAATTAAGTAAATTAAACTAATTTTAATTTTCTCAGATCGGGTTGGAACATATTAATTATGAATAAATTGTTTAAGGGAATAAAAAATATTTTGTTTTCAAATGAATAACACACGCCATGGATACTACATAAATGAAATAAAATTATTAGATTAGACCAAAATTTACTGCATTAGACATTATGTAATTTGACTTTACATCATGTCAATAAAAATAGCAAAATAAAGAAAACCTCCAAAATATTTCAAATTTATCATTCAATAATCGAGTGATTGAGGGAGCTCGCAAGCCATTGATAATTTGACGGGGGTAGGCAAGCATTTGACTAACCCTCCTCGCTTACAACAAGGGAAAACCACCCCCGAAAACCCTGTAGCTTAGCTTACTCTGTTAATTCTAAGCTTATTATTATATTTTTTTTGCAGATGTCGAAAGTCAGTTTGGCAGTGGTGCCAGATCTTGTCAGAAGGAAAAGAGGCCGTCATAGATCAAAAGGTATGTGCATAAGTCATTTTTACAAGAAAATAATTAATTATCAATTTCAGATGGTCACTGTATTGGAGGGTGTGGTAACCCTTCTTGCACAGCCAAGCGTAGAGGGGACATAGACGAGAATGTGCGATGGTGGTACATAAAGCTGGAGAGCGAGTCGGAGCCATTTGACAGCGACGAGCCAGACAGTTTGAAGAACGAGAGCCTTTGGAGCATTCAGCTGAGAGACACTGGTGAGCACAAGAAACCTCTAGGGTGCACAAGCGGGGGTTGACCGGGCGGAGAACCACACAGTCTGATGGTTTGCTCAACTGTTTACGAAGACAAAAGTTAAGTTGGCAAATCTCATGCAACAGGTGGTTGCATCGCCTCATGCATATTAGACGAATTTGCCTGCGGCTTTTCTATGGTGAGGGAAGCATCGAAACAAATAATATTCAAAGTTAAATTACTTATAAATACAATGGTTTATGGAAATGAATAGATCGGGCTTTTCCTTGTTTTTTTGTAACGAGGAAAAGCCGGATCTCTTCATTTCCATGATCATCTCCTCAAGTGTTCATTTCTTGAGACAAAGACAATGGTTATTTAAATTAAATAGTATAAAAAACAGGTCTTGTAACGACATTGCTAAATTTTTTGTTATTTGAATCAAATATTACTGAAAATAGCACTTGCAGACATATTTTCAAAGGTTGCGATCAAATTTTAGAATCATGTTCTTAGTTTCTCTGTCCAAGACTGCCATTTATGAATATTTAGGGTCATAACTTATAAAATCATGTTGAAATGTTGAACAGAAAGGTTAGTAGAGGGCCCAAGTAAAAGAGTTAATATGTTGGTCAGCCCCCGCCAGTCTAACTGCGAGTTGAGTTTGGACAAGGGCGGTTAGTCACTGCTGGCTTTTTGGGTACTCCCACAGATAGTGTACACGACAGTAGTGACAGCGAGAGCCGATGGCGGCAAGCTCATGACATTGAGTACGAAGTCGCGTCCCTGAACTCTGAGAGTGAAATCAAACCTTTCAGTTGCTCCTCAGACGATGATAGCTGCTCTTCAGTTGAGGTGTGTTTCGAGTGAATCAACTTTTGACACACCACCCTTAATTTTTTTCTTTTGGCTTGGGGGTCTTTATTGTAGAAATTTAAATTCCTTTTTAAGCAAACTTGCCTAGTCTGAATTTTTAATTTCAATTTTTACACTATATTAAAAATGTACCTTGTTAAGCTCTTTCACAATTTCCTCTTTCATAAGGGTGGTGTTTAAATTTTTTGAGTAGCTGTCAAAAGTGCAGCAGCAACTGATTTGAAACTTGCAAAAAGTTTCCTGACTCGAAGAAGATTGTTGTGTTTGTCTTATTAAAGTCAGTGGTGAAAATATACTTTAAGTGTGAGACTCAGAGTGAGATCATTCTCCTGAGCTCGCCAAACCCTGCAGAGACTGTGTAGTAGACTCAAGTAACTGCATTTTTCAATCAAACGCACAGAAAGACAGTCAGTAAGTAGTCTTGATCGTGTCGTAGCACCCAGATAAATCAATAGGTAACTATTTCACCTTATTTTAAATGCTTTTGCTCCTGATTTAAGGTGATTCTTCTGCGGGGTTTTGGCCCAAACTAGAAATGCTGCAATGGATTCCAAATGATTCAGATTATAAGAGTTGAACTATTGTGTGTTTATGTTTCAACTACAAAAATGTTTTATTTTCGCCCCATCGCTTTCTTACAGAGGGCCAAAGTAATGTTCGAAGGACGAAAATGGGTAAAAATCAACGTTTTTCTACATTCTTTTACGAGTAACTTTCCATTTTGCAAAATGGACTCTAATTTTCTAGATAGCTTTTGATTCACAAGATGTTATAGTATCCAAAAAATACAAAAAAAAATTATATAACTTCTGTCATTTTATAACTCCTGAGAAATCAAATTTTTTTAATTTTAACGGGCCATTTATAAATGCTATTTCTCAAGTGTTTAAGAAGGAATTGGAATTAATATTCTACGACAAAATGTTCTATGACGTGCATGAATATTTTGTGTGTAAAATTGTGTGAACTGTATTTGAAATGTATTTTAAATTTATTAAGCTGTATTGAGATATAGCTGTATTACAGTGACGTATTCCAGAGATTATTTCTGTACATAAATGTTGATCTATACGGAATAAATATTATCTGAATCTGAGGGTGACAAAATGACAGAAGAGATAGTTTTTTTTCTTTTTTTTTTTTTTTTTGATACTTTAACATCTTGCGAATCGAAAGCTATCCAGAAAATTATAATTCACTTTGCAAAATTGAAAGTTACGAGTAAAAGAAGGTAGAAAAACGTGGATTTTTACTCGTTTTCGACCTTCGGACTTTACTTTACCTTAAAGAAGCAATGGGACGAAAATAAAACATTTTTATACTTGAAACATAAACACACAATAGTTCAGCTCTTAAAATCTGAATCATTTGGAATCCATTGCAGCATTTATAGTTTGGGCCAAACCACTGTAAAAGAATCACCTTAAACCTTAAAATGCTGTTAGGGGTAAGTAAAAGTTTCTTAAAAGGAAAAAAATGCCTTTCAATAAATTAAATTAGGTTACTAAATTAAACTGATCTATCCTAAAAGAGCTCGATAATTGGAAGCAAAAAAGCATATTTTCCAGCGCCTTATGACCGGAAAATTGATTTGATAAGTTCCCGAGGGCAGCTGTTGACTAACAGACCCAATTCGTCTTGATTTCTCCCCTCAGTAGCTCGAGACCTCCTACACTGACTGTTAAGTGCGCGCCTCTTTGACGGCCCCTCAAAGCCTGAGAGGCTGCGTGTTCAACTCTAGAAAGCTGCAGATTGGCCCTAATGAAGGCGCGGTGTCCGACTGGTTGATGGCCGGTCGGGCTGCACACCCGCTGGAAGGGGACTCAACATGAGATTTGCGCTACCCTTACTCACATTTTTGAGATGTTTACGCAGGGCTTGGTCATAGCCACTGTGGCGCCCGATGGCATCACAATTGACTACTTCGCGGACTCGAGCTCGGACTCAGATTCAAGTGACAGTTCTGACCCTGAGCTGCAGCCCCAGGACAAGTGGTCATGCCTCAGGTGCAAGCAGAAAAACCAGCCCATCCCCAGATACTGTCAACACTGTTTTGCCGTAAGTACTTTATTTCTAAGTACCAATTTGAAGCTTTAAATTGTGATTTCAAATATCCTATGATATAAAATTTATAATGCTGGGAAATTAAAACATTTCTGGTTTTATAAACGCTACTTGATTCATATTCAATCTTTATTGCCTCTACGACATAGTATTACATAATTGTACCACTCAGCGTAACCTACTCTTTTGCAATTATCTCTTATCTGAATTTTATTTGATTCTTTTTTTTTTAAATATTGATTTCACTGGATTTCACACTCCTACCAAGCAGACTCTCCTACCTGGCCTCTAGGGCTGTAAAAAAGTGAAGAACATGTAACATTAAAAATATTTGCCGCAAGTACGCCTTGCACAGAAAACTGTCGGGCTCACTGGTTCATAACTTGTGCTTGTGGGAGGCAGTTTATTACATATTTTGATGACACAGTATGAAAATGCCTCGCGACTGAACTTGGTTGTCGCTGCCGGCAGCTGCACCCGGGTATGACTGCCGATATTTCCACGCAGCGTTCAGCCAGCAATGCGTCTATGTCAGTCACATCTTTTTAAATCATAAACTGAGTATTACTAGACAGTTGATGTTTTTTTTTAATTTAAACTAAATTTTTCCAATTTAAATCTTTTGTGTAGGATAAATAATAAATATAATGTGGTTTTAGCAATGTTGAATGCCCCCTTTTCACCTACTCCCCATTCTTTAAAATTATATTCAGATTTTTTTTAAATGTGATTCAAAAAATTAAATAAGCAGCAACAATGACAATAATAACTACATATTTCAACAATTTTTAATAGAAAATTCAGTTACTTATTTTTCTTCTTTATTTACAGGTAAGGAAAAAGTGGTTTCCCCCTCGGCCGAAGGGCCACAAAAAACGACAGGAGGCTAACCTTGAATCCCTGACCATCCCTCCCCAAATCCAAATAACGCCAAACTTATCCATTCCAGACCTGTCTCAAATGAAGGGACACCCAATAGCAGACAGCATTGAGCGCTCATTCTCAGAGTCAGTAAGCCGGTTCGCCAGCATGACAGAGAATGAGCGTTTGGAGCAACTGAAAGAGAACTTGCACCGTAACAAACTAGCGCAGTCCCACACCGAGCAGCAAGTGACTGAATGTCTTACCAAAAAAGTGATTTTGACACTTCATTTAGAAAAAAAAATGGATTCTAATTATACTTTGTGGAAAAAGGTCAAGGAGGAATTGAAAAGCACTCTGATTAATTCACTAGAGGAACAGCAGCAGGCCATTCTCAAGAATATTTTGGATGTCAAGGAAATCAAGAAGAGGACCAGGGTGACTGTCATGGCCAAGTCTACATCATCGGAGTGCAGCTTCAAGACCATCGAGAAGGATTGCAAGCCAAATAAAATGGAAAAAAGAAGGCAAGGCAAAAATTAGTTAATAATTTATTCCGTGCTCCGTGTACATGATATTGCAGTTTAAATAAGGACACATATTTTGTACATCGGCTGCAGGTCGGCTGAAAGATTTCTAGCCCATCAAAAGGTTTATTCTCTAGAGTATTACGATTATTTTGATCAATTTTAAATTTTTTGCAAACAAGTGAATTGTGCTGATACAATGCAATATCACGTTTTACACGCATTAAAGGTCACACAATTTACTGACTGTTCTTTTTTAGTCTAAAAATCGTAATGAAATTCCACACTCAAAAAAATTATTTGCTTGTTGCTGTATTTGAAGAATTTTACTCAAACGAATCAAAATTTGCCATAAACATTTTGTTCCATTTGGTATTTCAAATTTTAAAGAAAAAATAATGACACATTCAATTTAATAATCTTAATTTAATTTTAATTAGCGATAAATCACAGAGGCGTGGAAAGTAATTTATTTATTTAATCTTTATGGCCTCTACGACCGAAGTAACACATTATTGTATCACTCAGCGTCACCTACTCGTTAGCAATGGAGTTAATGTATGGTGCTGTGTACAATTACTCTTCTTGTTGTTGCAACACTTATAAGATGCAGGTGATGCACACACGGTCAGGTAAGGGTGGGTAGGTTGTTCATTTGTTTTTTAATTTTCACATTAATTTAAATTAAAAATGGAAGTAAAAATTTAAAAGCAATGTATCACAAACAGCCAAACAAAACTACCCACCCTATCCTGACCTGACTGTGTGTGCATCATGTGCACCTCATTCATTCTCCAAGGGCTAAAGAAGGCACTCAAATAATAATTCCAGATTCATTTAATTTTTGGGAAAAAAAGCTTGTTTATCCCTCTTGGTAATTGAATTTGAACTATTTTATTTTGTCAACTTCTTGAACAAAAAGAAATAATGTTTTTAAATCAATTTCTAGGAGTGCGTTGGAAAGTGAGGAGGTTGATTTTAGGACTAAAGTGAGTGAGTATCTTGCTTCGTGTTCTCCGACCATGTTGGACACTCCGCCCATGTCACAGGAGACCAACTTCTCACTTACAACATCTGATTTTGACGATGATGTGGCGGACGGCCCCATTTGTCGCCTGAATGAATTGCCTGCGTCAAAGGAGCCAGTTGAGGAAGGCAGACCATTTTCCTTCAGCACAATCAGCGGCAATGGCATCAAAATGTGTGCTTTCTGTGAGGTGAAGGAAGCCAACACTGCGTTCATCCATGCGAGGAAGGGTCACCTGTGTGCCTGTTACATCTGTGCTAAGCAGGTCTATGCTGCCAAAGGCCAGTGCCCAATATGCCAGAGACAGGCGTCCTCTGTCTGCAAAATCTACTCATAGTCAATCTCTAGAAGGTCTAAAGAAAATTATATGATTATTTAAAAGGGGGATTTTAAATATTTTTTTGTTCATTTTGAAGGATTTATCAACCTTATTAGTCAGTTCCTTTTTCATGAATTCTTATTTGGGTTGATATATCTTTCTTTGACGCACTGGATCCTGTATCAATGTTGTTAACTGTCAAGATTATTACTAACTTTAGAACTATTCTGTATTTATTTGAGTTGCTTCATTGAAAATTCTGAGTAAATGTCAATATTCTTTTTATGTAGTTTTTTACGTAGTTTAGGCTGCAGTGCGGCGAGTAATCGGGTATTTATCGCCTCTTGGTAAATACGCGGTTATGAGTTTCAGTGAGTTGTTCACTAGCACTGTGTGCCTTTTTTTTCTCCCAACCAATTTTTTCACAATTGATTGTACTGACTTGTTTGGAGAAAAATAAATTGGATTGAAATTGAAATTATTGTAAACCTGGTTTAAGTTTTCTTATTGGTGATACAAAAAGAGTTATGTTAAAATTTATTTCTAGCCTTCCCTGCCTTTGTAAGCAGCAATATCAGATTAAAATAATTTTTGAAATCTAAAGCCTTTTTGATTAATTAAAACAATTTTAACCTAAATGAATCCAAGTTCTCACGTAGTATGCACTTTTTTGTGATGTTAAGTTTATTGTTAAAAGAGAGTGAATAAATCAATACATTGAATTAATCTAATGTGACAGGTTGGCTTTAAAAAGTTTCAGAGTGTTCCTCTTTAACATAACCTAAATTTATATTGTGATGCAAATCATACAGAGAAACATGAGGAGGTTCCCTTTATTCTTCTTCCCATGGCAGAATACGGAGACTAACAAGCGACAAAGTCTGTTGAAACTTTAGTTTGACTTAATTATAAATAGTTATTTTTTTTTCTCATAATACAAAAACGATTCAACGTTATAATAATGGGAAATTATTTTGCAATTTTCCCATTGAAAGAGCAGTTTAATGGTAATGATTGCAATTGAAGCTAATTGGCAATTTTTCTGCGGTCAGGAAAGCCGGTTTCTTTTGCGGTGGTGCTTATCGGAGGAAAAACCGATTGCAGAAAGTTACTGAGGTGTGAGGTGTACCGATCGGCGATTGTGGGTCGCGCCTCCTGCCAGCAGTGCTCATGCTCACTCGAGCCGGTGCGGACGCGGACCAAAGTGTTCAATGCAGCTGCCTAGGGATTGAAAATAAGGCGCAAGGTCTTTCTCTCGCTGGAATTGAACTGCAGATGGGAGAGCAGGTGTGCAATATCAGCTTGAAATTTCACCTGGGTCGAACCTCGAACCCTTCTGGCAACACCAACCCTGTATACTAGCACGCGCAGCACACTCGGTACGTAACGAGGTTAATTGACCCTGTCTATATATGCTGATTGATTTATTATGCCTGCTACTGTAATAACTCAACCAATCTTTTATTTATTTTTTATTCTCCGCAGAGGCTAATGTTTGGGATTTTTTCGTCCTGCAGGGGCGCTGCTGCTGAATTTATGTTTGAATGCCTTATTGTGCCGGGTTGAATTAAAAATTTGTCTCCCAGTTATAGGGCGCAGCTCGTTTACAATACACACACACACACACAGTAGCGAATCAATGACACCCAACAGCCGCGTGTATGTTTTGCAAAACTCTTTTATTATTATGTTTTATCTCTCGACGCTCGGCGGCTCAGAGGTGTGTTTCTTCCTCCGGCCATTCTTGCGTTTGACATTCAAATTAAAATTATGAGATGGGATTTTTTTTCTCATCAATGTTGAAGAACTAACTTTATTTTAGTGAAGAAATTGGCACCTGAGAAGACGATCATGGAAATAGAGAAAACGGGTTCGGTTCTCCTTGATGATTTTTTAAATAAAGTTGAACCCAAAAAAAAAAATAATAATAATAAAAAATTGAGTGGTGTCTTCTGCATCTGCACCACTAATAAAGGGCACAGGCCGACAAGACTTTGTCTTCGCCTGACCCTAAAAAAAAAAAAATGCTCGAACACAAAAACGGCTCTTTACTAGTTTTGGTCATATATTTCATGGGCAAGAAAAATACAAAATATTAAATTTAAAAAAACTTTTTTTACAAAAACAATTAAAGCTTATTTGAACTAACAATTAAAATTATATCAACCTATGATAATGAGCAAAAATAAAATTATGAGCTGGCTAAAGCGACAGATTGATTGAGTTGAGAGAGAGAGAGGCGATCACCCTTTAGGCTTGCGTCCCCCCAGTGGAAATACCTCCCCTTTACGAGTATCATGAACGTCAAATAATTTTCCAAAATTGATATTTCTTTAGAATTTAGGCTTTAGTGAGATGAGTATTTGGTCTCATTAAGAAGTAGAGTCTGACTGGCTTGTTCAGAAAACAAATTATATATACAGTATTTCGTGTTTATTTATCTGTCCACTTTTGTTTACATAAAAATAAATTTTACTCTGAACTTGAGTTTCCAGATTACTTAAAGAACTTGTAAATATGTTTCTTTTGTTTGATCTTATTCTTTCTTTCATTTGAACCGGTTGTAAATAAGTGGATTTTACGACAGAGACATTACAATATCACTTATGAAACTATTAAAGAGAAGGAATAATAATAATTAAAAACTATTTAAAAATAAAAAATAGGCTTTTTGGATAGAGAAAAAAACAGCACCACCAACTAGCAAAAATTTTGCTAATACTTCCGAGATAAAAAAGACCCCACCTGCCGCAAAGAGCTTTGGATTTCGGTGGGTCCAGGATAGATTTCAATTCAATTAATTTATTCTCTCGCAACGGTGTCAATATAAAAAATGGAAAAGTCACATTGGGAGAGAATTGGCAGCCAGCTCTATAAGTTTTAAACAACTTACTAAAACTCAAATAGGCCCAATTTGGAAGCAAAAGTGTTTCCAAATTAAACCTACTCTCCGAGCTGGAGCCGTAAGGGGGAAATTTTTTGCCAAAGGGTCAAATATTCTTTATATAATTTTAAACTCAGGAACCGTACAATTTTTTAACGCAGAATAGGCAGGGAATTCCACTGAACCCCGATTCGGAAAGATTTTATGTTAGATGTTAAAAATTTTCTTGAAAACACGTCACTCCAATTTTTAAGTATGTTGTTGGGGTGGTCAAGAGGCCTCGCTCACCAAATTTTCAAATAAAAATATATGGGACACTTTTCCAAGAAATCATGTGTTTCAAGATAAAAAAAAATTGGATATCTTTTCTCCTCCTATTGAGAAATTATGTATGATGTTTCAATACCAGACGTAATTTTTACGCCCGACAACATTTTTGCTGACAACTTTTGGGTAGGTCATTAAATTGCAAATTTCATTTTTGAACGCCATTTTTGCAAAGAATCATCTCCCTCAGAGATTTTTGGAGGTATAGGAATAAATGTGTAAAACAAAATTCTTGATTTTCATAATGGCATATTAATTTTGGTTTTTGAGAAACATTTAAACGAATAATTATTAAAAAAAAATCATTATTCGGTGACAGAAATTAATTTTCAAACGTAATTTAAAACACATTGATTGGGAGGAGGTGATCTTTATTTATGGTAATTATCGCGCGGCCAACCACGGGGGCGCCGAATGACGACGTCGGGCACACAATGCGCTTTCAAGAAAAAGCTTTCTGCGCTTCCTCCCTCAAAAAAGACATAAACCCTTGGTCGAATTATTGGCCCGGTTAGCTTATTACATTATTACCGCATGACATTGCCATTGCTTCCAGCACTTTTCTTATAGATTGATCGATCTGATATAGTTCAAATTTAATAACCGTTGCATCTGACCATTTCTTTTGAATTTCCACGATCACCTCCTCGAGAGTTTCAATTTCTTCAAGCAATTTCGACCTCATCGGTATGGGCCAGACACGAAGCAGAAAGTACGCCACAATGAACAGACCTGCCAAAAAAACTGTTCGCATCATAGCGCTCAGTTCAACTTCCTAGCTCGCCGAGTGCAGCAAACGGCAGGTCATCTGCCGGCTGCCCGAAGGTCCCAAAGGCCCTGCGCTTACCAAGAGTAATGAAAATAACTAATTTGAACGAAGAAAACTGGCGTGTGTTCTCGTGGAAAAAAATTGATTTTTAATGTCAAATATGACTTTCTTAAGGAGAAAATTAACAACAGCCCGTTATATATATCTTCACTCCAGGAACGTTTGCTAAGTGAGCCAACGACTTCAAAAATTAAAAACTAACCGTTTACAATTACCACGGTTTTGCCGGTTACACATTATTTTTTCTTGGTAATTAACTCTTTATTCTTTGTATGAACCAGTGAGGGATAGGTTCAATTAAATTTGTTTATTCTCTCACAAAAGGTCAAACAGATCAATATTAATTGTAAATTTTACTACGATGATTTTAAAATTATATTGGTGTGTTGCAGAAAAAACTCATTCTGATGGGCCGTGAAATCTGATGGAGCCTCTGCTCAACTCAAAGCAGCAGCAATGCTCTTTTTGTGGCATTTTTCAACAAGAAAAGAACTTTTATTTCAAAGTCGGACTCAAAGACGAGGTCCTAAGGATACCAGTCACCATTCAAAAACCTGAATTTATAGGTAAAAAGTGGAAACAATAAATTTTTATCTTTAGCCAAAACGTTTGGTCATTTTTGAATTTTAGTTTTAATTTTGTGGCTCTCGGTTTGTAGTTGTTTTACATTAAATTTTATATTTGCTATTTTGGTGTATTTTTTATATTATAAAGACATAAAATATGTATTATTTGTTTGTCGAATTTGTGGAACTACATATTTAAGATGCGAAATGGAATACGTAAGTAATGGATGATTGCCGCGACGGAGAAATTTGAACACCACCCCATTTTTGGCTTTAAAAACGTACAATTAGTTTTTATTTTTGTAGAAGAATGAAATGAAATTTGACTAAATAATGTGCCATACTTGGAGGAGACATACATACGCACAACTGAATCTAATTGACAAACAGAGAGCTGCTCGTATTCGGGTCGATATCTTTGAATATAGCGGAGAATTATTTTCAGACATGTTGCGCACCGCGGCCGAAGTTGACAACAGCGAAATTCTCAAAGTATACTCAAACCCCGGCCACCTAGTCAATATTTCACCAGATCTGCCCGCCAATTCACCAGATTCGCCATATGAGCTGCACGTGATTGCGACAAATTGCAATGGTGGGTATGCTCGGCAAATCCCAAAGCAAATTATCCTACACTATGTTTCAAGGGGAGACCCGTATTGCTCCTGATTTCATTCATCCTAAAAGTTTTGTGAACTTTGCACTAAAATATTCACTGAAATATGTCCTAAAAATTTTTTCATTGTCCCTAAATGCATTTGCCTGAAAAATATTTGTTGTAAATAATATTCCCTAAATCTTGTTTAATTTAGAAAGTAAAAATGAAAAATGCGGAAGCTAAATTATTTTTTAATTTTATTTGAGGCAATTTTCAAAAGGCCTCTATGTAACTTTTCCAAAACTGACACTTATTGGTGGTTTTAAAAAGCTATAGCTATACACAGATGATAAATGTGTCCTTATTGCCTACTATAGCCTATAGCTGAGAAGATTGTGCCGAAGACTTGTGGTGTTATGAATGCAGATTTTATTTTTGAAAAAAAAATGGTATCAAACGCTGCTCATTGTCAGCTCACAACATTATCAAGATGCACAGACTTTTTGAGTCTTCAGATACCTTCTAAAATCTCTTTCACTCCCCTCCCCCATTTTTAATTTTCAGGACAATTAGTTTAAGGACATTTTTATTGAAAAACAATGAAATGGAAAATGTAGGATACTGTTCATTATTATTTTTATCTTTAGTACAAATGAAGGAGAGTTTTAGGTTTTAGGACAAATGAATGTAGGAGCAATAACGGCGACTCGTTGCAATAAGTTTCATGCTATTAGGCTAAAATAATGTGACAAATTCATCTCTCACGTTTTCAGATATTATTCGCAGGGAATTGTGCGTCGATTTTGACGTGCTCAACAATAGGTGAGTTATATACACTTTTAAACGCTTTTATAAAAGCAATATTCACAAAAAGGCATACCTTGTATTTGGGGGGGGGGACTTAATTACATTTTTAGCTAAATTTTTTTGACGGATCTCTAACAAAAACTGGGAGCGGAATGAAATAATGTTTGAAATTTAATTTAATTCCCAAAATGAAAACTTCCTAAAACTAATTTAATTTTGTGTGTTATCGGCCCTTGAGTTTTAGCAGAGGGGATGTATAGACAATTGAAAAAAATATTATAATAATTACTAATAATAGCGTGTGTCAAACGCAGTAAGGCCTTATATAGGTGCAGCAAGCACACCTGCTGGTACAATAAAAAGATTTTTGGAAATCAACTACTTTGTTTAAAAAAAACTGTCTGCAAAGAAATCCAAAAATTTGTTGGCCAAGCGTAGAAAATGTGCAAAATAATTAAAGATTTATTTATAGTATCATGCTGAATGAAATGATACATAGCCGTTCCAATAACTCAGCGGTGGCTGCGAGAACAAAAATCCATTATTGTGTGTGCGAGCAGCAGCCTCGCGGGAACTAATACATTTCCTGTGTTCTCACCAAGTATAGTGTGGCTTCTCAATGGCCCCGGCCTGCCTGCCTTTTATTTGTGCAGTGAAATTCTCTCCCTTGACATCAATAACATCATCGGCGCCCCCCGAGAATGTCGCACGCGCGTCCAATATTTCCCCCTATATATTCGATAGAAGCACTTATTTATTGTAAACAAAAAACGTGCCGAAAAAATACATTTGACCTTTTCAATTTTGTGAGCTGCAAAAAGAAATAGTTTGTGTTGATTCCCCTTGGGGCTTTTTGACTTGGAAAAATATTTAAAAGAAATCTCTTGGATAATTGGATGCCAATTCCCTCGGGAGCCAGAGCTGTGTGTCGCAGGAAAAATATAAATCTTGGGAATTAAATATGTGGACGCTTTTCAGAATCAGTGAGCTGGAACAAATGCTGAATCCGGACAACGTGGACGTCTCGAAGGCCATTACCAGTCTGCGTAAACAAGTGGAAACTTTCCGACTCAAGCTGGAAAACTTCAAAGACCAGCAACTGCTTGGTGAGTCCACGTGACAAATTTTTGACCCTCTGCCTTTTGATGGAAAAATGTTATTAATTAATAGTTTAAATAAGTTATATTCTACATTTGTTAGAAGAATTTTGCACCCTTTTTTTTCAAAAGTTATTTTCCCCCTCCTCGAGAGATTATCATGGAAATTAATGAATCGGGCTTTTTCCTCCTTGCAGAAATTATTTTTTATTAAAAAACAACCAGTTTCGGTCACGGTCTGCGACCCTTTTTGTTTTTTTGAACAAACAATTTCTGCAACGATCGAGGAAAAAGCCCGATTAATTTATTTCCTTTATTCTACATGCTTTTATACAAATAAAATATAAAATATAGGTTCCCAAGAGCCTCACTTGACAAAGAATGAAAAGCACAACTGGATTACGCTTAAACAAACAAATCAACATAGATTTGAACGTCGCGGTGCAGAGGAGAGGCTTATTGTCTGGCACAAATTTGTCAAAATTTGGTAAATTTTTTTAATTCATTTGTACCTTTATATTATTTGACATAAATGCTAAATTTTAGTGAAATATCAGTTTCGGAAGACGTTCAATACAGACTTCGTCAAGTGAATTTTAATATTTACGAGTGGGAGGACGAAGAGTTGCTTATGCTTCTGCAGCAAATGTACTTGGACCTTGGTCTGATGTCCACTTTCGCTTTGGACCTCAGCACCTTGAGAGCCTTCCTTTTCCAAGTATATGAGAACTATAATGATGTGCCCTTCCACAACTTCCGACACTCATTCTGCGTAGCACAAATGGTGATAAATAATTTTAATTTAAGCAACCTAATGAAAGATTATTTTGCAGATGTATGCATTAATATGGGCGGCAGGCCTTCAGAAGAGAATGGGTGACCTGGAGACGCTAATGCTCATCACCTCGTGCATCTGCCACGACTTGGACCACCCTGGCTACAACAACATTTACCAGATCAACGCACGTACAGAGCTTGCCATTAGATATAATGATATCTCACCATTAGGTATGGAATTTTTATTGCAGTTCTCATAATAAATGCGGTATTCACCGTATTAAACGACAAACCGAAAACCTCTGTATAATGTAAAAGCTTCAATCAAAATTGGCACGGCCAATATTCATGCACATGAGTTGCACATCACAACAGAATTTTAATTTAGTTTTCACATCTCTACAGAAAATCACCATTGCTCAATCGCATTTCAAATCCTGTCACGGCCGGAGTGCAATATTTTCAAACGCTTCACGTTTGAGCTTTTCCGCCAGGTGCGCGAGGGCATTATTCGATGCATTCTGGCCACCGATATGGCGCGCCACAACGAGATACTTGAGCAATTCCGAGAAATAACACCCGTGTTTGACTTCAGCAACACTGCACACACTAATTTGGTAAGGTAGCTTTTCCTTTTCCACATTCTCACAACTAATAATTAAATTCCGCATAAAGCTTTCGATGGTTCTTATAAAGGTGGCTGATATCTCTAATGAAGCGCGTCCAATGGAAGTCGCAGAACCCTGGTTAGACAGGCTCTTGCAGGTAAATATAATTTATTTTTTGGAAAGAGATAATTTGATATTGCTTAAATAAAAGGACTTAAAGTAGGATTTGTGACCAAAAAATTTTACAACCTCCATACAAAAATTCCTCTTCAAAAGTATAATGAATCTATCAAGGAAGTTACTAGAAATAATAATCTTTTATATTTTCAATATTAATTGTTGAAAATAGATCAAAATTTATTGCATTAGACATGTGTAATACATCACCAATTTGTCTTTACAATTAATAGAGTTCGACTTTGGACTTTATCAAGAAATTTTATCAGAAATATTGTGATACTGTTGATACAATGAGAGTTACGAGATATAACCAAAATAATGTATGTTGTAATGACCTAGATGTGAGAGAAATCAATCAAGCTGAAAAAACCAGTAGAAAACCCAGATTTCATGATACCTAGAATATTCAATGTCTATCCGATATCTTTGAAAATCCTAGAAAATGACGAGGTTCTTGTAAAAGAAGTGAAAATCTTTGTATTAGAGAGCATCAATTTTATGACATCACGAATTTTATCGTTTGAATAATGCAATTATGTATTGTGACTAAATTTAAAAAGTTTTTTTGTCATGCCAATGTTATAATGCTTAATGAAATAAAAAATCTTGAATCCTGGTGAAAATTGGGTGGGTAAATCGTGATAAAAACTTTCCTCTGTAGAACCTCTACTACAATAATTCTCAGTAAAATTAGTATTGAATACAGCAAAATAAAACTACCCCCCCCCCCCCCAAATGGAAGTATAATTTATTATTGCAACTCTTTTATTGGCTTATGGTGTGTAGATATTACATATAGTGCACCAAATTCACCAAGAATTTATTTTGCCATTCAGGAATTTTTCACGCAGAGTGACAAAGAGAAACTTGAAGGACTGCCAGTCACGCCTTTTATGGACAGGGATAAAGTGACCAAGCCATCGTCGCAGTGCAGCTTCATTGGGCTGGTCCTGCTGCCACTTTTTGAAGCATTGGCTAATCTCCTGCCTGAGCTACACGTGCGTAAATTATTTTAGTGTTGGCCAGCTAATGTTGTTTTGTTTAGGATATGATAATTAAGCCGGTTAATATTGCCTTGGATTACTACCGGCGGCTGAATGAGGCGGCACGCGAGAGACGCAGCTTGGATCTTCAGTTGTCCGCGGACAACAGTCCACTGACGGATCAGGCCTCGTCTCCAAGCGAAACCAAAAGGAGGTCCGTCTCGGTGGACAGCAATTCGAGACAGGGTCGAGTCAGCATTCATTCTAATAGCGAGCTACTGCGTCAGATCAGCATGATAGAGGAGGCTGACGCCGCTGCTGAGGTCACAGAGGTTGACATTTGTGAAAAGACGCTGAAATTCAAAATCTCCACAGAGCACACCGTAACTTCTCTTAGGAAGGTAAAATTTTAAACAATTTAAAGAGCCTCTCCTATTGCAAAAAAATTTTACGTGGATTTTAGAATATTTTGAACATAAATTATTTCAGCATGTTTATATTTAAAACTAACCAACTAACTTGACTAAAAATAAAAAATAAAAAAATGGTAGTCACAAAGTACCTCATTCTACTCCACACAAAATTCCCTAATTAAATGATCCCAAGAATTTTAAATGCGATGCCGAAAAACCTGAAAATTTAACCCTCGAAAAGTATTTTGCGCATGAAGAACTTGTGAAGGAAATAAAAACTTTTGTACTTCAACACCAATTCTTACTATGACTTAAAACGAATTTTATACCGTTTGAATTATGCAATGTAATGTATCTTTAAAAAGTGTTATTGCTACTGCAAATTAATGCTTCAAAAAATAAAGAATATTTGAAATTGAGTAAAATGCAAAGAGTTGAAGTTGATGATCTGATTCCAGGGAAGCATGGGGACCTCTGTCAAAGTGTCTCCCTCGGAGGATGAACCAAAGTGCAGAAAGCAATCGTTTTTCTCAAAGCTGCGCTTCTTTCGTGACAAATGTCCGGAGAAAGACGTCAAGAAACCTGGCACACGACGAAAGTCTTCATCATCCTCAGAATTAAACAAGCAGTTCAGCTCGGACGGTGCCAGAGGAGGTTCAACGACCCCACAGGAAGGCGTTTTGTCATCTGGCAGTCTAGACTGCGTGCTGGCGACAGAAAAATCGCACAACAAAAAGCAGCGACGTTTCCAAAAACTCAAGACCTCCGACGGTAGTCGTAGCCCAATCAAAAGTAAAGTAGCCTCTCTGGTAGGTAGTTTTCGAAAAAACCGGCGCTCTGATAATTTGAAGACTAATTAGATTCTTAGGTGTGTCATTATGTAATCTGTTTTTTGTTAATTATATACAGTATGTTAGTGTGTCTATTTTGTACTTGTTAACAAACCGCCGAAAACTATGTATATATAGTTAAAAAAATTTGACCAAAATTTCTTTAACTGCGTTGATGTTGCCACAGTTTAAATGTCTAAATGAGACCAAAGACACTCGTGTCTCTTAATTCTTCTGGTGTAAATAATACTGCCAGTGAGAGAAAAATCATATGGTCCAATTTAATCACAGTGTCATCTTCCTCTGTAATGTGATCCACTTAAACGTTTTGAAACCTGTGAATTGAAAAAAGGCAAAAATTTTGTTTTCAAGTAGAAATAATAGTAGATGCCAAAAATTTCACTCTCAGGTTCCTCTTAGCGCAGTCCAATGACAACTATGAACCAACGTATGAGCTTCCAATATAACAATCCCTAACTAAAAATTAAAATTTGCATTAATGCAGGAGGTGAAGTTTTCATATTTTGTAAACGAAATGGCTTGAAATGAAGTTTTAGAGACATGTACCATAATTTGAATAGTAAATCAATGGTTAGAGAGGGTTATTCTTTTTTATGCCAAATGTTTGAGCTTTTCAGCTATTCATTTGTCGAGCAAGCCAGTAAAGTTAGGATTTAATATCTGTCCTGCTCAGATTTTGGTTTAAAAGGACGGCACAGTCTGTGCCCACAGTTAAAAATGTGTGCCCTGTCTTGCACATCTGCTTTGCATAATTTACATGTTGCTGGTTCTTTTGTAATGCTGAATTTGTTTAAATAGTGAGCACTGCAGGCCATCATGTTCAGTAGACAGTCTGAGCTGGGCCAGTGTTTGTCTGGGCCTTTAACCACCTGCTCCCTCCAGGGCTTTTGCCTGCTCTGGAGGTCATGCTTTTATTCGACTGCGGCTCTTCTCTTGGTTTTAATTTTCTCCTTAGCTGCGTCAAGGGTGATTCCATTTGATTTAGGAGGGCGCTTTTTAGATCCCATTTTGGCGAGGGCGTCTGCAAGCTCGTTTCCGTGGATTTTGGTGTGACTAGGAATCCACTGTAGTCTTATTTCGTAGTTTTTATTTTTTAATTTGACTAGGGCCTTCTTAGAGAGCGTTGAAGTATTTAAACCAAAAAATATTGCTATTAATTGTTTAACTTTCTGGGAGTAATCCGTGCGGTTTCTTTAAATTAATTGCCTTAGGAAAAATTATGAAGTGAAAAATGGATCCATTATTATTATCCTTTTATTGACTTATGGTGTGATACTGCGATACAATACTGTGGAGCAGGCAACTAATTTGCAATGTAGTTTGTTGAAAAAACTCAAATGTGTTAAATATTTTTCTGCGCCGCCCATTCGCCATTTCTTATCGCAACACACATGGACGGCGCAGGTAACACTGGATTTCTTCCTATGTTTTTGATTTATTTGCTAATATATTAACTAATCTACTTTTCAAAGTTGCGTTCATTAGTCTTTGTTGTCCTTAATGGACGAAAACGCGTTATGTGACATGGAATAGTGGCCGAGAGATTTATTTTTATTAATGTTTTGAGAGATCCATTTTTCAGTTCAAAATATTTTCCCAAGGCAATTGAAAGCAACAGGGCGGATTATACACATACAGAAGATTAAAAAACTATACCATCGCGTGGGAAATTTTATTTTTTAAATATAATTTTCCTCGAATATGATGCACAAATTTTAGCCTTGAAAGTACTTTCTCTCTATCGCCTGTTCCTTTTCCAAGAAAACTTTATTGACAAAGCAAGGACTGTTGGAAAAGTTACATTTTTGCTAAAGCGCCAGATATACCGATAAGCACTATAATAGCTAAATGTTACAATAATCTGCTGACGATATCACATATCAGTTTATCTTTGATCTGCATATTGAGAAAATTGTATGCCGGTAAACCATTTGCATATTTTTAGAAAAATGCTGAAAAAACCAAAAACTGTAAGGTGAACGCAGTTTGATGCAACAGGCATAAAGTTTAAGATAATATGATATTATCAATCGTACATACCTGTGATCATGGAAACTAGGTATACATCTGATGAAAAAGAAATAGACATCCTCTCTAGATTTTCTAAAAATATATTTGTGAAACAGAGAAAAATCTTTTCTCAGCTTTTATTTGTTAAAATTTGTGTATAATAATTAAGAGTCCATTTAACACAAATGTGAAGTACTATTTCTTCAATTAAAAAATTGAATATTAACATTTTTCCTACGTTTATTTTTAACTGTAACTAAAATTTAAACAGCTTTTATTGAATATATTATTTAACTATGTAAAAAAGTAACTGATGTCAAAATTAATTAGAAAAAAAGTTTTCGTTTGAAAAATAATATGACTTCCCACCTGAGCCCCTAGAATTATCTTAAAACCCAAATCGTTAGTCGTTACTGAAGTGACAGACTTTGGAGAACTTTATTTTTCGTCTAGTCAATGAATAGAGCCAAAGATGTCTGATTTGCGCTTTCATGTTCTTATATCTTGTTATCATTATTATCCAAAGTCATTCCATTCTATTGTATTTCAGAGATACTGTTCTTTGTTCAGCTTGATTGATTGTATAAACTATTTATGTCTCATAAGCCAATAAATATCAATAACAATAATAATAATTGGTATCAAAATTGAGTTATTATTGGTTGAATAATTACAGTGAATAAAATTACATTATGAACGTTGAAATACTTAAGTGTCTTTGATTTTGATAAAGAAAACAAAAAAATCAAGTCAACAATTTATTAGTAGTCAAGTCTAAATATAAGTCAACAATCGATATGGAAATTTAGTGGCATTGTGGTGTTTTGTTAACATTATATTTTATATTTTGAATATTATACAACCAGTGGATCCAAGGTCAACTGTATTATCGGCCCGAAAATGAAATACTGCGTGTTATCAACCTTTGGATTTAGCAGGCTAGACAATTGCCACTAGTGCCTTTCCCAAGTGGGATATACAATAAAACGAAGTTTTTGTATCAAAACCCCGAAAATACATTGTTATATAGTAATAGTTTTTGGTCATATTTCCAACTTAACTAACAATTTTTTTCAACATGGAAAAGCCCGATTTCTTCACTTCAATGATCATATCCTTAAGTTGAAATTTCCACCAACAATTTTTTAGACTAGATGGTAGTATATTAGAAGTTTGTTTTGGTTTTTTTAAGTCAGTTAAGTGTAATATCAATTTCAGATTCAAGGAAAGTTATACCTGGATTTTGAAAAAACTGTGCCAAACAAAGAGTGAATCCAAGTAAAATCTCCCTTAATTGTTTAATTTAACTTCCTTTTAGAATTATCAAATTACATTATTGGTAAGAAGTGCAAGTTTTGATGTACATTTGTGCGCTAAAGTGTATGATATTATATTATTTAATTTAATAATTGTTGATTTCTCTCTCATTTCTTGACTAAATTTATGACGAAAAATCTCAACAACAAAACACAGGAATCACATGATTAATCGATTACTTTAAGTACCATTGAAAAGTGTGCGCATTCCACTTGGAAATTGCTGCTGTACCTTTCCTGCTAATGAAACAATGTCTCATCAAAATCAAATAAAAAAAATTGTGCCCGCGCCCTTAGCCCTAGTCTCACGCACATCTACAACTTCTCCCTGAGCTCAGGTGAGCTCCCAACTGACTGGAAATCCGCCTACGTGACACCCATTTCTAAGGACGGCAACAAAAAAGACTTTAAAAATTACCGGCCAATTAGTATAACATCTCTCGACGGAAAACAAACTTGAAAAATTTGTGCGTGATAAACTGACAAACCACTTTGAGAGCTCCGAAGTCATCTCAAACTCACAACACGGCTTCCGCGCTTTTGCACTTGACGCCAAGAGCGGCGTCCACGTCCACGCAGTTTTCTTAGACTGGAGTAAGGCCTTTGACAGGGTGCCCCATGAGCGACTGCTGCAACGGTGCGCGGTCCAAACCGTGTGAGGTCAGTTCTTGTGTTATACAGGGCAGCGTTTTAGGGCCGCTGCTTTTGACCAACGTCCAAACGAATATTGTTCAGTACGCTGACGACTGCACCCTTTTTGCCGTCATTGAAAAAGATATTGAGGCCCTTTGTCGACCTGTGGTGCGTCAACAATGGAATGCTGCTGAACCCCAAGAAACGTAAGGCCATGGACATCACACGCGCGCAAACCTCCCTGCAGCCGGTCTATGTTATCGGCGGCAGTGCGATTCCGTACTCGTTTACGGAGCGCCTGTTGGGTGTGCACATCTTGCGTGATCTACGTTGGAACGTTCGTTGCAACTTCAAGAAGAAAAAAGCGGCGCAAATTCTCGGCTCTGCGGCCCAAAACCTACGTGGGTGCACCCCGCGCATCAAGCGGGTTGCTTACCTCGCTCTTGTAAGGCCGCACCTGCTGTACGGCACAAAGACAAACGTGGAGTAGTTGGAGCGAGTGCAGAATAGGGCGCTGCACTTCATTCACGGGCGCCACATCCCCCCGCCGGAGCAGCAAAAAATGCTATCCATCCAGCAGCAGCTCAGGTACAACCTGCTTTTTTTCAAAAAGTGCGAGAGCGGCACCACCGACTAAAACGCAAAGGCGCGCATCACCGAAGGGCACAATCTTCGTTGCGACGACCCCAAGTACCCCCGCCTCCAGCAGCCCTCTGCGCGCACCGACCTTGGCTTCGACAGTTTCTCCTTTCGCGTTGTTAAGCCTTGGAACAACCTGCCACCAGCCCTAAGACTTAGCTGTAAAAAAATTTTCCCCCCTGTGCAAATATTTCGTGTGGCAGCAGCAATTTTAGTGATTATTTTTTGTGATAAGTGAAAATTAGCTTGCGGCCCATCTCGGCGCGGACCACTCTCGAGGCCCCGCGTTTTGGCAACTTGTTTGCCAGAGGTGTTGCCGTTTCTTCACATTTTGTATTTTTTTTCTCATTTGACTTGATTTGTGAAGAATAAACAACAATAAAACGGCAACCTATAACTTTCACTTCACACACCCTTCATATTTTTTTTCTTAGATTAAAATGTTTCAATTATCAAAATTGTATTTTTGATATTTTCCTATCATTACTGCTTGTTCATGTTTGATTATTATTATATTATACATTAAAATTTATGACAGTAAAATTGCAGCAGAAAATAAACTTGAATGGTAACACTCGAGGTGGATTTCATGTAAAATAAAAACTGGGAAAACCTCGTTGCTCGTCGCAAAGAAAAAATGTTTGATTAATTTACTGCATTTATTTTTTTCAATAAAATTAAATTCTCCCCATTTTATTTTTAATTTTTTGATGAATCCTTAGTTTTTAATTTGGACATAACAAAACAAAAGCCTAGGTTTTGAATGTACCAGCAGACAGCATGTCACCCTTTGTGGTCAGTTGTTCCCAAGTTTTTTTTATTTATTATTTATTTTTTCTAGGCAATGAGGTTTGCCCGGTTTCAATTTTCCCGAAAATAAACTTCTTGGATTAAATTATCAGACCAAAGGTATTTCAACTTAAAATAAAATGGCACTCCGTGGCAAATAAATAAATAGAAGCGTTAAAAGGAAACAATACCAATAATGAAAGCACCTGGTGTCACTGGTGGGCATCTTCACATCACATACTTCATTTCTTGCTTCACACAAGACTTGAAAGCATCCCATCCCTCATTTTTCGTGTACGACTGTAGAAAAACGTTGAATTGATTTATTATCTACTCATTTCATTAAGTAAAATAAAACATAATTTGCAATTTTGCAACACAAATTTGTTCCACTTTACTTTAAAAAGTAAAATTTTGAAGAAAAAAAAATGACATTTAATTCATTTTCATCAAGTCCTAGAATGAACTGCCACCTGCTTTCAAAGTCTGTCCTTCAAGAAATTTTTCCTCCCATTGCAAGCAGCATTTTTGACAGCAATTTTAAAGTGTTTCTGATTGTTCTTTATTTCTTGATAGGCTGCCGAGTCTCTTTTCATATCAAGCGATTTATATAGCAGACATCTTTCTTTTCATTTTTAAATTTTTTGTATCGACAAAGAAGAATAACTAATAATAATATTAACTAGTAATTGAATTTGCAACATATTGCAAAAATGTGGAAAAGGAATTATAGATAGGTATAGGTGTCGTGCGTACTTACTCATCTTGATGTTGAAAATAATAATAATAAATAATAAATAAAACTCAAGAGATGAGATGATTTTAGAAGAAATTTTAGACAAGATAAAAAAAATGGCTTGCAATCTGATTGCGATTACAAACGCAAAAGCACTATTTAAAAAAAAATTTATTGCGATCGAAAAAGGAAGTCGACTGATCACATGAGATTACAGTAAGAAATTTTAATTAAGGAAGCATTAAACGCTAAATCCGGAAGAAAAACTGTCAATTTCAGGTCATTTGATGGATAAATTTTCTTGTTTTTTTAAATTAATAATAAATATTAATAATATCGCAAAAGATTGCAACATTTTGAGATCAAGATTGGTCGATTGCACAATTTTCAAATTCAGGATTGCGATCTAGAAGTTTGCAGTTCTTTATGAATAAATTGGTCAGGTATGGGTGGGAGAAGGAGTCGGTAGTTTATGGCTGGCTAATTTGTGATAATTTAATTATTGATCTTTAAATTTAGCTTAAATTTTGTCCTTTTCTCACTACATCTTTGTCTCACTGAGAATGTTTGTAAATTTTTTCACGATTAAGCCCAGGGACTGATTGAGATTAGAATTTGTGATAAAAACAATTGATTTTTAACAATACCTTGAAGCCTCTGTGGAGTCTGTCCTTCATTATGGCAATGAACTCTCTGTAACTTAGCTGGCCATCCCCATCTTCGTCAAAAATCTGGAAGACGGTGTGAACCAGGTGCCGACTCAGACTTGTTCCAGTACAGAGCTTAACGGCTCGATGAAATTCATCTTGAAATATTTTAATTATAAAAATAATGCATGGAGATAATTATAAACAATAATCTAGTCTCCAATAGAAAGTACCTTGAGAAATCGGATGGTCGGCTAGCGTGTACATGCGCATGGCAATACTAAAATCCTCTAAGTTGTTTAAGAACTGACAAAAGACTTTAAATTCATTGAAGGAAATTCCCTGCTCGAGTTTAATTCGGTCAAGGAGCCGATCCAGATACATGTCATACCTTAAATGAATAAAAGTTTATTTCACATGACACAGTTGAAACCGTTAAAATTATTATGAAAGAAAACAGGCTTTGACATTGTTGATAAAAAATATTTAGAAAAAAACGGCTTTATCAGTTTTGATCATGTAGTTTTTCAATTTTTAAGATTTAATTGGCATTTTATCTTTCCTATATGAAACACGGTTGCAGACTGCAACTTTAAGTGGTAGAGCCGTTTACTTTTTAAACGAAAATCATTTTTTCAACAAGGACAATCAAGTGCCCATTTCTTCAATATTCAAATTATTATTTTAATTCTTACTGGTCTGCACTTAAATATGTGTATCTCAAAAGGATTCTGGCAAAATCGACTTCTGAAATTGTATTGAGACCCTTTGAGAATTCGTGGAATTCCAACTCAAGAACCTCTGTTTGCAGGTTTTCCATGAATCTGTAAGATAAAATAAAATATAAATTTGAAAAAATCTGAAATAACATTATTACTACTTTTGGAATCCTTCGTACTGGAGATCGTCAGAGCCCTTACGGCCAAAAAAATGGAGAAGCAGTGTTGTATCAACAGCGTGGCGCCGCTGCAGACCTTGTTCGTCATCTACAAACTGATCTAGCGGATTCTTTGAAACTCCCTCCGGCTCTTCCTCTCCATCCGCCCCAAGTCCGCGCTTGTCACGCCAAGTGTGGCTGAAGATGTTTTCCATCTAAAAAATATGATCTTAATTATTGAAAGCAGGAATATTTGTTTGCTAACTGGTTTAATGAACAGAAGGTACAAATCTGAAAATTTCAGTTGAGTCACACGAAGGCATAAGCATCACAATATTGTTCATCAGCGGTTTGCGCTATTTACAAAAAGCTGAAATTTTAAATATTCTCACAAGGGAAATGTTCCAAAAATTTAAAAATTTGATAACTTCATTAAATTTAGAATAAAAATGGCAAAATAATACAATACAGATTAGAAGTGCAAAGTATTAAAGAATTTAATTTTTGGTCAGATGAAATTGAGAAGATTTAAGAATTCGGCATATTCCAGTTTTTAAAAGTAGAAAAATAAACATATCAAGAATAATGCATTTTAATTCAGTTTCTCTTCATTTCCACTGGAAATTATTGAGCAAGCAAATTAAACAGATGTTGTTAATGAATTATAAAATAAAGGCAAACACGAAGCAGGCTATTAAGGGTATAACACACTGCGGTCCACAACCTGACTTACTCTAGTTAAGGGTTGTCGTTTAACGACCCCCTTGAGTGCGTGCTCGGAAATCAATCCCTTCAGCTGAAAATTAAGTGCTACAATACAAAACTGTGCATATGTGACCCAGCCAGCAAAGAGCTCATTTTTGCATTTGGTGGCAAGAGAAACTCACAGCATGCCTTGTATTGGGATCGTCCCTGAACTCCAGCATCAAATCAGAAATTGTGCCAGCCAAAATTCCCCGGATCTACAGTGTTCAAATACATCTTGATTCATAAAATAATAAAATTAAAGTGCACTAAAGTCCATCCTTATCTACTAACAGCTAGATAAATTAAATATGTATGTGAGGATAATATATGAAGTTTTTAGACGAAAAAACATTAACTCACGACTAGAAATTCAGTTTTGTCAACTCGCTCATTTCCATCAGTGTCGAACATGTTAAAAGCAATCCGAAAACCAGTTTTGGGCTCTGCGAAAAATCAATAGAATAGTCAATTTACACGAGGCAATAAAAAATTCAGCTGAAGCTTTACTTGTTAAAATGGAGAGAAGAAACAGGTACTCGGTGTAAGAGATTATTCCTTTGTCTCTTAAATTTCGGAACATGTGACTTGACCCTTTCTTTAAGGGTGGTGTGCTGCTTCGAAACGCCTCTAATTCTTTTTCTGTCAAAACTCTTCTCTTAAGACGAGCTGAATATTTTAATATAACATAATATATAATTATTGAAACTATGTTGACGCTACGTATTTCCTAAATTTTCTTACGTCTAGGCTCACTTTCGACGACACTGTCGAGAAAGTCCTGTGGAGTCATGTAAAGCTGACTGTTGTACTCAACCGACGAGAACTTGATAAACCGTCTTTCCCTGGAGGTCAACTTGACTGCTTTGGCTAGCTCCTCGTCTTTCTACAATATTTACATATAACATTAAGTATATAGAAAATATAAATATACAAATGAAAATAATTATTACTCACCCTTCTTTGCTTCAGAGCGTGAACTGTGGTAAGTTCATGGTAGGTTTTGGCGGCGAAAAAGGTGGCGCCGGCACTTAAGATAATAGCCAGCGACGGCCGGAGAGCTTTCCAGTGACCTCGCAAGGTCGAGGTGGTTAGACATCGTGTAGGTGTCAACCTGCACCCTGCCGAATGCCTAAAGAGCCGAACTAGTGTTGTTGTGACCGCGGCCATCCCTTCTCACCTACCCTGTCCCTTCTTGCTCGCCTCAAGCCAATAAGAATCACGGAGCGATGAGCGCACCCGCAGCAAGGAGCTCCTTTGAGGGCATTTTCCAAGAAGCCCAAGGAGGTACAATACAATCCCTATATTCAGCCCTCCTTGGTTTAAGCCGAGCTAAAATACATAAACAAAATATAACGTGGAGATAACGATTTTGACCAAACTTTCGAAAATTTCCGCTAAACTTACTCGCGAAAAGAGAATCGATTAATATTTGATAATGCAATGAAATAATTAAATTCGTGTATTTATCTAAAATAAAACATTAAATCGACCGGATTGACTTGTTGGGATATGGAATTAACGAACAACGAACACCAATTGCGACAGCCGAAATACACCAGTGAGTGTAAACAACAGTGTAAATAGCATTTTCTATAATACCCTTGTTTAGAGGAGATTGGATAATTATAGAAGCTGCGCGGACGGATTACTGCTAGAATTGAATGGAATTATTGCGCTTTTTTTGCCGTCAAAGGAAAGTGTTTTAACGTCAATATGCACTGATGCTTACCAGCATACAGAAGAACGTCGCCTTAAAAAGGTATTTTCAATTATTTATTTTCCAAAGTTTGTTGGTTTTTTTTGTATAATACCATTTTTTACAAACAAAAAATCCCGCCAAAATTATTCTTTCATCTGTATTATAATAAAATCCACTCAATTTGCAAATTTTTACTCATTTTATCAATGCAAAATGCGCAAGTAATATACAGGATTTATTAATTATTGCTGTTTTTTATCATTACTTATCTCTATAGAAGTTCAATGATTTAATTTTTTAACAATATTCATATTATATAAATTTCAGGCTCGCCGGTTCGGCCGTTACTGCACTAATAAGTAGAGAGCGGAAGCATTCTTCTCTTCCAGTTTCTTCTTGGGCACCGTACTTGATTTGTAATTCAAAGGTCATGTACAAAGGCAGGAACAGCTACAGTGCACCCCGACCTTACAGGGTCTCTGTGGAAGGAAACATAGGCAGTGGAAAATCAACCTTTCTTTCGTATTTCCAACGATTTGCAGCCGTAGAAACTTATCTTGTAAGAAATTTTTAATTGTAGTGGTCAAATCGAAATAACACTTTTAATACAGGAACCGTTGGACACTTGGAGAGATGTGCAGGGTCACAATGTCCTTGACCTTCTGTATTGCGATTTACAGAAATGGAACTTAACATTCCAACATATGGTACAACTCAGCAGGGTGAACATCCAGACTTCCGACTCAAAAAAAAGGGTACAAATTTTCGAGAGGTGTGTCCAGAACAACAGGTACTTTTGAATTTCCAATTGTTTTCAAAACTAACTATAACTTTCAATCTTAAGGTTTTGTTTTGGAGAAATGGCATATAAAGAGGGATTGCTGTCTGGTGTAGAGTATGCTATCTTTGACAAGTGGTACTCGTGGATCAGCAACAACACAGACATTGGACTAGACCTAATTGGCAAGTTTAAAAATTTTTTATTCAAAGTTTAGCAAAACTCTCCTGCTCTTTAGAAGTAAGAAATGTGATTTACTCTTAACTTCTTCAGTCTACCTGAGGACAAATCCGAACACAGTGTACCAACGACTTCTACAGCGATCTAGAAAAGAGGAACTGTCAGTGTCCTTGGAGTACTTGCAGAGGGTTCATGAAGCACATGATAACTGGCTGCTGCATGGTACTCCGGCCAAAGCTCCAGCGCCTGTGCTTGTATTGGATGCAAACTCAAATTTGGACGCCTTGTACAAACAATATGAGCACAACCAAGAGGTCATTTTAGGCCGCAGACACACCTTGTCGAACTGATTAGACTAAAATAAGATTTTTTACAAATTAAATGTAATTTGATGGATGGCCTTTTTATTTTTCTAGATGTAAAGAGAATTTTTTTAACAAATTTGCTTGCATTCAAAAGCTTTAGCAATAATTGCAGCACAGGAAACACTCACGGTATGATATTGACAGGCATTTTATGAAAAATATCCATTAATCACCATAGATTAATCTAGATTTGTGTTCTTTTGATGCATATTTCAAAGTATTGTTAGACGTAGAAGACTATTATGTCTAATATTATTGATGTAGACAAAGACTTGAATAAAAGTTTTTAATTTTGCAAAAAACTTACAATATAATTAACCAGCAATGTTTTCCAGCCAAATTTCTACTTGCTTATAATCAATAGAGTCTTTCGAAGCTGAATTGAAGAGAGATGTTTCGGCAAAGTTGACTCTAATTTTGTTGAGCTGCTCAAATTCAAAATCTTTATCCTCTCCACCCAAAGAGATAACTTTTTCTGCAGAGTTGTCTAAATTGGCCAGCCGGTTATGTTTCGTCTTGCGTAAGGTATTCCTAAATTATTTAATTAATTCAAAGTTTTTCAAAATGAATAATAAAGAAAAAGAAACTTACAGTTCCTTTTCCAACAACTTCTTCACTGCACTGCTGCCCTTGGCCATGGTCTGGTCCTGCTTGTTACAAACAATCAGAAACCACGGCGAGGAGGATGCAACAACTTGATCAGTCAGTAGGCTGTACAAGTACCTGAAATTATTAGCATGAATATTTTTGTAATTTCATAAAAAAAAAATATCCTTACTCAGCCACATCTCTGATGTTGGATTGCAAAGTGGAGGAGTCAACAATGAAGGCAATTCCTCGGGCATTTTGTTTGTGTTGGTCGAAAAATTTTCCTCTCACTCTTTCGTGACCAGGGATATCAATGATTTTGAGAGTAGCCTGTACATACAATTTCAGTTTTATATTTTAATCTACAAAATCTTTCTCTAAACCTTGTTGTTGGCAAAATCTCCAATGTTTTCCTTGACGGAAGTATAGGTGTCGACAAACTTGTTGTGGACTAGGTGGCTGAACAGGAGCGTCTTTCCGCTATCGTTGAGACCGACCATGAGAATTCCAGATCTGGATGCACGTCTTCGTTGCCAAAATACAAGCGCTTAAATGTAAAATATTTAAATTAAATTCAGGAATTTATTACTATGTGTCAGGTTAGAATTTGAAACGCAAGGGGGAATAGGAATATCATAAATTTAACATTTTAGGCAGATGCCCATTTTCATTTTTTTTTTTATAAATTTTAATAACTTATGGAATTTAAATAAAAACAGAAATTATTATACATATAGAAATTTGTGTTACCAGCTGTGAGGATGATGACCACTATGGCAACCAAAATGCTAAGAATTTGAGGGGAAATAGCCATGATTTCTCAGCTCGTATTCTTGAACAACACTATTAAGAATTATCTCGTTAAAGAAGGAATTCAAAACACTGGAAAAGTATAGGGAATCACGTTAAATTAATGCGACGGCCTCTCCGATCCGATGGCTACAGAGAAAGCTACGGCGGCACACATGGAACACACCGCACGGCTAACCGCACGGCCAGCAACCAACAAAATTACCAATGATCAACAGAAGTAACAACACAACGAATTTGACTCCACCGCTACGGTCGAAGATCTCTGATTGGCTGTCGGCGTGTCGCGTATCAACGCTATAGGTCGAGCCACGCGACTGCAGCGCTATAAGAGGTACTCCCAGAGATCTGGTTGATTTTGTTGAATACGGGAATTACGGAACCAAGAAAAGACAATTTACACGTAAAATCAGTTAAAGTTTAAGACTGCCACGCCTCCACGTTGCTCCAAATCCAAACGATGGGCGTGGACCGCGGACAAAACAAGCGAAAAACAAAAACACACAACTTGCTCGCTTGTTAAGGTCTTATTGCTTGCTAAGGAAGTCTCTGAAACTCTGGCACTGAATAGTGAATTATTTGGAAAGCAGTCTTTTAATTTCCGAGCTGATTGTTGATTTTGTTAAACAAAAGGCTGTATGCTTGTTGTTTTCGAATCCCAGTCCATTTCGGAAGATTTTTCTCCTAAAACTCCTCTACTTCTGGAAACATTTATCGTGAGTCCTGAGCAAAATTATTTCCGTCAAATCTAATCGTGGGATGTTTTCACAACGAAAATTAAATAATCACCTCAATTTTTTTTACCACAGTGAATGTTTGTCTTTAATTCGATTCATTCATCTTCGTATGTATTTATTCGTAGAGTAATAAAATACATTATGATATATTAAAAAAGCTGATTCGAGAGATCCTCTTATATTTTATGTAATTTTTGTTTGAAATGAACGATTTCATCCTCATCCAATCATCAGAAAAATCATATAATTAATCTATTATATACCTTAAATCATTCATGTTGCAATTATATTATTGCATTTTGTAATAAAGTAAAATTATTTCACATTTTTTATCATATTCTAGCAGCTGACGTAAGAGTTTTTGTGGAGCTAAGCGGAAGTTTGGTTAAAAGATGATAACGTGCAGGAAATTAATCTGCTGTAGTAATATTATTCGCCGGTTCGTTTTGTGTTTGTTTTTTTTTTCAAGACTACTAATAACATCTCAGAATATGTAGCAAGATTTGTTCCTTCAAAATTTGCAAATTGTCCAAATCGTGATTGTATATTATTATAATAATAATATACGGTGATAAAAAACTTTTTCCAACACATACCACTATAAGCAGGAAGCAATTAAATTAAATTGTTAAATGTTTCAGAATTGGCATTTTAATGGACCTTTCTTACACATTCAAGTAAAAAAAAAAACAGCGATGGCTCTTAGCGGTTTTGTGGATTTCTTCCAGAAAGGAAAGGTACATGATGTAAGAGACGCTTTTAAAAACTAGGCCTGATTCAACACAATATGTTGTCTTAAATTCAATCTGCTTTTAGAATAAAATTGAAAATTTATATTTGTTGAAGGTAAATTGATTTGATACTCTTTGCAGACCTTTCGACCTAAGAAAAAGTTCCAGCCAGGAACTCTGCGCTATTCTTTGCACAAGCAAGCCCAGGCTTCGCTGAGCTCAGGTATTAACCTGCGGACGGCTGTGCAACTTCCACCTGGGGAAGATGCCAATGACTGGATGGCAGTCCACGGTAAATATAAATTTCAGCAAATAATAAAAAAATGACCAATAATTTTTCAGTTGTGGACTTTTTCAACCGCATTAACCTAATCTACGGGACAGTGAGCGACCAGTGCACGGCTGAGACTTGTCCTACCATGTCTGGAGGGCCTAGATACGAGTATTTGTGGGCTGACGGGAACAAGTACAAAAAGCCGACGGCGCTTCCAGCCCCGCAATACGTGGCCCTTCTGATGGACTGGATTGAAATGCACATTAATGACGAGTCCTTATTTCCTGTTACCACAAGTGAGCCTTTAATATTTTATACTTTTATAATTACAAAACAATCATACTGAAAAAATTTTTTAGGTGTGCCATTTCCCAAAAATTTTCTTAGTACATGCAAGAAAATTCTCACGCGACTTTTCCGGGTCTTTGTTCATGTTTACATACACCACTTTGACAGGATTGTTGCAATTGGAGCAGTAAGAATTTAAAATTATATTTTTCTCTCACTAAATAACACTTAAATAAGGAACCTCATGTGAACACTTGCTACAAGCACTTCTTTTATTTTGTGCAAGAGTTCAAATTGATCGGAGAAAAAGAGTTGGAGCCATTGCGAGAGATGACCAGGATGGTCTGCAAGGATGCGTCGGGTCAGTCAAATTTGAGCGGGTCGACAGCCTCTCCTGGCCCTGCAGCCTCCGCAGTGCCTGAGGAGGCTCGGTGATGCCAAAGTTCTTTCCTTTGGTCGGGCATGAGTCCTACTGTGAAGACAAAGCAACCTCATTGATTTCAGCCCTCAGCAGGGTGTGATTTTGTCACAGTGCAATCATTTTTAGTGCCTTAATTTTGCTTTATTTATTATCAGCTGCCAATTTCTTTCAGCAGAACTAAAATTCATATCGAATTCAGTTGAAATAACATTTTTCATGTTTTATTTTTGAATAAGTTGAAAGTAATAATTTATCACTGCGATCCCTGAAGTCTTGTACAGCTCATTTTAAAGAGGGGTGTCTAATCACATAAAAGAGATGTTTTGCTAAGGTTAAGTCCTTTTGAGTCCCTAAAGTGTGTAGTGTGTTGTATTAGAGTTGTTACCACTGAAGAAAATCTTAAAATTAATATGCAGAACTTTTAGAATAAAGATACTCTGTGCGGTTTAAGCTATTCTCTGGTCACAATTTTTTGCTATAAATTTCGTGTCTATTAGAAATGCTTTTTTGAACTGTTGCTTGTTGCTGCAATTCATAAAAATCGCCTTTTTAACATTGAGCAGTCGCTAATAAGCAAATTTTAAATTTTTTAACTTGCCCCCACGAATTGTTAGTTTTGGACTATAGTTATGTGCTTCCTAAAAATGGAAATTATTAGGTCAAAAGTTATGGAGTTTAAACCAACCATAGTTTTAAACGCAATATGAATAATTGAGACTAGTGCAAATCTGGTTAGTTGGAGATCTCTATTAAAAGTCCTATGAATTTAATATGCATTGAATATAACAGGAAATAAAAACCACGAAGTAATCATATTTATGATATTTATAATGCATTATGTTCAACTCTGAAATGCATAAAATAAATAATAACCAACTACATAATATGTGTTGTTTACAATTTTTATTTGAGCTCTTTTGTCAAAGATCTGATGTTCGTAATCACGTACTCGCTACTCGCTGCAAATTTTGTGCTTTCACGATTTGTTGCTTGTGCTGCTAAGCAGGGGATTTTTTAATTTTAAGTGAAATTTAAATTAATAATAACAATTGAAAATGATTAAATATCATTTCATTAATTGTATTCCAAATAAATGGAAAAAATTTAGATTTGAAAAAAAATTAATACATAACTATTGAACGAAATTGCTGAATGAAATAACTCCTTTGAATCTCAACACTGGCGCGTGCGCATATCACAAGGAGCGCCTCAGCTGGCACCGACTTGCTGTGTACTTAGGACTTGAAACGGATACGACCCCAAAACCTCAAGCGTCGACCGTCCGTTGGTCCTTCTTGACTTGAGCAAGGACCGCGAGAACTACATTAAGAAAATCTGACGATACGTACGCGGACTGTCCAGCAGGCTGCAGTCGGCGTGTAGCCGTAGCCGAAAAGATTTGCCCAGGAGCCCCAGGAATGTAAGAAGTAAATAACACACAGTTTTCGTTTTCTCTTTCGTTTTGATCCCGTCGTCAAACATGCGCTTTTTCCCTCTTGCTTTGGGTTTTATGTATCAACAATATAGTGTGTGCATCTACCCTTTAGTACATGCTCTATTTTTTCCCATCGCGCGCCTTGTTGAGTACATAACAGTGCGAGACGAGCAGCCAGCTCAGTCTAATTTTGAATTTTGTTTGAACAAGAAAGAGATAGCGCGGTCTGTCTACATAATATTTTATTTCGTAAAATATAAACATACCTGTAAAATGTATCTGTAAAGAAGCGTGGTAGAGAGCTGAAGATATTGATCACTTCTACTGTCTCCATCGTCCCCCCTTAACAAAACTTTGATAAACGTACTCGGAGCAGTAAATATATCTGCTATGCCAGAAATTTTCAAACTTGAGTAAGTTTTTAAAATTTGTCATGATTGGTAATTGGTACTTACTTTTTTAAAATTATAAAATTTAAATAATGGAATGGTGTGCCTGTCACCTGGTTTTTATGATGTAATATTTCTCTACAGAAAAATAATAAGTAGTTTTGTTTTGCAGAATCAGATTCTCGACTCTGGACCTTTTTAACTGTCAGGTATGCGATTTTCGCACAACCACAGTCATGTTCACCAATAAGCACCAAACTTTTCCCGAAGAAATTTACCAGCTGCAGTTATGTCATCATCAATGAGAAACATTAGGGATGCCAGTACAATTACTGGTAAGAAAAAATTCGAAATTTCTAAAATAATAACAACTAATCATTTTTTTTTTTTTAGATTTGTGCAGCTCAAACAATTTGCCTGAAATTGAAGTGATCAGTTTGGTACAAGAAGCCATTCCCTACTACAAACTTCGAGCTGACAGTTTGACTCAATTTACTGGTAAATATCTTGTAAATTTAGCTTGTGTTTTCAGTTTCCTAACTTTCAGACAAATTGTTTTTTTTTCTCGATTGAAGGCTACGAGCATGAGGACTGGTATGTTCCTCATCCGGCTCTTCCGGACCAGTCCTGGGATGTGAAATTCAGCCCAGACATAGCAAGAGAAACACTCAATTATATGGGTGAGTGACAATAATTATTATTAGCATGTTTGTGGAAGATTTAAGGTTCTATTTGCCGGGTGCAAAATCTTCCACAGACACACAGAGTTTTGTGTTACACACCAATAATTTTTATTTGAAATATTATCGATAATCATCTGTCAGGGTGTGTGTAGCATTTTCATGCAACTTTTGTTTTAAACATGGAGAATGCAAAAATAATTTTGCAAAGGAAATGTTTATGAAAAATTGAAAAACGGTTTTCAATTTTTCATGAAATCAACCTCGATTGTAAGAATGAAAAATTTTATGGGAATAATTAAAATTTTAATAGACATAATTTAAAATTTTTAGTTTGCAAAATCATCTCTTGCGCTTACTTAATTTAATTTGTATTTTTGTACATTTTTCAAAAATCTAGTAGAAAAATGAAAGAGATCAAAATTTTGGAAGACAATATAGCTAAAAAAAACCTTCCATTTAGCATAGAAAGCCCAACCCAAATCGATCAAGAGAAAGCAGTCAGCTGGCTGGTTCATTTTTTTCCTTTTTTCTCTCAATGAACCGAAGCGCCGCACCGCGGGTCAATTTCTAGTGAGCACCAGCAGGTGGCCTGATAATTAGCAAAGTGCATATTTGTCCAGTTGGTGTTTGTCTTTAGAGAATGAATGAAGGTTACATCCTGCAGGTCGGCAACGGCACTACTCCTCTCTCCTCGGTTTTGTCAAAAACCCCTTCGGAGTCATGTGAGCCCCACAGAATTGGTTTTTATTGATTCAGTTTTGTTCAGACGTCCTTGGGGCCTAATTTTATTACACATTGAGTTTATGCAGACGGAGGAAGGGGGGGGGGGGGGATTTCAAATCGATTTTTTTGCCCATTTTGCTACTTGAAATTGTTAATATTTATTGATTTTATTTTATTAAAAGCTATTTTTGACTTTCAAATAATCCAGAATAATCATCATTGGCAAGTTTTTAAATTTACTCCATTTCACAAACCATAATTTATTATACTCAAAATTGTTATTGATAATATAAACCGTTACAGTAAAGCTGGAATTACCAAATTGGTTTAGTTAGTTTTATAGATCCATTAGGATATTTATTTTTTATATTTGTTAAATAATTATCCGTTCAGATGCACGTAAATTTGTTTAAAATTTAATGTTGTTGAGGAGTGAAATGCATATTTGAATTTCAAATTAGCAAATGTGGAAAAACTTAATGAGGATTGTCACACGCTGACAAAGGAGGAAATGATGGAGTCATGAGGCGCATTAGCACCAAGTTGGGACGAGGCGCGAGCGGGAACCATTTGTCTGCCCGCGTGTTTCAGTTGGTGTCAAAGGGGTGCCCAAAATAGCCTGGAGAGAGGAGTGGCCGCATTTTGCTTTCGTCCTCAGTGCCTAATTCGAAAAGCAGAGAGTGCTTTGTGATAAGACATATTATCAGATGGATTATTGTGCCGTGTTGGGACCTGGTTGTGGTGTGCCTTGGGAGGGATTCCAGTTGTCTGGATCGTGTGATGTAGAACGAAAGAGATGCACCAGCAGGGGTGCTCCGGGGAGCAGCAGGCCACTCTCGAAGGCCATGGACAACTGCCGACAGACATTATTTTTCACGTGGCTAGAGACAAGGACCGAGAGTTGTACCTGAGATTTATCAGCATAAGGCTAAACCAAGGTGCCAAATTATAGTTTATTTCAATATTTTTTCCTATCAGGAAGTATAAGTTTTGATGTAGCAGTCCTACATAATACTAATAATTCAAAACCTTGTAATTTTGTGCAATTTTTTATTGGAGGTATATAAGAATAACAAAGAATAAGATGAATTTTGGCCATTTAAGTTATAAGAAAATTTGCCGATAAAATCATCAAAGAAAACAACAGCTTAAGTTAATTTAAATTTGAATTCTAATTTTTTTTTCTATTTTCAGTCAGACTAAACGATTTTTAATTAAATTTGAGGGAATTTTTATGCGTTGATTGGTTGAATGTTCTTGATAGCAAGTTATCGCGCCACTTATTTTTCGTTATTAGTCGAGATAATTATGAGTAAACGTTTTATTCTGACGGCTTGAAACGACCTTTTAAAAATTTCTAAGCCACTTGGAAGTGTGTTTGTTACGTTCCCACAGGAATGCTTTGTCTGCAGAAGCTCCATTCTTTTTTTATGCACAAATTTAACCTGTCCATTAAAAAAATAAATATGGTGCCTAAAATGTCCATTTAACATGTTTTAAAGTAGTCGCGTCTTTTCAATTTTATTGTTGTTCTGTTAGACAAGAATATTTTTAATTTTTATTTTTATTGCTTGGTGCACAATCTTTTTCAAGAGTTTTTATCTAGAACAAATTTAAATTTTGCGTCAGTTGGTTGAACAGAAATGTTTAAGAATGGGATGGGACTTTCACAAATTAAAATCACTAGGTATATGTGCATGGGTATATGGAAAGCTTAACTTTGTTTAATAAAAGTGCAATTTAAAAAAAGGTTAATTTCTATTCTATTTGCGCTCATTAACATTAAAATCAATGAAATTTTAAATTGAATGGTAACGCACTCGAGGTGGATTTCATGAAAAAATTGAAACAGGGTGAACCTTGTTGTCCTTTACTTTTTCTTTGCAACGAGGTTTAAAATGTTTTCGATGAAGTTAAGTCTATCATTATTATTATGATATTAATTTATTTATTTACGGTTAACTACTATACTTTGATAAAGTTATTATTACTCACAAAAAGGGACATTGAAAATATGGTTCATACCAGGTTCATATACTGAAAAACGATTTTGAAAGTAAAAGAATCTCATTGTTCATTGACGAAAGTATTAAAAACATTACATAATCGGAGGATTAGAGCAATAATTTTTAATGGTTTGCGAGGCTCTGGTAATTATCAAGAGATAAGAATTCACATTTTTCATCGCCTCTCTCTTGCAATTTTTCAATCAATTATTTCTGACAGTGGATTTGTTGGTCCGAAAACCACACCTCGACGCTAAATTGCGTCGTGAGTGATTTCTGAAATAGTCGGTGTGCATCGATCGGTTCTGCATTCCACAAGATAACAACTCGTAACTCGCTGCCGCGACCAACCAAACTTACTTCACTTGATGAACATATATGCTTAGCAAACACTTTTTGCGTCAAGATAAAAATGCGGAATCAATATTCATTTATTAAGTTATATTTTTAAATTATTTTATCTTTAAAACAATATTATATATATGATTGCAAATATTTCAATTTGATTTGTTTACTTTCACAAAAAGTCAATATGAAAAGAAAATTAAATTGGTAGAGGATTGGCAGCCAGCGCTAGTAAATAACTTACTAAAACTCTTTATTATTCTGACTAAGTTCTCATTATCTGAAGTATACGAGGGCTTCATATTTTTTTATTTTTTTTTATTGTTTGCCCCTCTTGGGAAAGGAACCACCTTACTCTTTTCTTAATGTAATGAGAGGAACAACTGGATAAACTCGATTAACTCTCAAAAGGTGCATAAACCGGGAAAAAAAAATGAAATTGGAGTGTGGTTGCCAGACCGGTCAACGGAGCAATTGAATGCCCTCGGGACAGCTGAAGCAAGAAAGGAGCCGACTGCGCAATAGCAGCGTAGAGGCCTCAGTGCAGTGAACGCCAGTCTCAAAAGTAGAGAGGGTAACCCTTTTGCTAGTGTTGGAGTCTTTTGGAGTCGAACAGCTGGAATGCGAAAACACTGCTGGCTTCTCGGGAGTCCGTCCGAGGAGCGCCGGACGCTGTCCCGAGCCCAAACCGGTCACTTCTGATCCCATTTTGCTTCCAGCGTGCTCTATTCTTGTTTAGAATTTTGTATTTAGCCCAATACGAACAAAAAGAACAAGGTATCGATCGACCTCCCGCCTCGCTTTTTGAAGTTGCACCTCGCGCTTATGCAATCCAAAGGGGTCTTATCACTGTCGGAAAGTGTTATGGAATTGGTGGACCGGCTTGGAATTTTAATACTTTTCATACAAAAATAACAATTCTCTGCAGTGGGCAAGGAGCGGCTTATCATATGCAAAACCTGAAAATATAAAATCTTGAAACTCTCATATTTGTTTCAAAAATTTGGTTTGATCTTTCAGCCTAAGCTGTCCCTTCTCCCTTCCGCTTTTCTCACTCAATACACCTTGAACAACCGCAAACTCTTTTCCAATTCTCTTGTAACGTACCACCCACCTTTATTGTGTTGCAGTGCTGAGTGGGAAAAGGCTGTCTCAAATGACGAAGACTTACAATGACCCAGAGGCTGTCACCAGACTCCTCGAAGAGGTAAAACATTTTTTTTTTTTTTTTTTTTTTGACAATTTATATTACAAAATAAAAATATTGCAGAAAGAGAAAGACTTGGAGTTGACTGCTAGGATAGGCCAAGAGCTTTTAGCCCACAACAACCAGTTAGAGGCACAGGTTGCCGCCCTTGAAGTGCAGCTCAAAGAGCAGCATGACCAGTTGGTGCAAACCCAACATGAGCTGCACAGCAAAGCAGAACTATTGGCCATCATAGCTGCAGAAGATGATCCTACATCAGACCCCAGTACAGTTTGTTTTTTAAATCAGGTTTTTATATGGTTTTACACCGTGCATTTAGAAGAGAATTAGATACACAAGAACCAAATTTAAAAAAAAATTATTTCAAATTGCATTGAATTGAATCACAAAATTTATAACACCGACTTAATTTTATTTCTAGACACGCCGACTGCAACAAAGTCCATTTCAGTGGACCTCCTTCAAAGGAAGGTGGCCACTTTGGAGGTGCAAAACACCCTTTTGAAAGCTGAGGCCACCCAGATTGCCAACGAAACTGCAGTTGTTGAAGAAAAGGAAAAGCAGCTGCTTGATGATATCACCACACAATTAAGTAAATAATCAATAAAATTAATTAGCGTATTAAGAAAATAAATTACATGTTAATAATAAAATTTCACAAAAATTTTCTAATTTTCATTTTGCTTTCATTCAGCTTCTGTGAACAGGGAGAGAAGCAATCTCGCAGAGGACAACGCTAAGTACAAAGAGGAAAACAGGGTGCAGCATGAAGAAATTAGATCTCTCCAAGCCAGACTGGCCAGTCTTAAGGAATCCAACTCCGAACTAACCAATGACAACACTTTTCTAGCCCAGCAGGTAGCCACCACTAAACAAACACAGGACTTGCTTTGTGCTGAAATCTTGGAGTTGAAGGAACAGTACGCTCAGGTATACATTATTATTTCTGTATTTGACAGAAGAATAAACAACAACATTAAAAAGACGTTAGGAAGCAAAAATTAATATAAAATTTTTAGGTTCTTGGCTTATTGAATGAGGCGCAAGACCAGATCCGGAAAATGAGGAAAAAGCAGCTTCCTACTGCAAGACTAGGGGCTGGTGAAGGATTCCAAGGCAATTATCTAAACTCCAGTAGTCTCAGTTCCAACCTCGGTGCCGAATTGGTGACCTCGTTGGTTTCTGACTCCAGTCTTGATTCTGGTATCAGCGTTGGAAAACCCCAAGTGTAAGGAAATGAAATTTTTTTATCTTTGTATTTTTATTGACAAATTTCTCAGTCCAAGCTACAGAAGAGTCTTTGAAACGGTCCGTTCCGCCTCCAGAGCCGCCTCCAACGCCAGCACTAAGAGCCACAGTCCTGCCAGTCACATGTTCAACCATAACTCTTCTACAATGCTTACTTCAACCTCGTCCAGTGGCCCCAAAATGTCCTTGGGAATTTCAGGTCCTTCATCTGGGTCATCTTGGCCTGCGCCTCCAATGGCCCATGAACCCGTGTCTGACATTCTGAGCCTCAGAAGCTCTGAAGTCTCTTTGTCTGAGGAGATGGGGTCAGTGTTATTTGCCTTTCATATGTATAATTAAATCTATATAATTTTCTTTTGGATAGAATATCTGCACCTCAACTGGGTATTCCAGGGCAACCAGGGTCACTTGACTTCAAGGTAGCCTTAGGAAATATTACTGCACAGGATGTTTTGCTCAAACGTCAAAGAATGGGGCTAGTGGACATCGATGGTATTGCTTTTGTCCACATGTTATTTAAATATAGTTTTATAACTTTTATCATTTTCATAGGAGATTCATTTTCAAGTGAAAGTTACCAACTGATGTGCCGAACGCCCGACTCAATCATGTCCACCGGAAGCAGTCACCTGACCAACACTTCGTGGAAGCTTCCGGAGAAGCTGCAGATTGTGAAGCCCATTGAGGGCAGCATGACCCTGCACCACTGGTCGCAGCTCGCTAGACCCAGCTTAGGCTCCTCGCTGGACGAGAGACCTAGAGTGATTGCAAGAGGCCAGTCAACCACCAGCAGTGGTGTCCTAACAAGATACACCCTGGATGATCTTGAAGAGGACGACCTGGACGAGGTACTTATTTGCAAGATTGGAATTTGTGCAAATTCAAAATTTTAATATTTTAGAGTCTATGTCTTGGAAAGCAGTTTGAGTCGACAGGAATGACTTACACTTACACAAATTCAACTGTGATGCACCCAGAAGACCACACCCAAGTCACTTCAAGGTGAGATTACCATAAATGTAATCAGGAAATAAATTTTCTTCCATTTTTCAAAGGAATCATCAATAATTTTAAAAGACATTTAGACCTCTATTTATTTAAAGTTATTCTGGACTGCAAATGTCTGCTGGAGCACCAATACTGGAGACCTTGACTCCTTCGAACCCGAGCTTGTTGAGCAGAAGAAACTCGACATCCACCTTCTCGACCTCCCTTGGATTGGCCAAGCTGTTGAATGAGCGGGGAATCACAGCAGCTGTAGACTCTCCAGATGCTTCAACATGCACTACACCCTGCAATAGTCCCGAGAGACCATCGTCCCCTGTATCAGGATTGTATCAAATGGGTAAATTAAAAAAGAAAAAAAAATTGTCTTAAATTTTACAAACTGATTTTGAAGGTTTCTTTGCAAGTGGTGCCGAATTCTTCAGGAGGAAGCTGGATGGGTCCTATCACAAAAGTCACAAGAAGTCAACTGGCAAAGTAATATTGATTACCACAAATATGTATTTTTCAAATTATTAACTTTTGAAATTCACAGGAGATTGCTAATATTCGGTTGGTAGACAAAATTGAAGAAATTGGTCTAGAGTCAATTTTAAAGCCAATTGAGTCCTCCAACGAAGATAGAAAATTAAGTTTGCAAGATGGAAGGGAACACAGGAGGCTGCCTGACTCGGACATAGTTCAGTGTTCCATGTAGCACGAGGAGACTTCTGGCCAAGTCGAGTAGATTTGGCCAGAAGTCAACCATTGCTTGTTAGCAAAATCAGGGCAGCTCAAATTATTAAACTCTGTGATTTAAGGATGATATTTAGAATGAGTCAGCGGAGGGAAATTTACCAAAATTTGAGTTTTACCAAATTCTGGATAAGGTGCTTTGACAGCATCAATTATATAATTGAAACCCTCTATAGAAAATAGAATTGTGCGTTAGATCAGTGGCACCAGCTTACGGCAACAGATAGACGTGCATTTTACTGTTAGAAGTTGTAAACCTTCTGGTTTGAAAAAAATATTAGCTTTCTCATCTCAGGTGCCACTGAATATTTTTGAAAATGAAACTACAGCTTTAGTTAAATCTATTGTGCTGCATTATAGGCTGATATTTACATTTGGAATTATGTAGATAATTTTCTTGTTAAGTACTGAAAATTTATCACAAACTGTTAGTTTGCCAGAGAAAAAAATTTGATTGTAAAAGAATCGTTTTATATATTTGAACAAGAGCAAACGTTATTTATTTCAATTATCTAGAGACTGCCAAACTGCAAGTCGTTATTATTGTTAGTGGTCCACAAATGCAGGAGAGAGAGAGGACACAAATATAGTTCAAGTATGTCTCTTGGTTGTCATTTAATAAATTATGTTAGTGATTACCAAATAGTGTTGCATAATAAACAGCTTTTCAAATCAAGATTTTCAGTGGCATTCATTTTCTCATTATTCTCACATTTTCTAGGAAAATTAAGATTAAACTCAACTTTTACTTATTTTCATTCTTTATTTACTTAATTGAAGTTAACATGGTCTGGGAATTTTTTTATCAAAGTGCTACAGTTGATGTTTAAGAACAAAACGAGATCCCTTATTTTGTTTGAAAAAAAGACATGATGGGGGAGGGGAATGAGCAAACTATTGTACTGGTTGCTAACAATAAGTGGAATCCTACAAAAATACTAGTCTCAGAGGTGGTTTACCAGGATCTAGGTTCTTAATAACTTTATTAACTCCGTTGCAAACATAAAATGAGAAATTTCATATCGAAGTCAAATTATTAAATCCTTAGCACTAAAATGTTCCGACAGGTTTCCAGTCAAATTTTTAGATAGATAATTTTAAATTAACCACACGTTGAAAATAATTTATTTCTTAAGACCAGCATTCCAATATGGCGCCTGACACAATAAATTTGGTTGACGAATGAAAAAAGGTCAAAATCATGATATCTGGAAACCCTCATAGGTCTTGAAGCAACAATAAATCAACACAGTTGAGCTGTACCCAATAGTGACACAAAAAATTTCTGAGTACATAAAGACACGTTGGCTTCCGAAAGTATTTACAGGTTGCTGCTTCGGATTTCCAAGGTGTGCAAATTCTTCCATAAATACATAGGTATCATATTGCCTTGCGTACAATCAAAGAGCATGGCGAGCTGCTCGTTACGGAATTGCATGGCCCACGATCGAGTGAAAGCGATCAGGGAGGAGAATTAATTATGTCTAAAAAACTATTGCCGGTAACCAGTGACCAGCTGCTGCATGCCGTCTCGACCGACGCCAGTGAAATCAGGTATCAGCACATTGGCTGCCTGGTGGGCTGTGTAGTCGCCAATTAACATGTTGGTCATGGGATACGCCGCTGCCAAGCCTGCTGCAGTTGAGCCCATACCCATACTTGGCGTTTGCTAGAATAAAAATAATATTAGAACCTTCGTGTGTATGCAAATCAACATAAACCTTCCACAGATAGTTTTTTTCTTTCTCTTTTGAAAGATGAATTTTGTTATTGCTACTGATTGGAGACTTGAAAATAACTAATGAAAAAATTTCTGAAGACTTTTGTAGTTCATTAGAAGAATTATAAACAGAATTTTAAGAGAGAGACGTGCAAAACTCTTGAGATGCGAAAATAAGATAAATACTAATTTAAGAAAATTATGATTGACATAAATTAAAAATGGCAGGTACGTAATAAGTTTGACCAAAAAAAATTCCAGCTCCAATTTTAAAGACATATCCCTGAGGAATAATCATTAAATTTTTTACCGAAGTGGTAAATAAAGTAGGCGCGATTCCGCCGCCAATAAGCTGTGACTGGTGAGTTGACGTAGCCGTCCCTTGTGAAACGCGTTGGCGACCTGTGCTGGGAATGGAGCCTGGATGGAGATAAGACGTGTTGATGATGTTGTTCTGCTGGTGGGAGGCGTCCATCGAAACGTCACCTAGACCATTCACCATGATTCCGTTGACCATGTTGACGGCTGGAAAATTTTTCAATCGAAAAGGGAAAATTCATCTTCATAAGGTTGCCAACCTTGTCGTGCTCCCTGGGCATCTAGCTGCGACCAAATGTTTTCACTTGGAGAAGACTGATTTGAACCAACTGGGGGTTGGGGCGCCTGACCCGTGTACCGGAAGAAGGGATTTTTTAGGTCCAGAGTGTTGGCTGAGCGGATACCGGTGCCTTCCACACATAGCTCAATCACCACGTCATAACTTTGCCTATAATAATATATGACTTAAAAAAGGAAAAAAAAAACATCCTCCGAACTTATTTTTGGCCACAAAAAAATCCGCGTGGGAGAGGAAGTGTGACACTATTTAAATTTAGTTTAAAGGCAATGTATCCTGTAAAAAAAATTCCACACAAGAGGAAAGCTATTTCATCAAATTCCACATGCTAGCCTTTGAGATTCTCTGCGTTAAATTGGTTGTCACTTACGCACATTTGAAGTCTCTCCCACCCCCTTATTTGTGGCTTACAATAATTTGGTTTGATTTAAAAGATTACGGTAAATTTATATCACTTTTTTTTTCAAAGTTGAAATCTTTGACGTAAAATGCAAGCACGGAAATAAATAATAATTAAATTAATTGAAAATGCTTTAATTACATTTATGCATTTCCGGCATTGGAAGTTATTTTGAAGTGTCTAATGAAGACTAAATAAGTAGTGCAAACCTTTTATTGGCAAGAAGCAAAACTCGTCCGGTGAGAAGTTGTCCTTGCTTGACAAATATGGGTGTTTCAAGGAGGCAGCGAACCTGGTACCAATGAGTCAGGGGCTCGGTAGGTGCAGTAGAGAGCCACACGGTTTGCGCAGAACCTCCAAAGGCAACATCAAACCAGAAAGCAAGGCCGTGGACTGTCCCGGACTGGAGCAGGTGGAACTCCAGTGGAACCTCTGATCAAAATAAATTTTATTAAAGACGGACAAAAATCTACAATTTTGATAGGACCTATTTTGTGGAGATCTTTTTCGTCTGCAGTCTTGAAATCAAGTATGTGCCGCACTGACTTAGCCATGCAAATTCTAAAGTCGAAAGTGTCGACAATGGGCTGGCGGAAGTACTCTTTCATGGCTGCCTTGCGCAAGCTGCTCAGATCCACTCCATGAAAGTTTTGTTGGTACCTTTATTTGGAAATGAAACAAATTACTTTTAGGTTATTTAAAAATTATAATATAATCTGGAACGTCAATAATTTTTCACTTCCTCGAATTTATTTCCATAAGTAAAACATGAATCATTTTTTTAAATTATATTTTTTTTTCGATTCGTTAATTTTTAATGTTAATTCATGACTTCAATAAACACAATAAAAGAGAAAGAATAATCATCTATTTTAGATGTTGTTAATTTTTTTAGTGGTATATATTAGTAATTTTCTGAGTAGAGTTTTGGTGAGTTAGGATTTTTAAGTGTATAATGGTACATGCAGATCACAGGATGACTCTATTCACATATTCACAGGGAAAAACAAAACAAACACATTTTTTTTGGTAAGTGTTACATAAAGCTGGTGGCTAATTCTCTTTAAATGTGACTTTTTCAGTTCTTGTATGAATTATTGCGGGAAATAATGGATTTAATTTAAAATCCAATAGGTTTTTATTCAAATTTGTAATTTTTTTGTTCTTTTACTCAAACTTATTTATGACTCAGCAGTGATGCGGGAAAGAAAAATCAAATCAATTTAATTCAATCTGCACGAAGTGGTCTCTAATAAGATTCCTAAGTGGGTGATAATTATCTAAATTTTACTAACCAGAAGTTGGCTTTCGCAAAGTGCTCCATGTAGAGCGAGTCGTCGGTGAAGGGCGCAATGTGGAGATCACCCCTGCTTGGGTACATGTGTCCGCCAGGCTTGAGCCACTTCTTGGCGTGCAAATATGTCTCCAACATGCGCTCGTTGTAAAGCATATAGCCCATTGGCTCCGAAATTATCACATCAACAAATTCCGGAATCTCTAGCTCTTCTATTTTTCCTGCTCGCACTTCAATCACGTCTGACAATTTGTTTGCTTCAACAACAGCCTGTAAAATGACCAAACTTTATTAGTGATGAACAATGCATAAGAAATAAAACCAAAATATAATGTTAAGTTTTCAATGGATCATGGATCCAAACTTAAATAGATTAGAAGGATAGATTTAAATTTTTTTATGATCATATCATTTTTAAATTTAAAGAATGTTCCAAGATTAAGAAGGGAAATATAAATAATATATATTACATTAATGACAATCTGATAGATCTTTTTCTTACATTGTTACTATTCTAGCAGTTATGCGAATTTTTTTTATGCTTATTCAGTTTTCAAATGCATAACTTCCACTGCGGAAGCTTTCAGAGGTGATAATCATTAATCAAAGTAAAATCTTTTCAAAAAAGTTATTAGTGTTGTTAAACACCTTTGCGTGCAGAGCCATAGAGCTGGCCTCAACGGCGTAGACCTTCTTAGCACCGGCCTGCACTGCGAAAAAGGAGAGAATGCCTGAGCCAGCCCCAACATCCAAGACCACCTTGTCCTTGAAGTCGACTTCATTAACAAGGAAGGCCCTCTGGTAAGTGCTGGTGCGCACATAGTCCTGCATCATGTTTTGCTGTTGAGACAGGTAGCCGTAGAACTTTGGAAAAGATTAATTTAATATCCTGTGTTTCCTAGAAAATAATACTATACTTGGAAGTACTGGGATGCTGATGACTCATCTGTTCTTTCTTTGAACACAGAGATGGTTACATTGTTTGCTTTTACCTTAGCAACTCTGTCGTGAAAAGCCCTGGCATCTGAATTTAAACAAGTTAAATTTGAAAAATTGAGGGTTATCATGGAGGCACTGACCCTTTTCGTCACGGAAAACAAATAAAATAGTCTCGATGTCCAGCCTGAAGAGGTAACCCCGATCTCCCATTCTGCAGCACTCCACCTCCGAGGTGACCGGGAATTCCATTATCTCAACCCTGTCGGGTCCTGAAACCCATTATTATTATTAACAAAATTTTATGAGCCTTACGATGACAAAATCGATAGAGCAAAATCCAACCTCGGGTGACTTTTATGCTGGCTCCTTCGGGGTCGTACGAAATGGAAACGTCGACTGGGGTGTTGAACTTAGGCATGAGGTTGCCATTGGGGCCAACCTCCTGGACGGTCACCCCTGTGACCATGGTCGTCTCCTCTGTCGTCGTTTTCAATTCGCAGCCCTCCATGGCGAGCCAAAGTGTGTGCGCTGCTTGAATTTTTTCTTTTCTTTCTACCTGCAAATACATAACACAATGTGCAGTGCGTTATTTTTCGCTAACATTGCAACAGCCGATGATGGCCGGTGTGCGGGTAAACTGCGTCCGAGTGGTTCAGAGACCGATCGAACTTGTTCACTTTCGCCAATTACGAATTACCTCGAGAGCCGGCTTCTTTCGGCGACTTGTTTACGATTTTTGCTCATCAACATGCACCGTTAAACAGCCATCACAATCTTCAAGCATCTGAAGCAACTCGCACGATTCTCACGACCGCGACAACGTTTGCTGGATTTAGATACCCGGCAAAAAGACAATATTGACAATGTTTGTAAATTAGTGGGGGGAAGGCAGTGCGCGGTGAGAGGGGAAGCAATGCAACTCCGTTCGCTGGTTTTGGTCTAATCCAGCAAACTTGTCGCTTCGACCCCTCCGTCCGTACACGTCCCCACCACCAGACCGGGCCAGGACTAGGCAGCGATTTCCAGCACCTATTGTCGCGTTCAGGACTTTCAGGAGAATAATTTACGCCATGACTCGGGCACCTCGGCCTCCTTGGGCTCCTTGACCTCGGCGACCTCGCCCCCCTTTTGTTTCCTCCTCCTGCGTTTTCAAAAAATACCAATAAGGACTGAATCAAGGGACTGAATCGACTGAATTAAAGCGGTCCTCTCACGAGCGAAGCGCGAAATTTAAAAATTCTGTGCGAGCTGCCCAGTGCTGCCACCTCGATTATGGCAAGTTCGAATAAATATATTATGACACAGCGCGCTTGCGCGCTTGATTTCAGCGGAGTTTTCAGAGGTGGGCGTCGCTTTTGGTAATCCTTGAAATCGGTCCCGCGCTCTTCGGTATAACCGGTCACAAACCGCTTGAATGGCAACGCTGCAAAGCTCCCACTACTCTCCAAAACCAATTGCGACTACCAACACCAACAGTAAACGGCAGCCTACAGCTTGGTGTTCTTCTCGTGCAGTAAAATATGGGAAATAAAAATTTTATTTTCACGTGCCTGCACGTGCCCAAGATGATGGATAAAAATTCCTTATTATACTATTCTAGAAAAAAATAATCAAGTAAAATAAATTTATATTACAAAAAAGAGCAAGGTTGCAAGGTTATTCCGATGCGGACACTCTAAACTTGCGCGCTACAAGTTTTGTGTCCTGCCTTCGATAAGTAATGTTTTGCGGCTAAATTAATTGAAAAAAATTCTATTTCGCTCTGATTAATTAGAAATTAGTGTAGGGTAGCCAATATAGAATCAAAAGATAATTTTTTTGGAAAAAATATGATAAATACGTTTCGTTTCAAACTAGGACACCAAACTTGCGCAAGTTTGGTGTCCTAGTTGGAAACGAAACGTATTTATTGGATTTGTTTTCAAAAGAATTATCTTTTGAATTTTTTTGGCTACCCTAAACCAATTTCTAATTCATCAGAGCTAAATAGAATTATTTTCAATTAATTGAACCGCAAAACATTACTTATCGAAGGCAGGACACCAATCTTGCAGCGCGCAGAATTGGTGTCCTGCCAAATATGAAACACTATTTCGGCCCAAAATTAATTAATTTATTATTTAATTAATTTATTTCAAGCAGAGTGACTCGGATAAAAAAAGAAGGTGCCTTATTTTATAATGAATTAAACTTTTAATTTTTCCAAAATAAAGCATACCTTCTTAGACGGACACCAAACTTGCGCGCCGCAACTTTAGTGTCCTGCGCAAGATATTTAATTTTCCCATCAAAAATGAATGTAATATTTTTTTTATTTCAAGCCGATTAATTAGGAATAACTAAGAGGGTGCCAAAAATTATTAAAAAGTGATGAATTTTAAGAAATCAAAAATTCAAGTGAAGTTTCTGAGTAGGACACCAAAATTGCGTGCCGCAATTTCAGTGTCCTGTGTAAGATATTTAATTTTTCCCATCAAAGTTAACTTAATAATTTTTTTGAAGAAGTTGACACTCGAGGAGATGATCATGGAAATGAAGAGATCGGGCTTTTCCTCGTTGCAGAAAGATTGTTTTTATTCAAAAACAAATGGCTCTACCAGTGCATGGCTCACCAAAAAAAAAGAAAAGTGCTGGAAGCAATGGCAATGGCATGCGGTAATAATGTAATAAGCCAACCGAGCCACCAATTCGATCAAAGGTGGATGTCCTTTTTGAGAGAGGAAGCAAACAGCTTTTTCTCGAAAACGCATAATGTGCCCGACGTCATTCGGCGCCCCCGTGGTCGGCCGCGCCGCGCGCTAATCACCCAATAAAGATCACCTCCCCCAATCAATCTGTCTTTAGCTAGCTCATTCTTGTATTAGTCAGCGAGCAGCGCGTTTGCTCATGAAATAGGTTGGTACCTGAATTTGTTAGTTTTTAAGAATTTAATTTTTTATTTAAAATGTGGTGTTTTTTCAATTTGCTGATTTTTTGTATTTTTTCTTGCTCATGAAATAGGGTCGCAGACCGTGACCGAAACTGGTAGAGCCATTTGTTTTTGAATAAAAACAATTTTTCTGCAACGAGGAAAAGCCCGATCTCTTCATTTCCTTAATAATTTTTTTATTTTAAGCCGATTAATTAGAAATAACTAAGAGAGTGCCAAAAAAAAATTATAAAAGTAATGCATGATGATTTAGTGGGAAAAATTAAATATCTTACGCAGCTAGGACACTAAAATTGCGGCGCGCAATTTTGGAAACGCCACTTGAATTTTAGTTTTTTTTTTCAATTTCATTACTTTTATAATTTTTTTAGCACCCTCTTAGTTATTCGTTATTCCTAATAAATCGGCTAATAAGCAAAAAATTATTAAATAAATTTTGATGGAAAAAAATAAATATCTTACACAGGACACTAAAATTGCGGCGCGCAATTTTGGTGTCCTACTCAGAAACGTCACTTGGATTTTGGATTTTTTCAAATTCATCACTTTTTAATAATTTTTGGCACCCTCGTAGTTATTCCTAATTAATCGGCTTGAAATAAAAAAATATTAAATACGTTTTGATGGGGAAAAATTAAATATCTTACACAGGACACTAAAATTGCGGCGCGCAATTTTGGTGTCCTACTCAGAAACGTCACTTGGATTTTGGATTTTTTCAAATTCATCACTTTTTAATAATTTTTGGCACCCTCGTAGTTATTCCTAATTAATCGGCTTGAAATAAAAAAATATTAAATACGTTTTGATGGGGAAAAATTAAATATCTTACGCAGGACACTAAAGTTGCGGCGCGCAAGTTTGGTGTCCTGCTAGGAAAAGATCTTTTGATTTTTGGAATTTTTCAGTAAAATGATATTTTATTTTATTATTTGGCATCTTCATTCTTATACCAAACTACTCTGCTTAAAATTAAAAAGTAATTAAATTAATGCAGATAAAAAAAATTAAATTTCGTGGGCAGGACACCAAACTTGCAGGTTTGCAAGTTTGGGACCTAATGCTTACAACACCTTTTCAGAAAATCAAAATAGTTTGTGTCAGCCGATATCTTCTGCTGGGGTCTGGTTTTAAAAATAATTAAATACAACTTAAGATTACTATATATTGGCATTTAAAAATAAATACAAATATAAATACAAGATTGGAAAAGACTCATAGAAAAAACTGCAGTAGTACAAAAAGTCTTTTCGTATTTTAAGACTCAACAAATCTTTCTCACATGTTCATTTAAACTATATCAGCGCACTTTTAGTTCCACAATCCCAATTGACAATTCTTCACTTCAATCTTATACTCTCCCGGGTAATCCATTCAATTATTACTACGCTTTGCTCCACCTGTCCGCCAGCATTAACAGCAAAAAAAGACACATTTTACAGTCTTGTGTCGCTCCTAACACTTACGTATCCCCCCCACCACATCTCCTACCCTCCAACGTTGCCATCCTTCCGTTTTTCGATACCGGTTTAACCGCTTGCGGGACCGATTATATGGAGAATCGTCGCTTTTTTCTCCTTCCTCCTTCCTTCACATTTCTTGGACCGGACCGTCCAGACCACCCCTCTGACCCATCGATAACAAGAAACAGCGTGAGCGAAAGGGCAACTCAAAGATCGAGGGTGGTCCACCAAAAGAACGTGATGTGATATTCGACCATACCAAATGAGGTGACCAGCAATTGTGGTGCTGCTTAAAGTAGTGGTGCATGTGGAGCCGCACCGTCCTGTGCGGCTGCGGAGGGCAGCCTCCGGAGATGGTCACCCTGAACGTGTACCCGCAGGACTGCTGCATGCACTTTTCCATCTACTGCAGACACGAGCAGGTCGCGCTGATCGGAGGCTTCCCGACTGCCGACGTGCTCGCCAACTGTGCCTTCAGCTCAACGCCAGCTCTTGATTCCAACTGGCTCGCCCTTGTCAGCGCTCTCGGACTCGAATTCTGCAGACTCTCCGACAACTGGGCCCTCGTTTTTGAATCAGGTCCGTTTATTTTCTTTAATAATTAAAAAAAATATATATAAATAAAAATTGCAAATGCAAATGCAAATCTAGCTCTAGTTATTTTTTTCTGCGGTGCGAATTAAAGTAAATTTATAGATTTATAAATTGAAAAACAAAAACACCCGCACTTATAAAGTGATGAGTTTTTTGCATGTGTGCAAAAGGTGGCACAACTTCATTGACGTCTGCAAACAAGTTTTGGAAATTATTTACAGAAATAACAGATGTCTCAAAAACCAAATTTGGTGTATATTTGTAAAGTTCGAAAGATTATCTAGTGCGTGTGCGCTCTCCGAGGGTTCCCCTCATAACTTTTCTCCTTTCATCCTAATTTAGCAACTGATGTAATTGTCTATTCGCGTATATCGAGATCAAATCTTACATTTTTTATTTAACACATTTGATTTAAATCATCGATTTTATTGCAAGTTTCTAAGCGGGGGGTAAATAAAGGTATAGTAAGATTTTTGAGCAGTACGAAACAAGTTTCTCTCCATATTATCGATCGGCGCTGTTCACCAACAAGGGTCAATTTTTATCCTCCGTTTTCCCCCAGCCTGACAAGAACTCTGCGCACTCGCTCTTGTATTGAACATGCAGTATCATCGGAAGTCCCTATTTATATTAAAATTAAATAAAAACTGTATTTATTTCCAGCATTTCCATAAAAAGGAAATATGAACGCAAAAATAATTATTATTGCAACTCTTTTATCTTTTATTGCCTTATGGTGTGATATTACAAAAATAGTGCACTCAGACGTAATTCACCCATTTACAATTGGGTCAAAGGAAGATAGGAAAAAGAGTTAAAGAAATTTAAACATATTTACAGAAATTTACAAGTTATGTATTTTTGCTCTTGAGATAAGCCTCAAAAAAAATTTTTTTTTTACTCTCGTGGCTGGTATTTTAAATTTTTAAATCAGAGCTTCATGAAAAAGATCAATATTGTAATATTTTGTATTTTAAGTTTGAAATACAAATATTTGAAATTTCCCTCTTTTAAACCATGAAAATTAACTATTCAGATTAAGATAATATTTTATTCTGTATAGATCAACAAATGTTCAAAAATAATCTTTGGAATTGGTCACTATAATACAGCTTACCAAATTTAAAATACAGTTCACAAAAAATTACGTAAAAAATATTCATGCACGTCATAGAACATTTTGTCATAGAATATTAATTCCTATTCCTTCTTAAACACTTAATAACTATCAATGTTTTTTATTCGTTCGGGAAGGTGATTGAAAATTCTTGGGATCATAATTTTAGGGGACTGAGCAGTGAGCAACAGTGATTATTTTTAGTTATTTTTTACTTTAAAATAAAACGAAATTTTTAGAATATTCATGAATATTTTTGCCCTAAGTTATTGGAGAAATTTGGGAACCCCTTTATTGATCAGAAAAAAAGACAGAAATCTTTTGCTTCGTCTGAAAATTATTTATCAGAACAACATTATGCATTTGCCTGAAATATATTTATCAGAGGAAGCATGAAAATAGGTGAATGGTGAATTTCAGGAATTAAAATTTCTAAATAATTTTTTAATACAAATTAGAAGTCGAGTTACAGTGTTTTTGTGCTTCGTGCTCCCTCAAAATGTGTTTAAATTGTGTATTGGTGCGTTTTTTTGTGTTTTTCATTTTGTCAAATTTGTTATGATAAATTAATAAACTATTAAAGGGGGACGAGAGCCATAAATTTTCATGCTATAAATGGCAGTCGCTATGGAAAGCTTACACAGGGGTCTGATTAGAAAACTACGACAAAAAATGATTTTTTTTATAGATTTTTTTAGATGGCAATTTTGAGAAAGGAGGTGGAAATTTCCAGGTCAAGAAAAATCAAATCTGCAAACATATGAAACGCTGCTAATTCTGCCTGGGTTCATACCTAAAATGACCTGCCAATATTATTGATTTTCTTCACGAAAAATAAAATTATCAAAAATTCTTCATTCTTGTATACACCTTCAAAATTTTGCATCTACCCTACCTTTTTACAAAAAAAAAGTAAATTTCCTACCTTTGATTTAATTTAAGTCGTTTCTTATTTGCTATGATTTATTGAGGATTGAGGATAGTTTTTTTCTTTTCCAAAGTATTTTTAAGTTGCAGCCAGTGCAATCCAACTCATTGGCAGCTTAGTTATTACAAGAAAAAAATAATCTGCAGGGAAAAAATGTTTTAAGACATGAAGCTACTGTTGAATCTGCCATGCATATTTTCATTCTCCTACGCATTCGAATACTATGCAGAGTGTTGTTCCATAATATTTCGCTTAAATATGCGACCATGTGTTTTACAACAAATCTTTGTAGTCGTTATATTATTCCCGGGTTGCGTACGTGCTGCATTGCACTCAACTCCTGGCGAAATCTGTCGCGTCACAATGACTCAAATCAAGTGGCGAGATTTTGCACCGAGCAAATAGAGCCATATACTGCAAACAATTCTCCCGAGATTATACCTGCTGCATGGCACGTACGCGTGTATTTTGGCTATAGTTGTTTTTTTTCATGCAAATGATAATAAATAAGGACGTGTTGCAAGAGAATGAATGAATTGAATAAATGAATGTTTGTGAATTTGAGCGTGCAAAAATAAAAATTAACACAAAGCTTAGTATAGTTTTAAAATTGATTTCAAGTTGATTTAAATTTTAAGTTTCATCAAAGATAAACCTTGAAAGTTTATGCAGCCTTAACATTCTATCTCATGTTATTTTCTCTCCGTTTGTCATTGGTATAAATACTATAAATATAAATCCATCTTGCGCATTCAGTGCGTGTTGAATATCCAATGACAAATTTCGCACGCCCAATAAACTAGTACTTCCTTGACCATTTTTCTCAGTATATTTCTGCTTGCTCAAATGAACAAGCCTCACATAGTAATTCCTTAATGTGATTATGAAATTATTGCTAATTTCGCTTTGATTAATATTTCAGTGAAAGCGACAAGCATCTTTTTCTTCCTGGGCGTTGGAGGATTCGTGTGCTACAAACTCTATCACTACTACTGGCCAAAGAATCCGCCAGATTCGCCCAAACTTAATAAGAGGAACATCTTCTCAGCAACTGGTCACAAACTGAAAAATCTCTACCAGTCTCGACGAAAGCTTCTCGGCAATGGAGAGGACGCTTCTTATGGATCTATACAAGTGAGTGAAATTAAAAAATCGATTTAGCTCATTTTTATAAGGAACAAATAAGCAATGGAATTGCGCCTTTTCAGTTTTTAATAAAGATAATGCAATTTTTATTTTTTTAATTGAAAAATAATACTTTAAATGGATTTTATGAAACAAATTGCATTATTATTCCTGAATTAAAGCTTCATAGGAGTCACTTGTTTTCAGTTTTATATTGCTCTTATGCCTCTTGTGTCTCGGTAAATTCTTGGCTTTGTTCACTATCATGACACAGGATTGTATTGAATGGAGAATAAATAAATAGTGCCTATTTTACTCGCAAGTTTCACAAACAATTGATTGTTTTCATTTGTTCCAAGAAATTTTGGATGAAATTAGAATTGAAATGAAGTATTGTTTCAATTTCAGACCAACTATTTTGGTCCGAGCACATCTTGTGATGACAGCGATTACGCAGACAGGAGCAATTCTGTGTCCTTATCACAGTCAGAGGTTAGCTTAAAACTTGAAATCATTTTTCCTGTTTCATTTCTTTATTAATTCTCTTCATTTAGGACGAGAGCTTCTACTCTGAGCCGCACATTCAAGAGCGGCGAGCGATGTACAAACGCTCCAGGAGCGGTGGGTTCCGTGGCATCTGGGGCGGCCGCAAGGGTAGCCAAACGCACACCAGGGAAGTGGCCAACAAAGGCTGGCTCCTTTCTCGCATTAAAGGCTCAATGTCCCAATTTTCCAAACCTACAGTGCGTTCATAATATTCATAATATTTCATAAGTTTATTCAATATATACAGATGAACTTGAAAATTGAGATTTTGAAAATTACAGGTTCAAAAGAAAGGTGCGAGTTGGCCGGTGACCCCTTGCAAGGGTGAGGATAACCAGCAGCCCAACCTAAAAAAAGCTCGAAGCTACTGGAACTGCAGCGAACGAATGGCACCTGACGGCGCAGAAAGCAGCGGCCTTGATGTTGGATACTCTTACTATCAGTCGATGCCAAGAGACTTTACCGTCGACTCTTTCTCCTGCAACTTTGAAAAGCACTGCCAGCCACGCTTCCCCAGAGAGGGCTCTTTTGATAGCACCTGCTCAGAATATAGCATCGAGTGGAGCGTCAAAGAAACCGAAGATTCAGCCACAGTTGCTTGTTTGGAGAAACTTCAACAGGTTAGACTTGATCTCAAAATAAAATGCTAGAATGTATTCTATATATTTACAAGGGTGGGAAGTGCGATCAATGATTCTGCGCTGTCATTTAGTTTTACAAAACCTTGCGACTTGCAATCAGTGCTCACGCTGTGACTCAAACTATCATTATTTTATCTAAAACGATCTATTTTTTTTTTTTTTTTTTTAATATTTAGCACTTGAGGAGAGAGTCATGGAAGTGAAGAAAACGGGCTTTTTGCTTGTTGAGAAAATTGCTTTTTTTTATTCCGAAACAAAGCCTTGGCATTTATTTGAATTAAAAACAATTTTTCTTAAGAAGGACAAAGCCTGTTTTCTTCACTTCAATAAAAAAATGTTGACACAATTGATGCAGCACCTCAGACAAAATTAGATTTAGAAGAAAAAAATTGCAATGCACACAAATCTTTTCTTTTGGAGCATGTTTAATTTATTTACCGCTTAATTTTGTGTTTTTAAATTATTATTCAGTAATTTAATTGAAATTGTATTGAAATTAAAAAAAAACCTCATTGGTATTTTAAAACTTTGCCTGATTTGTTTAGCCAAAAACTTTAAATTCAATGGCAAAGATAAAAGGAATTTTTATAAATACTTGAAGAAAAAACTTTTTAGCTTAAAATTTGCGCAAAATGAGCAATGGAGCACTCAGGACCAATGCACTCACGCGTTCAAAATTAATTATGATGTTTACGTTATATTATATGATAGAACATACAATTTTTGGTTCATGACAAAATATTAGGAAATCGACCAGCTAAAAAACAACTGCCTGATGATGGATGAAGACTTTGAGACCATCAAGTGCAATCGAAACGTGCCAGGGATGTCAAGCCTGATGACCGAAGCTCCGCACCAAGAATTTGAGCGGCGGGCATGTTTCACGGGGCTCTACAGCCTCACCTGCATAAATAAGAGCATTTCCTCGGAGTTGTCAGACATGGCTCTGATAAACTTCAGTCAGGGAAGTGAGCAGGTGAAGCAACTTGAGTCACCCATGATGGCTACGCCAATGCATTTCCCCAGGGGATACTTGCCAAGTGTGAGTATTTTTGGCACAAATTTGTTTTAGACAACTAAAGTTCATACAATTCCTTCTTTCAACAGCAAGAACAGCATGTGTCCTTGGGCTCTGCATTCAGCGAGGAAGACGAGCTAATGGCTAACCTAGAGTGGGACAACGAAGACTTGGATCAACCCTTGTTCGACGAGCAGACAGAAGCGCCAGAAATATTGAGTTGTGTCGACACCCTTGAGATGGACTTAGAGGCTGAACTGAGCAACCAGCAGGACATTGGAATCATTTCTTCTGACAATAATGACAATATCACAGAAAAGTGAGTTTGCGAAATCAAGAAAATTATTATTGATTATTATTGTTGTTATTTATTTGACAAAAATTATGATAAAGCAATTATTTAAAACATCATTTTCTTGGAACAGCTTGCTGTTGGCTACCAGTGAGAGCAAAAAGCCAGAGCTTAAACTGCTGAATTTACAACCACCAAACCTTTTGCAATGGAGCTCAGAAGAGTCTGGATTTATGGAGTGGGACACAGCATCTGAGACCCAAAGTCACAGAACGCCAAGTGAAACGTCGCTTATGTCTAGAGGGTATTTGATATTAATTAAAAATATTCATGTGTATCAAATATATTGATCCTCTCTCGAAATTGGATTATTCCTTATTCCTCATAATTCTCATATATGTTGGACTATCTAAATTTTAATAAACAACTTACAGGTGGCTAAGCAGTGCCAAAACCAGCGAGCAAGTGACTCCAGAATCGGAAGCCTTTTTGACCCCTACTTCAGAACTGCCCACTCCTTCAGATGCCAACCCCCCCATGCAAATGAACATCTGTGAAAAGGAGCAAATACTGCAGTATGCTCTCAGAGAATGGCACGGAAACACACCAACAGCCCAAAGGATGCTTAAAGTAAGCATGTTTTTTTAAATCAATAAAGATTAAAATATCATCATAGATTGGGTGTCATTCTGTTTATAAGTTTGTTAGTCTGATGATAAATGGCTTGATTGCATCCGCCAGATGTAATTAATATTTGATTTTGTAAAATTCGTACAGTGTTGATATGTACACTGTTTTTTCACCAAGCCCTGTGGCCCAGTGGTTAGAATGCTTGCATTCTAATCAGTGGGTTTCTTGGCCATCATGGGATCAATGCTCAGCCTGAGGCTCTTTTTGGAAACAAATAGTCTCTGGTATGCGAATCATTGATAACATTTCGGCTGACACGTCGGGAATTTGGGAGGTATGGCGCAAGCTGTACCGACTCGCACTCGGAGGTTTGCCACGTTTCCTCCTAGCCACAAGCTGGAAGAACTCAGCTTGTATGGAGAATCTGAATGCCTGCGTTTCATTCCAAGTCCTTCATGGCAAGGCCGGGTCAAGGGGTAAGGTCTCAAGGGGGGGGGGGGGGGTGCGAGCACCACCAAATCTACTTGTAAGCCCCCGAACAAGGGTCAGGTTGGTTGGGAAGCACAAATGTGCTAAGGGTGCTCGACTTCGGCAAGAGACCGACCCAATAGCCTAATAAGCTCACCATATGAAAAAAACCCTGTTTTTTTTGTCCTTTTTTTCTCTTCAGGAGAGTTTTGGATGTTTTACAGACTTTGTTTATCGAGTTGCTTTTTTCCCCAAACTACATTGCAGATGGGTGGCCTCATGGCCTGCCCAGTGTATTGTATCGCAGTATCACTCCATACATCAATAAAGGATAATAATCATTATATTAATTAAAAAAAAAATACCCTGTTAAAGGTTTTAAGTTTGAATACTTAGAATTGTATTTATTAGAAAGTTATTTGTTAAAATTTCAGGGCTACTCAGAGGTGCCAGGAGTGTTGGGGACGCAATACATCCGTCGCATTCGCGGTGATAACTACTGTGCTTTGCGAGCAGCCCTCTTTCAATGCCTTGTGATGGATCTGCCTGTGCCAAGCGGTGACGCAACCTTCACTGCCCTCACCAAGGCCATCAACCATGGTAGTCCTTGGATCCAGGAGTGGCAATTTGCAGGTCGGTTGCCATACAGAGGCACCGATGTCCTCCACGGAATAAAGAAATGTCTTGAGAGCCTTGATAATCTTGTAAATATTTCATCATGCAATAATTTAAAATATATTTTACTTGACAATAATTGTAGGCAAAACTAATGAGTGAGTCTTCGAATCGAGAAAGCCTCCTGGTGCACATGCTGAACACGAGTCCAAGTCTGGACCTGCACATTCTGGAGGCTGTTAAGTTGCACATGCTGGCAGCTGCCTTGCAGATCCACAAACACAACGTCACCACAACTGATGAACTACCGCTTTTCGCCATTCTTATGTTTGCTCGGGATACTTCCGAGACGCCTCAAGACTTCACAAAGAATCATCTGCAGGTTGTTGGTGACAGCGGTGGACTAGAGCAGGTAATTTTTTTTTTTTAAGAAATATTTGCAATTTTATCTTATTAATTTCCAGGATATTTTGTTATCATTTGTACAAAAAAATATTAATAATAATAAAATAATTGTTTTGCTCAAGTCAAAAACCCTACAAGTTTTTGACAATATTTTTTACAAATTTAAATTTTTGGATTAATTTTTTTGAACTTTCATTTTGTAAGTGAACTAAAATTTTTGATCATTAAAGGTGGAAATGTTTCTGCTGAGCCACACGCTAGGCACCTCCATCAAAGTGGTTCGGCCAAATTCCTTTGGCACCGAGGACTTTGTGTGCTGCTTCTCAACAGACGAAAGCACAACAAACAGGCCAACCATCATTTTGATAGCCGAAGACGACCGGCACTACAATGTGCTGCTCTAACACAAGTCTGCCAAGCGGCTACGCTTATAAATCACTAGTTGGATATGATGTAATTTTAGTGAAGAGCCCCTTCATTCTTTGTGATTCCTAATTCACTGTTGGAAAAGTGCTGAGTTTATTTTGTTCTGTGACCTCGGCATTATTCTTATTTATCATAAATCTGTGTAGATTTATGCGTTGATAGCAAACATTCTCCTGCTTTGTAGATGGTATTTTTGTGTTAAGTTTTTAAGACCCTACATAAATCTGGTCAAAGTGTGAGGAAACAAAATTATGTTATGGCAGTTTGCTTAAATTATTTTTAACTTAAAACTGATGTTCCTTAAACAAAAACAAAAAAGTTATGCTAAACCTCTATACAAACTATGTTCAAACGGTTGAAAGTATTAACAGCAGGCTCTGAATAAAAAGCTTTTAACAAAATACACTTGTAAAGAAGAAAATGACGTTTTGCAGTGGCGGCTGTTTTTATTTGTTAAATTTTGATAGAGACTTCAAAAAAGTTGAAGTAGGGATTTGAAACTGAGATACACCGTCAGATTTGTGCAATTACTCAATTTTAATGTGATTTTATTACTTTTTTTATTGGCTCATTTAAATTATTCCAATTTCCATTCGAGTTAAATATAATTGCGAAATGTCTACACAGGATGTATAAACCACAACACAACCCCTTGAAATGAGATGATTTCGCTGTCCGGAGCTTGGAGGATCTAAACACGCGTAGACACTATGTAACTCATGTGGGAGAATTATTGCGTGCATTGCAAATTCTGGAAGTGTATCTCAATGAATTAACCCACTATGTTAAAGCGGGGTTTTTTCATAAAAATTCTTAATTTTGAAGGAAAAAAATTATGTCGGCAGGGAAATATGGGTTATCAATTTAGAGTCACCTCCCCCTAAGTTCCTTTGTGTAAACTGTTTCCAAAAATTGTTAGTTCAGCTTTAGGGTCATTAAAAATTTATTTTAAGACTTCTAAGGCCGTCACTGAATATGCCCCAATTAGATGTTAATATTTATGCACTCAATGTGAATGTCGAGAGACTAAAATTTCAAATTTGATTTTATTGAGAGAAATATCGAATACTTTTATTGCTTGAGAGATCAATAAAATTAAAATAATCAAAGCAAATGTATATAAAAATGACACAAATAGTATTTTATGCCGTTTAGTGGGATTATAGAGAAACCGATATGTATTTTAAAGAACTCTGCAGAGCTATTTTTATGATGAGCCTTATTTTCTGTTTGAATGATCTGCACAAATCGCTGCGATTTTACTCCTTTCGGCTAATGTAACCGATCATAAAAATTGTTTTGCTTCTAAATATATTGTATCCATACAACTAAATACAATACAAGTGGCCAATTTCAATTTATGTTTGTTCTAAAACTGTTAATAAAAATAGATTGTTGAATGAGAAATAATGAATTACAAGATTTTTAATTGAAACACAGGAACGCTAATAATAATAACTATTTTAAGAAATTTCGTAATGCGCTAGAATTTTATGTGAGAAAATATCTCAAAGTAAAAATAAAAAATGGATACAAATAAAGGATATAAAGTGTATTTTAAGCCAATTCCAAATCAATCTGACCTGAGTGCTTGATAGCATAGAGCATAGGTGGTTGTTGGAAATTGGATGATAGCCTGTGAGTAGGTGGTCTCAAGTTAGGTGTTTTGCGGGACAGTAAATTCGGATTTTTGAAATTATTAAACAGCTGTATCTCCGCTTTCCGTTGTTGTCGAGCAAAAATCCAGGCATGGTTTTGCTTTCTGATAATGTTATCTTCTATTTTAAAGAAGTTTTCACTTTTACTGAAGGCATGAGTAAGCAGAGCACGAATGGTGCTGATGATGATTTTCGTTCTTTTCCTTTTCTGCTCCCCTCATGCACACGTTCCAACTGCTCTTGAATAAGAGAGCAAAACAGGTCTGAAATTATTTATGCGGCTTGAGGCTCGATTAATCAAACTACCCCAGCACGGCTGGCGAGGCAGCAGCCGTAGTCAACTCACTATGCTCTCTCGCTCTCTGCTGGTGTGTTTATGGAATATTAGATCGGCAGAGTGGCAAGTCGTAAAACGGCTCCTTGTTCCGGCCTCTTTAATATTTCACACGCACTCATTATTACCAGCAAGCACCAAAGTACGCCCGATCAAAGTTGCATGCACCAACACGTCTTCCACGAAATCAAGCCCCTGCGAGATTTGTTAGTTATGCAACACGTGCGTCACTCGTGCTAGTCGTGCTCTAATATAATTTGACTAAAATTTTCTCTAGTTTTTTATGTGGATCGAATGATTTTGAAATGAGCTTTTTTTCATTGAAATGAAAGTATTTATCATTGTACACCGTTGGGTGTGCTACTATTTAAAGATAAAAAAATAAACAAACGGCAAGAGGGAGTATTCGTTATTTACAATGTTTTTGTTAAGCTTAAGATTAAGATCATTCTTTAAACAGTCAAAGAAGTGATAGAAATGAATCCTCTCTCCGCAATTTTCGCAAATAAAATTATCTCTAGAACTTATGTGGTAATAATTCTTTATTTTTACACAAAATATGATGACTTTTTCATTGAAAGAAAACTATTTCAACAGAGACTCGCTGCGGCAGGTTTTTATTTTACTTTCCTGGAATTGGAGCCTTTTCGTCCAAAAATTTTACTCTTTTCAAGTTTGAACAATAAACCCAATAAACCAATAGACATAAAAAAACATTATGATTTGATTTTGATTTAATATAATTATATTTAAAATATTAATTGGACAGAAATCCTGGGGCGCTTTAGGACATTTGACCTTATATAGGAATCGGTTCCACCATTGATTTTTTTCCAGCAATTTGGACAAATTCCTTCTGCAATTGCACTATTAATAATATTCAAAAGCTTGTCCTGAATGTACTCAAATGAGTGCAGCAGGACTATTAAGTTAAGATTGTCTGAAACTGCTTTTGACTTCAGATTTTTTACAATGTTCAACAAAGTCACCATATCAACGGAACGAAATATGCGTATGAAAAAATTGTAACACTGTGTAAGTCGGCTTAAATCATACTAAAATTGAAATTGAATAGTAGTAAATATCAATAATAATAATAATAACAATAATAATATCCTGGAAATAAAAGTTCACGAAACTGATTCTACAATTTTTAATTTTTTGACCGTGACTGGAAGAGGTAAGAGCTTTTCATAGTTGGGCAGAGCGCGCTCTACGCTCTGCACTCTGAGCGCGATCGCACGAGATTGTCAAAATTGTGAGCGCGAGCGCATTGGTCGCTGAGCGCAGCGCTCGTTAGCGCTCCAAAACAATATGTTAGAAATTCCCATGTTTGATCAAAAATTGTAACCAGAAATAGTGTTTTTAAATGAAAACCTTCAAAATTTTGGAAATTTCAGTTCCTTAATCATTTCCAATTTCCGATGGGTTTTTTTGTATACAAAATTTTTCTAATAAGTCGCACTTTTTCTAAGGGAAAAAAATATTTTTGAGCGCAAAGTGTGAGCGCAAGACTTTTAAAAAATTTGAGCGCGAGCGCAAAATTGTTGAGCGTACCCATCTATGGGGCTTTTTAATAAAACCATGATATTCTTCAAAGAGGAAAAGCCGTTTATTTTAGAAAATTTTATTTACAAAAAAAATTAATTTTCCATCCATATAAAAAAAACCATCGGCAATTGGAAATGATTGAGTTGATCTGAAATTTCCGTAAATTTGGCAATTTCACAACTTGATTCCGCTTCATGTACTAAAATTGTTTATAAATATTTTTACCTTTATAGGTACCGCGGCAATGACAATTTTTCTTAAACAATAAACACCGTTCAAAAATCCATCGAGGAAAAGCCGATTTTAAATTCAAATCACCATGAATCAACCCTCAGCTCAATTTCAAATAATTTTAATTTTGATTTTAGGATTTAACCAGACTCATATAGTGTCATTAGATGCAAGTGTGAAAAAATCATCATGTTGTAAAACTGATTTCCCAGCACAGGTGCTTTCACCTGCTACCTTCTTTACTATATAGCTCATTACAACTAGATAATAGTGCATTAAATGCTCTAGAGGCAACATGACAGCAGCAGGAATCTCTGCTATTGATTTCAAAACAAATTAAATAACAAATTTATCAAAGGGTCTCCATTTTTTCCAAAACAATTAATGTGCAAACTAATTAATGATATCCATTTGCTCTGCCCCATGAAAAATTTATAATTGGCATTCTCGCAGTCGATTAATTTTCCACTTGACCGATTTCTTTCATTTCGTTGCTGGAAACTGGTAATTAGCGACTTTTTAATTGAAACCTTCTTTGCCTCTCATTAAGACGAGCGCGACGCAGACGTAAAAAAGAAAAGGGCTCATTATAATCAGAAAAATATTGAAAAGATGCGCACAAGAATGTCTGTCATCATGGGAGAATGTTGGGAAAATTGTCGTCGTTTGCTCCCTTGCACCTAATCTTTCTATGCCAGACGTTTTCAAAAAGCAAATTAGCTGTCGCGTAGCAAGCGGCGTGAAAGATAAGCGGAGAAAGAGAGACATGGAAGTTCAGGGGGAGTCCTTTCGGGACTGAGGAACAGAAAATAACTTGATATGACAGAAACTTAAAAGAGAAAAAAAATCTAAAATCCAGTTAAAATTTCAAAGAAAGATGCCTCACATTTTTATTAGTTTAACTCAACTGCAAATATTTGCATTCAATTAATTATCTTCCGGCCTGAATTTGTGAAATGCTATTTTACGATAACATTGTCTCCCTTGAATGGATAATAAATAAATAAGCATTGACTTGATGTGTGAAGATTAATAATGATGATTCCATTAAAGTTTTAATACACGCACAGATTTTGTACGAATCTGTGCAAAATTTTGATGATTTTAAGTGAAATATAGAAATTATCAGTTGGAGAACTTTTTCATTTACGAGAAATAAGTTCTTAGTTTGATGTCTCTTTCGTTTACACCTTTTAGGCTTGAGATAACGAGTTTTCTGGGAGAATTTCTTTCTATAAACATGCACAAGCAACTTAGAGGGAGCCGCTCTTAATTTTCTCTCGCACTCTCTTACGCGAGTTTATAATTGTTGCAATTTGTTAGCGCTCCTTAGCGTGCTTAACTGCTTATTTGTAGCGGTGAAAGCCCGGTGTCTAATTATGTACGAGTGTGTGTTGAAAAACCTCCCCCTCAAAGCACCCCCTCCCGGAGGAGAACCGCCGTGCTGCGCTAACTCGGGCTAATTGGTTATTTAGCCCGCGCTCTATACTTCTTAATGAGCTGCCCGCACTACTAAATTGTGCGCCGTGAGTGTGAGAGCAAGCAATTAAAATTCTTGTTAGCCCCTAATTTTTTGCCCTTCTCAGAGTTTGACAGAATGACTCAGGCTGAAAATTAATTGGCTTTCGGCTCAGAATTTTCGATTTGATTTATTGCTTATATATAAGTCTCGTTGCCACAGGGTTTTGACAATGAGAGTGAAAAGTGTATTTTTAACAGTAAATTGATAGATTAAAAAAAGTTTGTTAATGAATATAAAAATTAAAAAAGGGACTATGAAGAATTATAAAATCTCTAATCTAATTTGGGAGTATAGCTACTCTCTTTGGTCGAATATTAAATTTCTTGATAGAAAAATACTTTGTGCACTTCAGAAGTTAATAAGCTTCACCAACGTCACTCTTTTCTCTCAACTCATTTCTTGCTTAAAATAACACACCGAGCTAGACTCACTCAGAGTTAAATTTACACTCTCTAATTACATAGTGAGTGATTGATTGCGGCCAAAGCTTTAATCCTCTCCCATGCCACCAGATTGCAGCGAAATTATTATTTAAGTACCGGGTCGGCAGTCTTCATTGCTTTTATTTTTCTTTTTCTAACAAGTTTTAAATTTGAAACATGCATTCAGATTCCATGAGAATACGTACACAATAATCTATATATCAATATTCACATAAATTTACACGGAAAATAATCATGCGCGTCGTAGAACATGTTAATAGAGTATTAATTATTTCATATTCCTTCTTAATCAGTGGGTATCTTGTAATGTTTTTGATAAGTTTAGGCGGAAGATGATTTAAAAAAAACTATACAATAGTTTGTGGAGCACAAAATTACGCATCAAAGTTAGATCTGATCAGAGAACTGAACGGTTGCGCTCTCTTTTCTGGCTTTTTTATAAGCCGGAAAATAATTTGATAATGGGACACAATGAAAAGTAATTTGATTAGTTCCCACCGCAGCACCTGTCTGTGTAGTTTTTTGTACCGCTCTCACGGCCGATTGACGAATCCCCTCGACCACTTTTTCAACTCATTACGTGCTCCAATAGGCAAAACTCGTCGCTTGCTCTTTCTCATTTACACGTTTATTGTGCTGGTGTTATTACACGACGGTTCACACAATGAACCGCGCGGCCTAACACGCATGAAATGGGCACCTTATTTGCGCAGACAATGCGCCGCCTCCCTTTTTTTTTCTTTCTAATTGCATCCGAAGCGCTAGAATGGGTATCGCGCCAAATCAAGCGATTCCCACACGGTTGGCAAAAAAATAAATAAATATATAAAAAGAACGTTTGTGTCGGAGAGGAAGATAGTCCTTCCCATCGACCGATAATGAATCGACATGCCGTACAATAGCTGAAAAAACTGAGTTGCTCCTAAACACATTTTATGGCGTTAAACGTGTTGAGATTTATTGACTCCCTCTCGTCCACTCATTCAAGGTGAATAAATTAATTCAAGCGGAGCTAATCTACTGTAATCAGAAAAAAATAAACACGCTTGTTCTGAGATTTCCTCAAGCTTGGCTTACATTATTTTATGTCATCATTTATTCTTAATGTGAAACAAACCCACTTTTTATTTAATTATTAAATTCATTCATATTAAGAATTAAAAAATGCGGCCATACACGTATATAAAAATAACCTTATTCCTTGGAATCGCATATTTTACTGAATATTTTAATTAGGAAAGAAATTGTAAATTGTGAACTGCATTGAAAATTCTCATAAATTAAATCCCATCATGATTTAATCTTCAAGAAATACAAATGAAAAGAATGCAAACATTATATCAAAACTACGAGCGGAGTCAAGTTATATGAATGAACTAGCGCCAATTCCAGCATAGGCAATTTATTCTCTATATTAAAAATTCAATTCACCTCTCACATTAAATTATCAAAAATAAGACCGACCTACCGCCTTCCCTGAAAGATTGTACTGCACATATAAGTGTACCATTTTGTACGAAAATCTCACGTGCTCTGTTCTAGTGATATGTTTTCTTGATGTGATTGTAAAAATTGAAAATAGCTTGCGCCCCATCTCGGCGAGAACCCCTCCTCTCAGCTTTACCGTTTCTTCACATTTTGGATAATTTTTTTCTCACTCATCTATATCAATTTTTTTTTTGTATTATGCTGATTATTCTACTATTTGAAACTTGATTTGTGAAGAAAGCGCATAACAATATTCAATATTATGAAAATGAAAAAAAAAAACAAATTGAAATTCTCTGTTTAAGTCAACTTTGTTTGTCGTCACCGAGTGGATCATCATATAAGAAATCAGGATAATTATATGCCTGCAATAATCTGCACCACTAATAAAGGGCACAGGCCGACAAGATTTTGTCTTGACCTGAACCCTAAAAAAGGAAAAGAAGTAATATTATTATTTAAATATTAATTTTTAAAATCGTCTTCCGCAGAGCTCGGGCGACAAAGTTTTTCTTTTCGAATTGCAAATCAGTGGAATTCCCTGCCAACTGCGTTAAAAAATTGTACGGTTCTTTAGTTTAAAATTGCATGTAAAGAATATTTGACTGTTGTTTAAAATTTCCTCTTTTCGGCTCCAGCTCGGCAAGTAGATTTAATTTGGAAACACTTTTGCTTTGAAATTGAGTTTATGAGTTTTAGTAAGTTGTTTACTAGGGCTGGCTGCCAATTCTCTCTTCAATGTAATTTTACCCCCAAAATAATATTTGACTTGTTGTGAGAGAATAAACGAATTGAAAACGCACTTTGAATTTTTTCTAAATGTGGGGTGTATTGTGGGGCTATACATCAGATCCCTTTTAAAATAAGTACATAGCGTACATATATTATTTTAAAACATATGAAGATGGCAAAAAAAAAAATTAAAAAGATTTATAATTCTCCCAGAAATGAAAGCAAGGAAAAATTGCAGAAAAACGTTGAAATCCACCCAGCAAGGCGGTATTTTAAAAGACTGCAAAAAATTGCAAAGTAAAGTGGATGGGGTTGTGCGGTGTCCAGTCAAGGCCTGTCCAAATGAGATAAGTCGGTGCTTCAGGGGCCTGCAAGTGGAAGGAGCACGGTGGGTTCACTACATTTTTTGGTTATGGGATCGATATGCTCAAACCCGCTCCCACTGTTAATATATTTGCACATCATTTAGCCGCGTATCTGAAGCCGACCAAGAGGGGTAGCGAATTATACAAAGTGGAGAGGGTGGGGTGCGAGAGAGAGAGAGAGAGAGAGAGAGAGAGAGAGAGAGAGAGAGAGAGAGAGAGAGAGAGAGAGAGAGAGAGAGATCGCGGTGGTGTGTTATAATAATTTAATTAAGGCTGCCAGCTAGCTAGAAAGAGAGGGCAATCGCATTGGCCCCGCCCCCGTCCAATGGGTGCCCTGTCCGAGAGGGGCCCCGCCCCTTGATGGCCGCCCCGACGGTGGGTGCCACCGTCGGTGGCTCAGGCAGTGTGTGTGCGGCCCTTTGAGGGATGCAACGGCTCGTGTGCCCGAGGGTGCTGATGGCCTGTTTTCCGCCCGAGGGCAACAAGGAGCCCCTGCAGTGGCCCCGTCTCAACGACGACTGCAGCTCGGACGGCGACTCGGACGAGGTGCTGGACGTCGGACACGACGTTGACGACGAGGACGCCATGGACCTGAGTCGGTGTCGCTCCGACGACGATGACGACCTGCGCGCCTCGCCGCCCTCCTCCCTCAACAAACCACCCTCGTCCTCCTCTGGAAGACTCACCTTCTCTGTCGAGAACATCCTCGACCCCACAAAGTTCACCGGACGCGCCCTCTGCTGGAAGCCCCTCGGACCCCAGGAGGATGACTTGTCCTGCAGTGATCTAGGTTAGTTGAATATAAATTCAAAAAAATTGGCGCTCGTAAATTTTTGGACATTATCTTTAATAATTTATTTAAATATTAAAAATATAATTTATTAAAATTTCCAGTCTAATGAACTAACGATCGCCAGTAATAAGAAATTAAATGATTAAATTCACGCTGAAGAGAGACGAATTTAAATTTCAAAAACTTATGTATATACAATTTTGAATCGCGATTATTTTGACTTTTTGATTTTATATACTGGCTGTGCAGTGCAAGAATATATTTTAGATATTATTAAATTACTTGTCAAGTAAAACTGAAGCATTCATATTATTAAATGAACGTGAGAAAAAAGCATAACTATTATGAAGTGAATTATTTTACTCTATATTTATCTCAGCGCACAAGTACGAAAGAGAAGATTACATTCTAAACAACTTACTAAAACTAGAGGCCCAATTTGAAAATAATTTTTTCCAAATTATACCTAATTGCCGAGCTGGAGTGGATGAGTACCAAGCTGGGGTAGAACAGGAGAAGGTTCACCAGTGTCTGATCTCTAGTTTTTTTTGTTTGTTTTATAAGTGCGGCGCCGTGCATTGCAGCGCGCCGCGAACAAAAGCACTCTTGACGCTTTGCCGCACGCGATGTGTCCGGTGTTTATTCCACCGCATGATTTGGGCACTTGTCGCTGACATACTCGAGGGTTGATTCGCCAATCTTGTGTCCGAGCGTCAAAAGTCCACCACGTGACACTTCATCAGGGCGTTGTTGCGCACCTCAATCAGACACTGCCCAGGTCCACCTGCTGCAGAGCGGCATCCGAAGGTGTCCGAATTTCACGCTAGCAGGTGGCGTTGTTTGCATAATGAAAGTGGATGTTGGCGGGCGGTTGGCTTTATATTGAACAGCAGCGCCCTGAGGACGTTGCCCTGGATAACTCCGGAGAGCAAGGACACTTTCAGATTCTGATTTTTTCCCTCCATACACGTGAAACTGGCTGCGGTCAGTCAACACACTCCTCGTCCACTTCAATATCGCCGATATACTATAATGGACGCGTTTGGACAGCAGTAGATCATGGGGGACGGAGTCAAAAGCCTTGCCCCAGTCCAAGAGGATGGTGCGGAAATGTGTCTTTTTTCGTCCTGCCTGCTGGCCCAGCTGTCCAAAATCCTACAACAATTTTTGTATGTAGAACAAGCGCAGATTTGCAATTTTTTCAATATTGAATGCATCGTGCATAATTGGCTTGGTTGTGAAAGGCAACAGTTTTAATTAATTCATAGCCGCTGGCAATTAATAACTTGGGCAAATATACCTCTCCCCATTAGCCGATTTCATCAGCGCGCGCTTGTTACGCAAAAAAAAAAATGCCAACAAATCGTGCCACATTAGCTAAATGAGACGTCGAATATTTAATTTGAATATATGTGCAAGCAAATTTTTTAGTTTTGGTCTGCTTTCTAATTCAAATTCTTGTTCGTCGGTGACGTTGATGGTGTTAAATTTAAAGTCTGTAGTGCGTGTTTGGAAAAGAAGTATTATAATAGCGGGGAGCGAGCTGCAAAAGTTTATTTTAATATTATTATAATTTTTTTTTTTACTTCTTTAGGGTGCGGTCTTGTTGGCCAGTGCCCTTTATTAGAAGTGCAGGAAGGCACCAACGCTACCCAATTTTTAAGTTAATTTTTTTCAGAACAATAAACGAATAAATAAATTTGTAATCCCAATTCCATGGTAAAGCCCAATCTCTTCATTTTCATGATCAACTCCTCGAGTGTCAATTTCTTCAAACAAACCAATATTATTGTTGTTCTGTTCAAATACGTCACGATTAATATTAAAATTTCCTTATCATTGTATTTTATACTGAATTATTCTAAAGATTTTTTGATTTGTAGGATCTCGTGTTAAGGGTGATTGCATTGCACCCCAGTTGTACGCAAAAGCGTTTAATACAAAATCATTTTTATTTATTCCTTTTTTTTGAAAGGAAAAAATACAGCAAAAGTAAATGATTCAATATTCAGATGCCAAAACAAACAGTAACAAAACTAGGCGCGTCATAGAACATTTGATCGTGGAATATAACTTTAGTTTCCTTCTTAAACCATTAAAATGCTTTTGATTGCTTTTGATATGTTCTGAAAGATGATTCCAATTTCTCACGATCATAATTTGTGGGGACTGTACATACTTACAGGTTTAGAATGACCGTTTTTACAATGCCAGAGTCGCACAACTTCTTTCACAAACAATAGGAAATCATAGGCCAATGGAAATGCAATTCATCATTTGAAAAATTCTTAAAATTGCCTTTTTGTATATAATTTCATTTTTTGTTTGAATTTTGCGGGTTGAGGGGTTAATTTGGATTTCACGCCTGGAACAGAGTTTATCTGGCATTGTGCGTTTGAACGTGCGTGAAAATGAGCTCACTGCACTAAGTAGCAGCGCTAACACAAAGCGCCCATTGTGTGCTCGCGTATCATAATAAACACGTCATCATCGCGCTTGTCCAACACACACCGCATTATTCGCCCGCCAACATCGACACCTATTATTATTAATAGAGACAGAGTGGTGCGAGTTATAGTGTGAGCGAGCTAATTACCACCAGAACTAGGAAATTGTGCTGCGAATGTGCACGGCCAAGAGCCGAATAGAATATAGAAAATTAAAATGCAAAAACGACAGTTGATGCAGCCCTAAAGTCTGTGTAACATCGTTGGATCACAATAGACTGTTTAATAATTTCAATTTACAGTTTTAACGAGCGAAGAGAAAGGGCTTGAAATGTTATGCAGGTGAGTTCTCTGCAGCGCGCTCACTCATTTCTGGTGCGCGCGCCGCCGTTAGTCAATGAAGGATGTTCAAAAATATAAGAGCGGCGAGTGTCGTATATCTCTCAGCGACACTTCTTCATCTCAGCACTAAAACTAAGAGGGCAATTTGTCAGACCGCCAACTAGCTTTGAGGACTCGCTGCATATATACTCCTGCGCGTTTGCACCACCATGGTTATGGACCCTCTGACCGAACACACCACGGAAATAAACCACTCCATACGTAGTTTTACAAAATATATTTTGTTCCACATGTTCCTCAACCTAAAATATATCAAACATAAAAGCAATTTTTAGCCATATATTTCAAAGAAAATGCCAGAATTACCTTTAAATCTTTGTACCAAAAAAATTATTGATATTTATTTTTGATACATTAGGTTATGGAAATGAAGATATCGGGCTTTTCCTCGTTGCAAAAAATTGTTTTTATTCAAAAACAAACAAATTTTTTGCAACGAGGAAAAGCCCGATATCTTCATTTCCATGATCATCTCCTCAAGTGTCAACTTCTTCAAACATTAGGTTATGATATAAGATTTTTGTTTTAATCAGCAAGCAGTGCGTTTGCAGACCGTGACCGAAACTTGCATAAAAAAATTTTACAACGGGGAACAGCCTGATTTTTTCATTTCCAAGATATATGTAGCTAATTAGAAATCAAAAATACTTCCACGTCATCTCTACGTCTATACAGGCGATTTGAAATTAATTTTCATAAAAACTTCATCCGCGTGCGGGCCGAGTTCTTTTGATTGCGGGCGTTTCAGCAGAGTTGTAAACCCTTCATTCTCTCCCAATTTCTTAATTTTTGTTAAATAGGCATTGTTTTGTGTGCATGTGTGCACAGGGAGCAATAAATAATATTACCATAAAACATTAGTATTGTGATTGTAAAATTGTGGACAAATACACGAAATAATATTTTAATTTTTCAAAATTTATAACTCTGTTTGCAAACTCCTCTTTTTTTTAATTTTGAGAGCTATCGATCTTTATTGACTCATTAGTCTTCATCGCATAAGCAGTTTACTCATTCAATTAATCAATATGATTATTTGTTCTTCTAGGTCAAAACAAAATTTTTTTTATAATAAATTCAATTTTTCTTGTCATAAAATTGATCAAAAGATCATTCAAAAGAAGTTCAATTTTTTAATGATTTTTTTAATGATAATTTCATGATTTGTAAGTTATCAAACGCTTTTCTTTTATTAGTAGCCGGTTGGAAGACGAAAGATCATAAGGATTTGTAGAAGAGCTGTGGCGTGTTTTTAATTTGCTGTACGGCCCTTTGAGAGGCGCGCGGAATAATTTATGTGTCGGCCAGCACTAATTGAAATGCCCAACTAGAAAATAACCGTGCTTTGAATAGATGATTGACGACCATGTGTTCACGTTTAAATGGCCGCTCGCTTCCCTAATTTGTGGCTCTGCGCGAGGCTCAGCAAAAACAAACGTTTCGCTCGTTTGACATTTTTTACTCGGGCGTGCGAGAGAAAAAATCAAGAGTAGGCAGATGAGTCAACGAGCATGAAAGAAATTAGACGCTATTTTCAGACTTGAGACACCGTCAGTCACTCACTCAACCCTTTTATTATTTAATTGCCGCCAGCACAGACGGCCACTTAATTAAATTGACTTGCAAAGAAGAAACTGGCTTTAATTTTTCTTTAAATTATTTTTCTCTCTGGTCGATACAAAATACATATTTAAAATGTAAAAACAGTAGAGAGTTAGCAGATATTCATGCTATTATAAAACGCCTGGCTATAAAGGATTTCGGCCGCGGTAAATCTTGCTTGGTTTTGTGAGAATAATTTAAAATTTAGTGACGCTTTAAAAATTTCAAACCCTTCAATAAATTTATTGTTATAAGTAAAAAAGTGGGACGAAAAAATGCTATATAATATTTGCAAAGAAAACCAATTTTTTCCCATTTAATAAATAAATAGGTTTATCATTTGGTTTGATTCATTCAGACATCCTGTTGCATCCAGTGAATCCGCCGGCACTAAATTCACAGGTGATTAACAAGCGTCAATAAATATCCGGAATCAATAAAACGCGGTGAATTGGCTGCAAAGCGAGCTAGAGCGAGTGGAAAAAAGGGAAGCAGCAGGAAGGGGGGAGTGGTGAATTAATTGGGGTTGCGGAGGCGGTCGGTTGGGTCTCTGCGGACCTCGGTGTGTGTTTGGTGTGCGGATGCTGGATGGTCTCTAATAAGCGTAATGTATGTCCTCCATTACTGCGATTGCACAAACAGCAAGAGAGAGAGAGAGAGAGATCGCGCGGAGAAAAGGGCGCCGCGTGCGGTTTGCAGCAAGGCCCTTGAGTAAACATTCACCACACGCTTGGCAAATTAATTCATCTGCATGTAATCGATAGTAGCAGGCCGCACAGCCCCTCACTCACTCACTCTGCTTGCTTGCGGCAATCTCCATTATAATTAATTTAACAACTCGTTTGCTATTTGTTTAGATGTCCAAACAGACGATCACGTTGAGTGAGAGAGCAGAGTTGGTGGGTGGTCTCTCTCTCTCTCTCTCTCTCTCTCTCTTTCCCCCCAGTGCTCTTTGCTGGTCGAGAGTTTTTAGCCAGAGTAAGTCTTAACCTGTGATTTTAAATATACCCACTTATAATTTATAGCAACAGAGCATAAACCGAGTCTAAAAACAAAGTTAAATTATGTGGAATTTGTTTCCCACAGCCAATTTCTTTCTTATCAAAATTCATAGTCCCCTCTTTTTTATTTGCTTGGACAAAGTATTTGTTTCAAATATTGGGTAATTTAAAAATTTATTTTTTGTTATTGCACATAATATTTTGAACATTTTTAGGGATGGGAGAATTTTTTTAGTACATTTTCCGAAATTAAATTCACAATTGTCTAAATGAACATGAACAGTGTCATTTTTCGAAAAAAAAAAAAAAATTAGAAACTTTCTCACTATTTTTTTTTACGAAGTTTAAGCTGCAGTGCGGCGATCAGTCGGGTATTTATCGCCTCCTGGTAAATACGCGGTTATATGAGTTTCAGTGACTTGTTCACTAACACTGTGTGCCTATTTTTCTCCCAACCAATTTTTCACGGTTAATTGAATTATTATATTTGGAGAGAAATGAATGAATTGAATTGGACTAGAAAGTCAGAAGTTCAAGACTCGAGTGGGTAAATTGAATAGTTTAAGAATATAAAATTTTTGGAAAAAAATGTCTATTAATTTACTTTGAAATAATATAAACTTTTCTTGCTTGCGCCTCTTGATTTGATGGAGGTATGCAGCCTGCGCAACGCTTTTGATAAACGTGTTGCATACCCCTTATGAGCATTCAAATTTTTCATTTCAAAAACGGCACAAAAAGTTATAACTTATGGTTAACTATTTCTGATACGATTCAATTTTAAATGGATTATACTGAAATTATACTAAAATGTTTTTAATTAAAAAAATTCTTGCTTATGAACGGAGACCTTTGTAAAAACAGGTAGAGCTGTTTTGTTTTTGAATAAAAACAACTTTTTTACAACGAGGAAAAGCCAGAGTTCTTCACTTCCAAGTATTTTGGCATGAAAAACTGAAAATTTATTACCTTTAATTTGCAATAATTTAGTGTAATAAACAATATTCAAATATAAAGAGGACGATTCAAAAGCCTAACCTAGCTCATGCTAAATTGATTGTTCATTTATATAGTGTGGGTCTACCACGGCGTCTCTTTTGATGCGGGCGTTTTAGCGAATATCTGCTAGTTATAAGCCGTTTTTCTCATTTTCAAATTTCATAATTTTTTGTATCCACCTAGAAGAATAATAATAATAGTAGTAAATAGAATATTAATGCCAAAATCCAAAATAGAGTCACAAAAGTGTCCACAAATATATTTTACGTTTGTTTCAAGAAATTGACACTTGAGGAGTTGATCGTGGAAGTGAAGAGATCGGAATTTTCCTCCTTGTTTTTATTAAGAAACTAAAATATTCATCATTATAATTTGCAAAACGTTTATTGATAGTTGTTGATAAAAAGCAAGTAATTGTGTGAAAATCATGTAGAGAGAAGGAATGCGATTTTGCTCAACACGGAGTTAATTTTCTTACAGACTCGTCGTTAAAGTGAATGACTGAGTGAGCAATTTTGGGCTCGCACGTCTTTGCCTTTGGTATGCATAATAAGTGTGTGTTCAAGTGTGCGTCTGCTGGTAATGAGAAGGCGCTCGTCGGGGTTGAAATTATTCACGCGGAAGAGCGAATTAAAACACTTAGTACAATTGCCTGGCAAATTAGAACGGGGTACTGCTGCCGGCGGTTAATTAGTGCGTGCGCGCGCGATAAGTTTATGCAGCGCGCAACCGCAACACATCCCGATTGACAGCAAACAGGCAGCTGCGGGGGTGTGCTTGTTCTTCCACCACCACCCCGGCAGCCAGCCAACCCCTGTTAACTGCAATAAATGGGGATGATGGAGGTAATGCGTTGTGCTCAAAGCTCGAAAAACCTCCGAGCGGCAGCGCCGCCAGAACAAACCAAGCTTGTAATTTGACACCCCCATTCTCCTTCTCGCAAGAGATGATGATTATTATTGTAAGGCTTTATTGCCTCTTGTCTACACCACCAAGCTACTTCATCAAATCGTCACCGCAAATCCTTTAATTGCAGGAAAATTCTAAAATTTCGTTTGCCTTCCGCTTCGAAAAGCGATTGCGATTTTAGGGGTGAAAAATAAATCACGCACATTAATAGTTAAAGCTATTGCGGGGCTTGCAATTAAAACACCAGATATTTCGAATAGTTCATTTAATTTGTTTGAAGAAGTCTACACTCGAGGATATGATCATGGAAATGAAGAAATTCGGGCTTTTTCCTCGTTGCAAAAGTTGTTTTTATTAAAAAAATTTTAATTTTCATTTAATTTTTATTAAAATCTATCGCTGCCATGTTTGGAGAAAAATATAATGAAATGATCCAATAAAATGAACAACTAATATGAGCTAAGTCCGAGTTCGTTTACAAGAAAATTCGGTTAGGTTAGGATGTCCAATAACCGTCAGTATTGCTTTTTAAAATTTTTTTCCATTATTTTTGCACCAAACCGAAGGTCACTTCACCTTCTATTATTTATTTGACTATTTTCTTAAATTCATATTTTTAATACAATCAAGCAGCTAAGAATTTCAATGAAATTATTAATGAGATTAAATTAATTAGGTATTAAGCAGCGTCGGAGAAAACAGCCATAATTTTATGAACTTGATTATAAATCCGCTCAATAGTCCGTTTGAAACCTTAAAATAGCGAACTATTTTAGTCGGATTTCCGTCTGTTATTAGTCAATTTTTTCTCAAAATTAAATAAATCTATTTACCAATAAGGGTTTAAATCACTGGTGGCTTGAAATTATCCAAATCTATTATGTCCACTATTTATAGATGGACGCCATAAACAATGAGTTGGATCACGACTGTCAATTTAAACTGATAAGTTTCAAGTTTGTTATTTCAGTTGCTTCATTATAAAAATAATAATAATAATAATAATAATAATAATAATAATAATAATAATAATAATAATAAGGAGGAAGTAGAAGAAAAACTTTTTACCCTCCAAAAGTCCATTATTTGGTCCAGTTAAAATCTTGATTTAAAAATAAGGTTTTTGGAATTTTCGTGTATGTCAGAATGGATAAATATGAAATGTGATAATTTGTGGATATTTCATGGCAATCTAATAAGAAAATTGTATGCTTTTTGTTTGTGCAGGTAAAGAGGGTGCGACTTCAGCGGACGAGGACGCGACGCGGGAGGCGGCGAGCGACGATGAGAGCCTCCAGGGCGACGAAGGCAAGTTCCACAGGAAAAAGCCGAAAAGTGGGAGTTGCGGCAGCGGGGAAGGTGGCGGAGGTGGCTCCAAGTCAGTCGGGGGCGGAAAACCGCGCCGGGCACGAACGGCTTTTACATACGAGCAGTTGGTTGCCCTGGAGAACAAGTTCAAGACGACGCGCTACCTGTCAGTTTGCGAGAGACTCAACCTAGCGCTGTCCCTCAGCCTGACCGAGACGCAGGTCAAAATTTGGTTCCAGAACCGCAGGACAAAGTGGAAAAAGCAAAATCCGGGTATGGACGTAAACAGTCCCACCGTGCCGCCCCCGTCGTCCGCCTCCGCGGCCTCCGGCGCCGCGGGACTAGCCTACTCGAGCAGCGGCGCCTACTCAAGTCTTCTCTACGCGGGACACTATCCCACCACTTATTCACAGTACCCCTATTTCCTCGCTGGACATCCCTCCCTTGGACCATCCACGTGATGAAGGATCAATTAAAAGTGCGTGCGGAAAAACTGTTTTCGTTAAGCCCAGAAAGAGGATACTTGAAATTCATTGTAACTGTGATTGTGATCTAAAATTACAAATTCTGCCGAGAAGAGACAGCACCGGAAATTTTGAGAGGTTCTTTTCTGTATAGAAGAAATATTAATCACTTACAGGCGCCCGGCGAGGCACAGGATCAAAACGTCACTTGTGGGAATTGATTTAGTTGAATTGCATAAGAAATACAAAATTGAAAAGAAAGTTCAGTAGAAAAAAAAGACAAAATGCTAATTTCAAACTTTATCATTTTTTAAAAATGCATAATTATTTTTTTTATCAAAGTTAAAGTGACGTGATTGGTTGGCAAATTATTGACAGTTAAGTTTTAAATACTTCCTTAGTTTCCAGTTTGATCGACTGCAAATATATCTGATTATTATATTTTATTTTTCTCAGTTCATCGCAACTAGCAGAGATAAGCTAAAATTCTTAAGAATTAAAAGAATACATTGTTTTGAATTTTGATTTCCTCGTGTATTTACTTCGCGGAAAAAATATTTCAGAGTTGCGAAGCCGATTTTAATTCCAAAACACCATGAATCAACCCTTGATTCTTCTAAAAAAGTTTATGTATGCTTCAAACTTTCCAAAAAATATAAGTATTAGGTAATTCACGTTGAAATTTTCCAATGAAAACTTTTATTTTCAAATTAGGATAATCTCGCCATTTATATTTTATGGAAGACTGGACGAGTGCCCAAAATTATTTACTTTATTTCCTGTTTTTAACTATAAACTTAACCTCGTGTTATATAGATATACATTGTTTGAAAAAAATTTGTTCCACGAAATTTAAGAGCAAAACCTGATTTAGAGTTCAAAACGATTCTGCTCTCCTCGCCAGTGCTTTATTTGGTAAAGGCTAAGCAAGAAAAAAACCTCTCATTGTCTTTGTAAATATGCAGAAATAAAAAGTGAGACGGACGCTTGTTTCATCAACCCAAAGGACCAACAGTTATAAAATTTAAATCTTTTGTTGATTTACACAATCATTTACTTGTACATATAGATGGCCCGTAAATTTTTGTATTAATAAAATTAAAATTGGACAAAATACCTCATACGTCGGGAAATGTGCACCACTTTTTTTAGAGCGGACGAAAATATTAAGAATACAAACAACGTTGTGTGATGAATAAATAAAATAAATTGTTCATGTGTGTAAAACTGCGGAAACTTAATGTTGTAAATAACAAGCAAAAACGAAAATAAAACGTTATTGGTGTAATCATCTGATAATGGATTGAAAATTTGATTGAAATTGAAAACCCTTGCAATAATTTTAATAGTGCCAATTGGAACATTTAAAATCTCTTTGAAAACACTCCAAAACTTACAGAGAACAATTCAGAACTAAGCAAACTTATTTTAATCAAATAATACAGTTTTAAATTCTATTGAATTAATTTCTTCGTATTCTGGAATCTGAATTCCAGTGGCATTTTACTTTCTTTTGGGTTAAAAAAAAATATAATAATTAATAATTCCTTTTAGCATAAAACAGGGCGGCAGATTATATTTGTTGAGTCTTATAAAGACGCAGGAAACATTCTAATTGAGCAAACAAAAAGAGTAGTAAATATAGCGGCTGAGAGCGATTCTCTCTCCGGCGAAGTGTGTGTTCAATCGTTTACTGCGACGGATGGAGCGAGTCCCCAGAGTCGGTAATTTCCGCCTGATAAGCTTAATAGTTCTTTGTTGTGTGGTGGAGAGAGAGAGAGAGATCCATTTGTGCGACCCACCCACTTTCTCTCTGCTCTTCTTCGCCAACACGCTGCAGTTATCAATCTGGTGTCCCAGGGGCTGCCGCTGACACCGGTTCCGCTTTAGCGCCAGATTAGGCAGCTCTCTTGCATTTCAAATTAATGCAGCTGCCACTCTCTTTCTTTCCTCTCCTCCCCGGCAATCACTGATTGTATGTGTGCGTCTATTATTAATGTGAACATTAATCGCGCGACGCGAGACCGGCTAATAAAGTACCCAATTACAGTGTCTTCTATTTGCAAAAGACAGCAGGAGCAGGTTTTGAAATTAATTGGCATTAAAGATCAAGAGTTGATATACACCTTTGATTAGCCAGGCGAGTGATAAATAATTGTTACTTGGGTCTAATTACTTATTAAAAAATAGGACACAATCCACATTCAATGTGAATTCTTTTTCAATATAAAGACGCCATCCAATGACGGAGTAGTTTCTGTTATAATTATTATAATCATTTATTTATTTAATTGGTTTGGTAAACTGTGATACTATAATCTGAGCATCCGTAGTCTAGAAAATGATAAAAAGTTTGCCATCAATGTTATTGGAAATGAAGAGATCGGGCGTTTCCTCGTTGTTAATATTGTTAATAGAAAAATCACCAGTTACGATTACAAATTGTGACCCTATTTGATGAGCAAGAAAAATAAAAAATAAATCATCAAAATTGAAAAACACTAAATTTAAACATATAAATTGAAATCCTAGAAACGCAAATTCAAGTTTTGGGTTCATAGTGGCGTACTAGGTTGCTTGGTGTTGGGCCCGTATCGAAGAAATCGACACTTGAAGAGATCGGGCTTTTCCTCGTTGCAAAACATTGTTTTCATTAAAAGACAAAACGGCTCTGAGCTGTTCAATTTTGATACGCTTAAAATTATTTACATTGAATTATTCTATAACAAAATTAGTTTCTGATGATAAATTAATAAAGAATTAGAATGCCACATTTCAAATTCTCTAAATTGAACGGCTGAGAGGAAATGTCTATATAAATTGGCACGATGCATCCATTCTATGGTCAACACCTTAGGTGATTTTGAGCCTTCTAGACCCATGTTTGATTTTCACACGCAAGATCAAAATTGAGCAACCTCATTTTTCATCATTTCTGCATTTATAACTTTTATCGCTTTGGATTTTGATAAAAATGTAAAATACATAGTGTGCAAAATTAAATTTTCTACAAGTTTTGTTTGAAATATTTTTTTCCTAATGGGCTAGAGCTTAAAATAAATGAAAAAAATGACAAAAAGTCGACTTTTGTTCAAACGCATTTGAACTTTTTGGAACCAAAAGGGACTTAGATGAGGTTTTTAAAGCTTATTAAATTTTCCTATCGATTGGTATTACTATCATGTTTGTAAAAGAAAAAAATACTAAAGGATTTTTTTATGCAAATTGAAGTCACGTGTCACGTTTGTGTATTTGGGGGGGTGTAAGGTTGGCTTTTTCATTTTTATATTTGAATGTGGAAAACGAGTGGCAATCGGATAATTTTTCGCGAAATTGCAACGCGGGCGAGTGCGTGGATGGCTGTGCATGCATAAATGATCATTAGTGCTCTCATTTTTACTGTAGGCAATTATTTTTTACGACGCAGAGTGAAGCTCGTAAAGCTACACAACGCCGAGTTCCAGCAGCAGCAATTTGCGGAGCAATTGCTTTTGCTGCCGGCATTCATAACGGGGCGGCGCGTAATGAGCTTTGAAGGCGGACAGAGGGTGTGGAGCTGATAAGCGAGAGAGCAATAGCGCCGATCCCCGTCCTCTCGCACACACACACACACCAGTTAATTGTGTCCCAAGGTGCGCATTATATAAGCGCCATTTTGCGGTTAATGTTTAGCCAGATAGCATCGCCCCATTCGTACGCCAGCTCAACTGGACACCGAGCTCAATTTCCGCCCAGAACGTCGCCGCAACAACCTTTTGCTGTCAGCTTTGTACCGTTAAAAAGAACAAGCAGCTTAAATAATAATAACATTGTCTTAATAAATTTTTGTTAAAAATATTTTGAATTTAATTTTTTCTTTTAAAAAAGTCAATACCCGATTTATCAATCTTCAATCGAGGAGGGTAACTCGGTATAATCAAGCAAATATCTGTGGCAACGATCTGATTGTGGAGGAAATTAAATTAAAGAAATCTATCTAGAAACATCTATTTTATGACCTGAACGAGTTTTAAAGTTTGAATTTTCGCTAAAGCATCTCCTTAATCTCAATTCAGATAAAAATCCAATTCCTTTTATTGAATTGAACTGAGTTGAACTGTGATAATTTGTATAATGATGTTGATGTCATTTTTATGTTCGCGTTGTTTGACGATTACCAATGAATAAAGAATAAATAATTATTGGGGTGGTTGTACTTTTCTTAAAGATCCACTCCGGTCATTTATATTGGTCTTTATTCTGAAAGATTGCTAAATTTCGAATTTATCTTGTGAAAACACTATTTGAAAATTCCAAACCGTTGCGTCTCAATCAAAAGAAAACCTAACTGATGGATCTGATTGGCTACTCAATTCTCACACGTTTTTCGCGCGAATCACTCGTTTTTAGGTTTTCTTTTGATTGAGACGCAACGGTTTGGAATTTTCAAATAGTGTTTTCACAAGATATACTCGAAATTTAGCAATCTTTCAGAATAAAGAGCAAGACCGGAGAGGATCTTTAAATTGATATAAAGCATTTTACGCCTGGATAAATATAATACATATAAAGTCTGTATCACAGGCATATTATTTTTGTTTATTTGACAAAATTGTTACATTGTTTTTTACATTCAATTGTTGAAAAACAAATTTGAAGAAAAAATACAGCTAAAACTTCTGAGATCAAAAAGAACCCATCCGCCGCAGTGAGCCTCGATCGACTAAGTTTTCATGTATTGATTCAGATTTTGAGTCAATTATGTAATAATAGGAAAAAGGTCAAAATTAAGCACTCTCTCCAAGAAATAAGATGTTTGTTTTACGCATAAAGTTTCGGTCTCGTTTATAAGTCAAAGAGAGCGTCTGCTAGGAGGGAGAAAAGAGAGCTTGCCGTATAATTGCTTTACTCCACTTTATAGGTAGTTAAGTAAGTCTGCTGGCAACCGGCCGGCCGGCTTTCCATTCAATTAATAGAACACTTAAAAAGTAAAGAGCGCGCAGGGTGGAGTTTCAAAGAACAACGGCGGCCTCTCTCATTGAGCGCCACCTCCAATCAAGAACGTTCTCACTGCAAAGCAGCTAGGGGAATAAATTATAATCAGAGCTAACTCTCCAGTTTCGTCCATAATTACTAAACTCATTTACTAAGCAACACAATAACTTGTTTACTTTGCATAATAGGCAAACTTAAGAAAACTTTCACTCTCATACAAAAAAAGCACAGATTTATTTAATAGGGGTCTGGAGAGATTTA